CAACGTATCTAGCGGGTGCAGTTGGGTAACGGGGGACGTACGCGGTGCGAGGGGTATCACAGAGAGCGGTTTGAGGATAGGCAGGAACCCAAAGAGGTAGTATTGGTCGACGAGCGAACGGATGGAAGAGAAAGGCTGTACACGACATGTCTTAGCGTTAGCACATACGAAAGAAATAGGATCGGTTATGGATGAACGCACCGACATCAACACCGTGCCTCGCGGATGCACGCCTTCCCTCCCCAGTCCTGCTGCCAACAATCCAGCCATCGCCGTCCCAAGACTATGCCCCAAAATCAAGATATCCTCCTGCTTCGCGCCTCTCTCGACTAGCCAATCCCACGCAGCCCGCGCATCCTCACCCACACCCTTCGCCGTCGGGTGTCCCTCGCTATCTCCATACCCTCTGTAATCGACCGCGAGGACGTTCGCTCCAAGCCTCGAGGTGAAAGCGGTGTAGAGCACAGTGCGCAGGGGATGTGCACGAGTCCCGGTGTTCCCGTGCAGGAAGAGGATGGTCGGCGCGGCCTGGAGGGCGTCGGGGACGTGTTTTTGGTTAGGGAAGGTAAAATCGGCATTAGAAGGCGGTGGGTAGGGCATGGTGCGATAGAACGGGTCGGCGAAGATGAACCACGCGCCGAGGGTCGTATTGTCTGCGCTCTGGAGCTTGAGGTTCACAGTCTTGCCAGCTGGAGGTCCCAGAAGAGGTGTAGGCGCGCATAGGAGTGCATAGAAAGGCTCGGTTAGCTCATACACGTAGTAGAGGAGGCGCGTCTGCTTGACTTACGTGCCAAGCCATAGTGCTCTGGGTGGTCGAACTTGTTGTACCACAGAAAGTCAATGTAATGGGCGTAAAGAACGCTAGAAATAGGAGAAAATGGTCGCCGTCATCGTCAGAGGTGTTAAACGTGGTCACACGAGGACGTACTGGGTCTGGATGAACGGTGTCATCACCAGCACGAGTGCTAGGGCGTACAGCGCCGCGAGGCCGCCGAACACGACCCCTACACGCTTGTAGACGGTGTTCGTGAGCGGCCGGGAGGTGGCCTTCGTGGCGGACATGGTGGTGGTCTCTATGAAAATTTCAATGAAAGGGAGGCTGCGGTGAAGTGGTGACGAGTGCAATCAACAGAAAAGACCATTCATGTTTCGTGTCATGGACTTCAAACTCGTCAGGTTACTTTGTCAGATCCGACCCCGGGTGAACGCCTGGACCGTTGATGGCATATTGGAACATCGTCATGTCAAACTTTAAGCCCTGCCGTCGTTGTCGATGACGATCAAAAGAATTAGGATTTGGAGAGACCCGGTGTGGTGACCGTGGTTGGAGAAAAAAATGACCGAGACAGGGGTCGAACCTGCAATCTCCTGATTCGCACTGAGTCGTAGTCAGACGCGATGCCATTTCGCCACACGGCCCTCGTGGACCGTTGCTCAGGGATTCTCCTTATTGTGCAATGTGGCCCACAGGCGCTTATCTCGACCTCAACATGCGCTTGTCAAATGACCAGTCACTCAAGGAAGCAGAGGTCTGCACTCTCAGCAATACCTATTACTGATAGCATATCGAGCCTTGCCATCAACCATACATACTTAGCTCATAGCCGATGCCTGACAAATCACAGTGCGAGAAAACGGCTCGAAGCACGGTCCAACGGCTCAAACGACTCGGTGCGAAGCAGAACGAGATAATTAATCTAAGTACTATCTGAAGATTATACGCGATGCATGACAAAAGTCGACAAGATCCCTTGCCTATTCTTACCGCCGTTAGTGGGCCACAATTGTGGGGCATTCTCCTCTTCAGCACATCTTGACACTCTTGATCGCGCTTCCGCAGAGACTTGGACGCGGCTCGCCCGACTCATCTAACATATCGTGGACAGTGTGGATGGGTAGTAGTAGTCCAGCTGCCTGCAGATGTATACGGATAAGCCCACAAATAAAGGAATAAATAAATAAATAAGGAGGGATCCAGACACGAACGGCTCATTGCTCGCCAAATCTCACCGCAATCTGAAAGAGAAATCGGTCTCTAAATTTTCCGCTACACTCGTATTTCATCTGAAAAAGGGGGGAATAGCAGAAAATGGGAACCTTAGATGAGTTTACCATTATGATAACACATCGATCCGATAAGATAAATATTCCCTCCCCCTCTAGAAAGCCGCCTGTAAGCGATACGAGCGGCTGGTTCTAGGAGCCTGGGTTTAGCCCAATAAACGGCATACATGCAACACGGAAAGCCGACTGCATGGCAGAATTTCTGAGCTTTGAAGGTGACTGGATGACGATTGCCAGTTACGACTCAGAGCTATTTGCCAGGCCTTCTTAGGCACGGGAAGGACCCAAAGATTGGCGTATGTTGAGCGTTGAGCTGTCCTCCAGACGAAAATAATACCCTTACACTCAATGTGGTTCTTTTCCCTTTCGCATCATGATGCCAGACTCGACTCGGAATGCGGGATTGAACAGTGACTTCAAGTGGCGGATATGGAAGAAAAACTCACTGGAAATTCAGTTACAAGTGTCCGCATAACTCCTGAGGGTAGAAAGACAGAGATCAGAGGTGAACTCGCTCATTGCCTATGAGGGCTATATTAATGGGCATCGTACATGACAGCAAAGGAAGGAAAACATAGGGACGGCGCGGGACATCCGCCACGATTATAGACGGAGATTGCCGGGTCGTAGAGCAGTTCCCGGGAATCCTGGCACTCCTTTCACTCTGCACGACAACGGTTCGACTTGCCACCTGACCATAGCGAAGATCCGAAGGAAGCAAGAGCTCAACTACTCACACGAGAGAGGCTCTTATTTCACGAAGAGACCCAGCCACACGTTGCCAACGTCATGTCAACTTGAACGACCACAAGCCAGCAAAGTATGCAAAAATGACAACCTTAGCTAGCGCAGGCCGGAGGCTTATCTATGAGAAAAGCTGGAGAAGACAATGAAGACACTTCTTATGCTTATCCAGATCGGACCTTCCTTTCCTCCACTTCGCCTAGCGGTCGGGCTTGGCCATCACCGAAGAACACACGAAAAGTTATTTAAAGCAGCGCTTACAGGTGAGCCTGGGTGAGTTCATCAACAACCTTCTCTTTTCACTTCGTGCATGTGCATGGAAGACGAAATTAGACGCGGTACCCTACTCAATGGCGCGTGGATCAAGAAGGTTCCGTCATACTACTCGCCCGCGCAGGCTGTCCAGTTTCTTGAATGCATGAACCTGGATCTGGGTTTAGGAGAAGAGGAAATAGCGAAGGGGACGGCGCCGACGTCTCAAGAGGCGTTGACGCGCATCGTCGAGCGCTTTCTCATCACTTTCCCTTGGGAGAACACTCAGATGCATTAGTGAGTAATCTGTTGCCATATTTGTGGGTCGTTTTCGAGACGATTATCCAGTTCTGCTGAACATTTAATGGACGTGTCCCCAGAGGGATTATTTAATCGGATGGTCGTGGAGAAGAAGGGTGGATCGTATTGCATTGGCTTGAATGGACTTCTTTTGGGAATGCTCCGGGCGCTGGGGTACAGGTAAATGTTTATTCTGCTTGCGAGTGGAAGCTGAAGAGGACTAAATATCACCAAATATGAAGGGCCTACTGTAGCATAGCCAAAGCCAATTACGGGCCTATTGGTGGACCGCTGGACTACGTGCCTCCGACCCACCGAATTATCTTCGTCCAGCCACAAGCTCACAGCAATCAGACGTACCTCGTTGACACTGGGCATGGGTTCGGCCTCTCTACACCCATCCTTCTCTCCAACGAAGAAGACAACACCGTGCAATCCCTTAACTCTTTCGAAAAGCTTCGCCTCACCAGGACACCACATCCGAGCTCAAGCCTCGGTGAGTTCCTCTTCCCCATGTCGTGCCATGAGTTCACCATGTGTCGTAGAGAGCTCTCCAGGCTCAGAAGCGTCGACCGAGATCAAATGGAACCTCGAAGCATATCAGAAGAAGAAAGACTCGCTCGGATCGGATTGGCGAGTCTTATACTCCTTCTCCGAGGAAGAGTTCCACGAGGAGGATTTCGAGGCTGCCTCATTCCTCATCTCCAAGAGACCCGTCCTGCGAGGCCTTTTCTGGCACCACGTTGTATGCACCAAGAACTTCGTCGTCCCAGAGGAGGAGCGTACACTCCACTCTCGTGCATCTGCCAACGGCACCGTGATGCATGCCGCGAAGAGGTGTATCGACTCGTCCTGGTTGGTAGGGAAGTGAGGAAACATATTGGGAGCGAGACGGTGCCGTTGAATGTATTGGAAACGGAGAAGGAGAGGGTGCGGGCGTTGAAGGACCTGTTTGGTATCGAGCTCAGCGAGGACGAGGTTCGTCAGATGAAAGGTCGACCAGCAGCCCTCCTTGATATTATAGACACGACTTGAGTAACTCATATCCGCCGTTTTGACACTCTCGCGTCCTGCAACAATTCGTCTTATCAGCCTCAATGACGGTAGAAGCGCAGAGTTTGAGGGGGGAATCGACGCGGATCTATCGATTCAGAGGTCAGTCCCAGAGGTCGAAGTTCGTGGCGATCCTTCCTACTAAGTTATTCACTCGCCATTCACCATTAAGCGCTGTCGGCGGCCAAGATGATACGGGCCTAAGAATTTAATTCTTGTTGGGCAAGGGTACGTTGTGCCTTCAGCACATTGAATCTTGTGCATGCTGGGATCGGTGCTCGAGCGTTATGATATAAAATATGTTGGATATATGAGAGCTGATACGACGAGTCCAAGGGCTTTAACTGACGAAAAATGGAGAGGAAGGTAAACCATCCCGTGAAGGCCTACCCTGCGACAAGGCGGTATGCTGAATAGAACGCAGTCCCCTCTTGAATGATTCCTCGAGGCCTGCCTCTCGAAAGTACGGAATCACACTTGACGTCCCCTCAACAGTGAAACAAATCGGTCGAAAGGTGACAAGGTGAGTCCCTCTTGAATGGTTCCTTGACGCTTCATGCCGGGGCCAGCCAGGCGCATCTGCAGGCTTATGCCACATAGCTCGGCTAGGTTGCCACGCAGATAGATCCACGTTCCCCAGAAATTTCTGGGATGTCGCCTCTCTAGGAGTCCTTCCGATGGTACATAGCACGTACGTCTGTGGGAGTAACAGATACTCTTCGGCCACCTCGGCTGCCTTTGCTGCGGCGCACAGTTCGGGGTTGGATCCATGGCCCGCGGTTAACTTGGGAATAGAAATCACGGACTACAAATTAGTAGCAGAACGTGGGATACAGAACACTTTCTATTGCACTCAGTGGTCCAAATGCATATGCAGGAAAGCTCAAGCGTGCAACAGATCTACGGATCTGAGACTCGGAACTCCGAGTGACTGAAGAACTCCTCGTACCTTACGAGATATTACTGTGGTACGAAGAAAAATATCCTCAGGATAAAAACGGAGCTTTAAGAAGAATGAAGCTTTGAGGTTGAGCGAGAATGTTCAACGTGGCGCAGAGCGGAGATGTTTCCGCGGTTAGCGCCCGTTCACATTACGTAATTCGCCTGCGGCCCAGTTTGTTAATGCCAGTTGTGGCAGAAGGTTGACAACAACCGTCACCACAGGCCCTCGTGTATCACCGCAGCGTAGATCACCAGAGCCGCAATGCACCTCGTCAGCCCACTGCTTTCAATGTTGCATATCATTGAAGGGCTAAAGTTCCCTTCGGTCGAGCCACCAATGCCTAAAAACAGTTCTTCGAGCTCTAGGAACGACCCATTAACTAGGGATCGTAAAAGAAGTGAGTTCCCATTGTGCAGGCATACTTGCTGCTGCGTAGGATTCATTTTGTTCTTTCAGTCAAATTTCAACTCTACCACCTCGCCAACGCGGTTGCGTCGATCGGCTGCCTCGCCCGCCGGTCATTGCCACAAGAGCAGATACAAATTCCGTCGGCCCAGGATTGACCTTTTCTGTCTGATCTTCGATGCCTTCCTCGCGCAAAGGACCCCTTCATATGCTGGACGTGGCAGACCACGTCGAGTTGCTGCCTGAGGATCGTACTACCACGAAGGACAGGAGGCGAAACACTCTGTATGTCAAAGTATCCGAGGACGGATTACGGGACGATCGGTCGATTGGTGCCTGCTATTTCTAATACTCCTCCTTCCATTGACTTACCCTGATATTTTCTCTAGATTACTCGGAATACATATCGAAAGGGAAGGGTCTTAAATCGGTCGCAAGCCTGCGCCGCGACGGCCGAATTTCCGTCCTCTTCGACCTGAAAGATAAGGTTCCTGACATACCCAACGACCATGCAAGGGACATCGAAGAATTTGGTGTTGACCAGCAGTGGAGAGACTGCCCGATTCTGAACATTGTCATTATGATTGTTGGCAGTCGCGGTACGTTTATTAATCCCTCTCGATCATCCGTTAAATTTTCAAATTCTGAACGAGGTCTATTTTAGGTGACGTCCAACCATATCTTGCACTTGGAAAGCAGCTTGCGAAGGACGGACACCGCGTGCGGGTTGCTACCCATGAGACATTTCGATCGTTCGTCGGCGAGGCGGGGTTAGAGTTCTACAGCATCGGCGGAAACCCGCAAGACCTAATGAGTTATATGGTGAAAAGTGCGCTCCAATCCTCTGCCGACATTCGCACCATCTTGACCTTGGTTCCACGGGTTTCAGATCCTGGCCTCTTGCCAGGATTCGAGTCTCTGACAAACGGCGATATCAGGAAGAATAGGAAAATGCTCACGGAAGTGAGTTCCTCAAATCAAATCGATTGAAAGTACAACTGAATCGACATGCCATTGAAAGATGATCCAAGGCTGCTGGCTGTCATGCAATTCTCCATGTCCGGACACTGGTCGTGCGTTCGCAGCGGATGCCATCATCTCGAACCCTCCAGCGTTCGCCCACATCCACTGCGCCGAGGCTCTCGGGATACCGCTTCTTATGTCGTTCAGTGAGTCCCGAATCTTGAAATTTCAAGTTCCACAACTCATGATGTGGACCTTTTATAGCTATGCCATGGTTGGTACTCGCCTCGTCCTACCCCAGGTCCTTCTGAAGATTTCCTTTTGAGACAGGACGCCGACGACGGCCTTCGTCCACCCCCTAGTCAGCATCATCAACTCGAACGCGGGCAGCAGTCTGAGCAACTATTTAAGCTACGCCGCTGCAGACCTATTGACATGGCAAGGGTACGTCTTACATGACAATGCTGAATGTAGGATCGTCGGGCTCATGCCTGCGTCCTTTGACTGCCCAGCATCGGCGACATTATCAACACCTTTCGTACTTCCACGCTCGGCCTCTCTCCTCTAACCCTTCGTTCGGGGCCAAACTTCTTGGAGCGGGCTAAGGTACCATGGACGTACTGTATGAGCCCGTCCTTGGTTCCAAAGCCGTACGACTGGAAGAATCATATTGGTCAGTCTTCGCATTTCGTGCATTCGAGTGTACGATGTCATGAAATATCCAGACGTAGTTGGGTTCTACTTCCTCGACCTCGCATCCAACTACCAACCTCCTCGAGAACTAAGGGAGTTCCTGGAGGCAGGAGGCGCGCCTGTTTATATCGGGTACGTATTTCCTGGTTAATCGATTATAGATATTCTAACTCTGCGTCGTATCATTCTCGTAGTTTCGGCTCCGTTGTTGTCGATGATCCAGCTGCAATGTCCCGTAAGCGCGTCCACCTATCCAGCTCTTTCTGCTACTCACACGAGTTTATGGTTCTACTAGAGATCATATTCGAGGCAACCCAAATAGCAGGCGTTCGAGCATTAGTTTCAGTCGGCTGGGCACGTCCTCCCTCTCTCGTTTGCTCTTAGCTTTTTTTGATGCTAACATATGTTCATTCCATCCTTAGGGTGGCCTGGGGGGCGTCTCGGCTCCTCCAAATATCTTCATGCTCGGCAACGTGCCGCACGACTGGCTATTCGACAACGAGCGTGTCTGTGCTGTCGTCCATCATGGCGGGGCCGGTACAACGGCGATTGGGTTGGCAAAAGGACGGCCAACGGTCGTCGTTCCATTCTTCGGTGATCAAGGGTTCTGGGGTGAGTTTGTACTAAAAACAAGTGGGCACCAAGTGTCTGAAAAGCTGTCTTGGACTTACAGGAAGTATGATCCACAAGGCTGGGGCTGGGCCGAAGCCAATCCATCACAAGGAACTGACTGCGCAAAATTTGGCCGAGGCGATCATGTTCGCCACAAGTCCACAGGCGAAGCGTGCTGCGAGAAATCTGGCAAGGAATATACGTGATGAAGTACGAGAACATCCCACTTATCTGTCTTCGAGCAGACGTTTAACGATGTCCACAATATAGGACGGTGTGAGAAAAGGAGTCGAGAGTTTCTACAGACACCTCCCGTTACTCAACATGAGATGCGACTTGGACCCCTCTCGGCTCGCCGTGTGGTGGGCGACAGATCATGTAAGAGTAATTTTCCTTCACGAATGAGGCTCTGACGAGTATATGATATGGAATTCAGTGCATGAAGCTTAGCGCATTTGCCGCGCAAACCCTCGCGGACACCAACATGATTGATATGCGCTCATTGACACTGCATCGTACATATTTACACTTATATTCCCTTCTTCTGCCCATTTATCTTACATTCCCGCGTTTAATTTAGGTCCAAGAGAGTACAGACCACGCAATAAATCGACCTCGGAATCTCCGTCTGGTCTAGGAACCAACATCTTCTGGTCTCTCACCCACGCCGTTCTTCCTTCTACAAGACCGTCGCATGCCAACCCCGAGTCCCCACCTGAGCCAACTCAAAGTTTTCCATCTCATCCCTCATACGGCGCGTGTTATGGGAGTTTAAGAGTGCGCATGATATTAATCTGGCAGCAGGCATCATGTCGGCGATGGCTTCGATGCACGAAGGTCTCATGAACCCAGTGGCCAACCAACCCATTTCGCCCCGGTCGTCTGCCAATGACGAACTGCCTCATCATCGAACGTACTCGGCTGAGAAAGTTAGCCCTTTGTCTTCACTCATGCACATTTGTTTGATTCTCGAATTTACTGCAGAAATCACCGACTTCACCTTCAGCAAGAGATCCACGCCGCCAGCGGAGCCGTGCTGAAGTGCGTTTTCAGTTCTCTCCAACTTAACACGTGTCGATGTCAAATACTCGCAGACTATCATTACCACGGTTACGGACACCGTTATAAAAAGTAAGCTCACGCCACATAGCCTTAAATAAATCCAGTATCTAATCCATCAACCCAGTAATGAACGTCGCGAAACACCCTCAGCAATTCTTCTTCTCCCTCCCATTGCACCCCAGTGCATGGAAGAGCATCCAATCTCCCGCCGCACGTGTCCACGAGCACCGACCTCGCCTGACGCGGATAGCCGCCGGGCGTGAAGACGTGCGCCACAGCACGGCCGCTCAGAGAGCACACATCATCAAGCGCTTCGAAGAGGAGAGTAGGCTGACGCCAATGAGGCAGAAGTTGTACCGGGAGGCGGTGAGGAGGGCGACGAAAGATGGGATGGAGGATGATGCCACTCGGTCAAATACTTCTGGTGGCTCCTCGATCAACTCCAGTGGGCCTTCGACCAGTGGCACCGGCAGCGCCTCACCGACCACGCGCTTAAGTAGGGCCCCCGCGGTGCGTATGAGTGTCACTCAAGTGGGAGCTGCCCCCCAAAGAGCATCGCAGACTATGACGGGCCGCCCCATTGTTAGCATGCCGGAAGAATACGCTGCAAACCATCGACATGGTCGTTATCTAGAACCAGGACGATTCTAATTAGAGGGCGTAGTAATAGCAGACGAGATTTGTCAACATGTAGACCTATGCCTCAGGTATACGCTACTCTAAGCAACAAGGCTAGACGGAGGGAGTGCACATGTGACATGTACGGTAGGACTCAAGTATGGAAAGCCGGACTGTCAAGCTCCCAAGACAGTGATTCGCGAGCCCGAATCGGTGATGGATAACAGAGACGACGCAAGGGTAGATGACGAAACGGGTGAGGACCTCGAACACTGGCAGCAGGTGCCCATTTAAATACAGTATCTGATACAGTGTTCTAGCTTACATGGCTGACTCACCTATGCGGTCCTAACGAGCCGTCAACAAGTGTAATCGCCCAAGTTTCGCGCGAGATACGCGGCAATTCGTGCTCCCAGCGCGAAACGATGGGGAGGATGAACACAATTGGTGACCTGGGTTGCGGACACGTTAGCCAAACGCGTAAATAGATATGCAAGCGTAAATTACTCACCTGGACGAGCAATTTAAGCCTAAGAACGCGTCGAACGGTCGAGAAACGACTGACGCGCCCAAGGTTGTTTTTCGAGCACGGGTGGGTGGTTATACGAGGCCGGGGGCTTGTTGTGGAACGTCGTCCGGGCATAAAGAAGCCAAATAATGAGTTGCTTGTGGGTGGTAGCTGCACCAGCGATGGCCGAAGGAGTTGTTTCGAGGCCGATCTTGAGGTACTATAGCCGATCACACATGATACGACAGGGATCATAGGACACCGGAGTCGGAGGGCGACTGTGGCGCCTATCTGGCGGACTACCAGGGGTATGAAAACCCTCGTAGTCAAGTACGGAAAGAGGCAGCCCGACGACTGGTGCAGAAGCCGGAGCTTCCGAAACAGCCGAGAAAGCTCTTCCCTCAAAAGGTGTAGATGTGGCCGGAAAGCCAGACATGCTCGCCTCAACTACTCTTCCAGTTGGAGGGGCTGATGGAGGGCGTGAGCCCACGACGATATCGCGATAAGAGCGACGGCTCGTGGCTGAGACCGGGGATGGGGGATTGGTAACGGCAATCTTGTCAGCCTCTTCCAAATTAATTAAAGACTCACCGTCGTTGTTAACACCAGTAGCCGCCTGCGCCTGCGCATGGCTACGAAGAGGGTAATGGGACATTCCAAGGCAATAGATACGAAAAGGTGTAACCGGGTATTGGTGTCATCAACGGAAGTCCGGGCTGATTAGGCCTGGTGGGATCTAGAAGGCGAGGGGATATCGAGTAAGAAAGAAAGAAACTAGATTCGAGAAAGTAAAGCTAGAGTTCGGGGGTTTGTTATTCGAGTTCGATGGTGGTGGTTGTTGTTCAAGGTTGTTGTTGTCGACTAGTTGTCAGGTCAAAAATATGTAACGTTCGCGTGATGGATCACAGCATGGCACACGGGTTTGTCGCTTGAGATATGTTGTAATTGACGCCCGAAACTCATTACTGTATCCCCTACCCTCAGACTATTGTCGTTCGTCAGTGATTGTCTTGACGGGGTCTTGATGACATTGACCAGCCAGTCTTGGCCAGAAATCTTCGCCGGGTCCAGTGGCTAATGATGTCGCCTCTATGCGCGAGGCAGGATGCCATCACGTTCGTCAAAATGAGAGCGCGGATGACAGGTATTCCTGAGGGAGCCGATGACATACATGAGAGAGGGAGTTGGTGTGAATGCGCGGAAACGATTGTTCAGGAGCATCAGTGCAGAAATGGGTAATTGAGATGGAAACTTACCAGAACTGACACTAGCGTCGGACACAGTGAAGGTGGAGGTCGGATACAGGTTGTTTGTATCAGCCAGACCACCGCCATCGATGCGCTCGACGGCTTCGGTGTTCCTCTTGGCCATCCGTTAACCCATGGAAGAGGACAGTAATTGTCAGCCAGTGTCTGGTGGTGATGTCGGCGCTGTCCAGCAGACGAAGATGCGATTCTGGCGTTGGAGTGTGGAGACGAGATGAAAGTAAAGGTCAAGCTGGCCAACCCTAAATAGAAAGTCGACTTGGATCAATTTCTCCGGGACTGATCCAGGTCGACCTTCACGCACTGACCATATTTCCAAACGGTTTGCCAGTGAAGATATTTCGTTCAAGCTGGAACACTCTTATGCATTACCAGGTTTCAGTTGATAATATACATAACAATATTGAAGTCAAATTCCAGGACAAGTAGTATCTTGGACGTCATTGTTTAATTCTGATCGTGATGCGGCTGAAATCACATGTGTTGCGTCTTTGCTTCCTATTTACAGGGCAAAGCCTCCACTTCTCTCTCAAGATGGCACAACCTGCTCTCTACCGCTCCGATATACCAAGCCTTCGCGACCTATACCCTCAACTTCCTATCCAAATCGGTACGGTCGCACTGAATAGGGCCATTCAACAAGAGGCTCCCGTTCAGCGAGTAGATCTCGCCCATGCTGAGGCAGTCGCAAACTGCCTAGAAGCCATCGAAGGTGAGAGTGCTCGCTTGATATCTTTCATGCATTTCTGAAGAGTCTCAGCTGCTGGCAACCACGCCCAAGTGACCCCGCACATCGTTACTGCCGCTCGTGCTCGAGCAAACGCTGTGGCCGCTGCCCGTAAGCGTCACCAGACACAGCTCCGGAAACTGTTCTCACAATAACTCCCAAGAATCCACAGCAATATTTGGTGCTCAAGACATCGCCGACGCCTTGCGAGATCTTCGCGACGAAATCAGGCAGACGAATGTGGCTAACCAGAATCTTAGGATTCTTAGCTATAACAACCGCTTGCAACCGCCGAATCTCCTTCGACCATTAAAGAAAACCGTGAGTTTGTGCAGTTCTGATCATTTTCTTCACTTTCTGATAAAGATTTTTTCTATCTAAGTCACTTGGCTGCGGTCGCGCCCTCGCAACTGGCCTCGCTCCAGCGGGGTTTTTCAATAATGTTAATAACCAGGTGCAATTCGATCAGCGTTGTCCGGCAGCTCCGATACCAGCAGTTGGTGCCACTCCACCTGCTGCTGTCTTTCACCCACGTATCGAGAACTACCAGCATATTGACATTCTCGTTCTCATCGCCTACTACAATGATGACTTCGGTATTGTTGTTGGAGACTCAGTCCCAGATCGTCAAGTGAAGATCCGAGACTTCTTCTCACAATTCTAGTACTAGTTTTTGTTCTATTTGTTGAATGGCAATTCTCCCTTTCAGTACTAAATAATGTATAGAGGCTGCATTGGTGCCTATGGCAGTGTGAGAGTGCAGCTTGAGCGTTTTGCTCAGTAGTACCCCTTGTCAGCTTCGAAGCGCAGATGAAGAAGTCTAAAGGGAGGGGTCGGAGGAGTGGTAGCTCGTTCGATGTGTTTAGGATGAAGTATGAGATGGATAAAGAGGAGGAGGGGGATAAGGGAGAGGGAAGCAGTGCGAAGAGGAAGAAAGGTGATGTTGTGAGGAATGAAGATGAAGTGGATGAAGAGGAGGTTGTGCAGAAGCCGAAGAAGAAGCGGAGGGTTTTGGATGAGGTTGAGGTGAAGGACTTAATTGTGGTTTCGAAGCCGGTGTCTAGGGTGAAGCCTAAGAGCAAAGCGAAGAAGGCAGCTGCCGAGTAGTGGTGGCAAAGTTCGGTTCTGAACGTTGAACTTTGGTTCGAACTTGAACTCATTGAAACCGAATGCAAAGTTCGGTCCAAAGTTCGAGAAAGTGAGTGAACCAAACCCGAAGTCTGGTTCTGGGTTCGAGGGAGAGCAGGGAGGTTCGAATCCGTTCGAACCAGTCCCAAATGTTGAGCGTAAAAATTGTTTTTTATGGGTCGGTGCCTTGCTTCATTTAGCTGCAAAGCTCTATGGAGTGCGTCCGCAATGCTTCGGGCTCGGAAGCCATCCCGCCGAAATGCCGGGGCCGACAATGATGATTCCCACGGCTACCACTTTCGGCGCCTCTTCGTCGAGCGCTTATGGTGCCTGGTTTGAAGGCAAGGCAATAGTTAATTCGAGGGGAAAAAAAACATACATTAACATTACCATGTTACTTATATACGGTCGCGGGAGTTGCCGCCGCTGTGATCGCCACAGTCTGGCCCCGCAGTTTCCAATTCTGAGATCTTCTGCCTTCAATTGGATGAGAGGATCAATATAAAGCATTTCAAATGGACGAGCGTCAACTTTGGCACGATCCCTGATGGTATGAGAAGGGTGTTGGAGTTCAAAGGATGGATCGCGGTAGGATTGAAAGAACTAAGGAATACATGACGGCATACAAATAGTACGGCCCACATGTATATATGTACAAACAGACGCGCCACGACACGCATCGAGACGTCACATGTCAACAAAGGGACGAATGAGAGGAGGGCAGAGGCCCCACCTGGAATACCGCGTGCGGCAAGGACAAAGGCGGGGGCAGGCAGGGAAAGGACCTCATCGCGTTTGTTGCATGGCCTATTCTGGAAGGAGGGAGGGGCAACGCGAATGGGGGAGCGGCACGGGCGTGGTTATTGTTCGCGACGACGACTCGGACATGGAGAGAGGGTCCAGGGAGCAGTCACGAACCAGCAATATTATGTAATGAATTGTGTCACGTGCAGAGGGCTAAAAGTCCATACCGAACGTTGAAGTTGCACCAACAAGTTTAAGTTGAACACGAGTTACACCTCAAGCTCAAGTTTCAAGCTCGGACGGCACCTCTCTTTTTTCAACTGATACCGCCATTATCGCTCCTCCGCTGTCGAATCTAGTGATTTTTCTTCCTCTTGTGGGGAAAATCTTAAGTCCACACTACATTAATCGGACCGGGACAACGCATAGTACGACGAGCCTTACTTGCAGGACGCTCCATGGATTCCTACCTAAAGTGGCGTCTGTACTACCAAAATGGGTATGAATCAAAAGCGAAGGTGAGCGAACTGCGCAGTTCTCGGTGAGTTTGGAGTAACAGTGCAGATATAGGGATATCCAGAGGAAATCAGAGCTGCAATGATTTACAATCTACCTATACATAACACAACAATTGCTTCTGCATTACAATTCAGGGAGGAGCCTTCCAAAAATGTGCCCGACTTTGACACCAAACTCGCGTCTCTCGACATCGAACTCGAAGAACTTCGAAGGCAAAAGAACATGCTTGAAGAAGAGGCCCAACCGCATCGTCGAAGGCTGAATGCATGTAATGCCATTCTAGCACCCATTCGACGGGTTCCATTCGAAATTATCCGTGAAATCGCGCGCCTTACACTTCCTCGTCACCCATCAGCAACAACAAAACGCAGCCCTCTTTCCTTATGCCATGTGTCATCTGCATGGCGCAGGGCTGCGCTGTCGCTTCCGGAGCTATGGACGACACTCTACATGGTGCTCGAGGATACACTATCCTGGGAACGGTACATCAAACGGGTTGTGGAATGGTTCGGGCGGGCACAAGGCAAACCCTGCTCTTTCTACCTCCATTTCCGTTTCCCGGATCAGCACAAACCCTGGGCGAAGCAGGCATACAGCATCTTCCTCTACAACATCCGATCGCTCATGATCCACGTTAGACATCTAGGGATCTCATCCGACTGTCTGGGAACAGCTCTGCCTTGTTTCAAAGGAGCGGCGTGGCAACTCGAAGGCCTTCAAACTCTTACATTCTACAACGATACAGATTCATTTTTTGAGTGGGCCATGGGCCTGGGAGAACCTAATCCCAGCCTTGTCATACAGCCCATGGATTTGTTCAGAACAGCAAAGAATCTTTGCTCGGTGATGATGCAGAACGACTTCATGCAGATCATTGGTGGACCTCTCTTCCTCCCTTGGGTCCAACTAACCAATGTCATCCTAGACGAGTGGCTATCAACCCACTATTGGATGACCATTATGGAGACATGCTTACAGCTGCGTGTAGGGCACTTCCACCTAGGCGATAGACGGTACCCTGCAAACCCTCATTCTAAGCGTGTTATTTTGTGCCTCGAAGAGCTCTATCTCGAAGTGAATCACTATTGCCCATCAATTCTCAATTTCCTCATTCTCTACGAGCTTCCCAGTTTGCGCATTCTCAACTTGTGGCACGAAATAGATGACCCTGGTGCTATTCCGGCCCCTCCGGTTGCGAGTGAGGTCTCTGCACTGAAGACTGTAGGAACGTTATATTTCCAAGATGTTTGGCAGGATGTTGCTCCAATCTATGTCCTCGAAATGGTCACAGCGGCGACGAACTTACGCGGACTTGAACTCATAAATGTTGTCCCCGGTGAAACCTACCAGGCGTTATTCAAGGCCATGTCCTTCGATAACCCCTCTCCAATTCTGACAAAGCTCTCTTATTTTCTTGTTGAGGCCACAGATCAGATTACAGAATGGACATCATTCATCGAGATGGTTCGTTCAAGGTGTCTCGAAGTTCCAGCAGGATACGAAAGTCTTAAAGAGCTCAACATCGACATCCAACACGATTCCTACACCCGGCTTCGAATTCCAGACCAAGAAACTGTGATTATCGACAAGCTGAACGCGGCTCTGGAGATATTTAAAAACGTTGGTCTGTTGCTGCATGTTGGAGACAGCTATGCCCGATATCAGAGAAGAGGTGACCCATGCAACACTTTGGATGGTACCAAAAAGGGGTGGTATCCACTGCTACGGAAAGAACTGGAGAGAGGAGACGAAGGTTGTTACGAGTGGTGGAAAAAAAAAATATACTGTCCCGATTTGCGAACTTCAACAAGCGATTTCATAATTCCACATTGTGATAATTAGGCTACATACCAGAGCAGAGAAATTAGAGACAATCTACTCGAGTCGCAAGCCAGCCGTCGGTGGTATCGATCTACGAACGCGCGAAGAACAAAAGAGGAGCGATATGGGAATAGGACAAATGAGGTGGTATCAATGGATTAATCGTCGGGATCATGGTTCACATCGTGAAAGATCATATGTAACGGTGCAAACAAACCGAAATACATCAACAGTCGGTAGGGATAGGAGGAACAGGTTTGCGATAGCTCAGCGGTCGCTTCTTGACCTCTCCAGAAAGTCTCTGCGTCGGAGATGTCGGTGGGGCATCATCCTTCGGGGGCGTAGCAGGAGCCCAGCCTTCGTATCCCTTCCGCGTACCCCACATATTAACAGCCTCCCCACAGTCCGACTTGAATTCCGGGATCGAATCCGACATCTTCGACGACACGCGAGAAAGGCCGAATTCCTCTGGGCACCCATTCCCATGCTCGTCGGGGTTCTCGACGATGAACGACAGCCTCTCCTTGATGCGCTTGAAATCCGGAATCGGGATCGTAGGAGGCGCTGGAGGTGAAGCGCGTGTCTTCGCAGGGGAGGCGGTCGCCGGCCCATCAACAAGTCGCTTCGCGCGATGGATGAGCGCAGAGTCCACGAGCGAGTCACGCGCCTTGGCTATCCTGGCTGCCGGCTTCTTAGGTCCTGCCGACGGCGGAGAAAGAGGGGCGGTCGTCTCGACGAGTGTGGACTCCGTACAGTCGGACGCGGAGGATGAGGGGGAATTATCGGAGTCAGAGGATGCTGCGTCCTTGGGAAAGACGAGCTGAAGGGGGACGCCCGACCCAAGTTTCTTCCGAAGCCTGTCCATCTTCTGCTTCCGGAGGCTGTTCTCGGAGGGAATGGTAAATGTACTGAGCACAAGGGAGTTGCGAGGTGAAGGGAGGTCGTTAGGATCAGGGAGGAACTGGACGCTGAACTCCTCGTCGGAGCTGGTTGGAGAGGACGAAGGCGCGAAAAATGAGGTGCGGGTTGGAGGAGGCGATGCGGGTATGGTCTCGATGTTCAAGGACCTCATCGCGAGTCGGAGAACGGGGATCTTGGTGTCCTGCGGCCATCGTTCGGAGGTCTTGGTTGAGATGAAAGAAGGGGAAGAGCTGTGTCGTTGGCGACGGGAACCAGAGTTACGCATGGAACTGAAAGACGAGATGGAAGAATGCGACCGCTTGACCGGCGAGCAGGTGGGAGACACGTCACAAGAGCTGCTTGAAGAACTGGAATCGAGTGACGAGCGACGGGTCTTGGTAGAAAAGCGATTCCTCGAACCGAGGGTTGATGGTAAAGAAATATGGATCGGACCTTCGAAGAGGGAATTGACCGTAAGGGTTAGCTTCAGTAGAGCTTTATAGAACAATGTCGACGTACCGATCGCGTCCACTAAAAACGGCGTGCTTCCCAAAAGCTGCTCGATCTTCTTCGTCTTTCGAACAAGAAGTGCTCGTTGCTGAGCAGTCAAATCATTGGTGGTGGGAGGTGGCGCCGGGAAAACGACTTTCATAGGAGAAGACATGTCGATTCAACTTGGAAAACAGAGATCGATGAAGGGATCGTTCCGAGCAGAAACGACCAAAAAGGTGTCGAGGAAGGTATCTCAGGACGGCCTAGCAATTGACAGTGGGGATTCCCAGAACACCACCTGAGGTGGGCGACGTAGACTAAGTAGCCCTCGGAGTATCTGTATAAGTACACGAAGCCAGAACAAAAAGGCTGCGAAAGACTCCAGGGCAGTCAGGTGGCACCGGTGCTTCCAAGTTCCATTTTGCGCAGACAGGCGTTCAGGAACCTTGCCTTATTGTGTGCACCGGGGGTGAGAAAAGGTCAGAGTCAAGGTGCCATAGGCGATAGGTAGCTTATTGTCGAAGGCATGAGGCCAGGTGTGGTGATGGCACTAAAAGACAATTGTGCGGGGTTAGTGATGGGAAGTTGTCCGGCGCTTTTGCCATTTTTGGGTGGCTCTTCGGACCTTGCGGTTCATCTCGCCTGCAAAAGTAGACTTCGTAGACAGAACGCAGGACTGCCGTACACGGAGCCCGGAATACACAGGGAGTGGACCAACGGCTGACAATGTTAAAATGAAGGCCATCCAGTCATGGAAAAGGTTACCCATAGAAACTATTTGCGGGTGACGGGATTGTCAGGGGAGAGATTTATCTAAAGACCTGAGGGCCTGCGGGAGAATATCCGTTTTCCTTAAATTTAACTTAATGGAACAAGAATAACCTTCTGAGGCCTCTGCGATCGATTGGCTTTGTGGGCGTTAACATCAGCCATCACGGGGTTCTCCGTCACAGGCACCCTTAGACTCAGAGTTCGAGCAATTAAGCGCCCACGTATTGCTATCATAACATCATCGTTGAAGTAGGCTCTTGACTAGAGGTTATTGGTTATTTGCAGTTCTGAGGGCTCCACAAATCCGTGAAGCTGATTGGCTTGGGGCCTCCTTCAGCCAATGAGACTTGGGCGGTTCTAGGAATATTCGAAGTGCAAATAACCTCTACTATGAAATTTGCCTTGCCTTTGGTGTTAGCGGTGCCTGGAAAGTTTCGGCGCTTGACATCTACTAGGGAGCGGTCATCACCATCAGACCAATCAGGTCCCAAATTTCATCTTGGGTGTGCTCACCGTGGCGGCCCAGAAATGACCAGTTTATTCTTAGGTGTGTTTCGAACAGAAAAGTCGTTGACGACTAAGAGCTTCTGACAAGCCAAAGTTGACGTTGATGCATACGTTGATGACTTAGAGGATCTACCAAGCATCTGCCTATATACCCACGACGGGTTTTGCAAGACAGGAAAAATTGCATGGGAAGTTGGACGACATTACTTACCCCGACTGACCGAGCGTGAAATTTCGTTTGTCATCGTTGGCGGCAACAACGAACATCTCTGGCCATGGCCGACCATATCCTTGGCAGGCTGAAGGAGAACCCCCTGACACACCGCATACCCGCCGAGATCAAAAATTACTAAGTTTGTCGCTAATCGCGCTTGGCAACCTACGTCTACACAGGTTTCCTTGGTTGTTGTGCTGCGAGCATTCAGCTAGTACTCTAGGTGACCTACGGGGGGTACCAAGCTAGGGGTTAGATGAACGATGCTGTTTCATAAATCGCCGGTGAGGGCGCTGCAGCTCGCTGCGTGTAGAACTCGAGGATGATCGACCCAGCAGCGCATGCAATTGGTATTGTAAGGAGGATTGGATAATGATCTCCCACATTTCTCGTCTTCACTTACTCGGTATCACGGAGAATGTCTGCCGGCGCAGTATGTACGTACGTATATTACACAGCGTCCCGCTGTAGAAACAGCACAGAAAGTTACCTTCTCGGACAAATCCAAGGAGATAAGCATAGCACAAGTAAAGCAACTTTTACCTGTGTCTTGGAGGTGAACCGCCTCGCTGACTTGCGGGGGAATAATTCTAGCGTTTCTTGAATTCTGTAGATTTTTGCGAGCATTTTAGAAGGTAGCGAAGGCTTCGAATCACTAGCCCAAGGCTCGTCAGACTTGTTAGAAAGCTCTTTGAAAAGATCGAGTGGTGAAAGACAAGAGCAAAGACGGACTTGTCCATCAAAAATCTGCCACAATGGGCGTGCTCTGCTTTTGGGTAAGACCCCGTGCACCTCTGCAGCATCGCCTGAATTCTTGGCGTCCTTCCTCCTCCTCACCGCCACCACTGACGATAATCCTCCAAAACTCTCCCTTTTGCCGTGCTGGCTCTCGGTGGAAGGAAGCTCGCCACCACAAGCCTCCGTAGACCCGCACTATGTCCTTTTTCCGACGAAACAGACCGACAGATGACCACGACACCGACGAGGAGAATGACGATACAATCGACCCCGAGTTGCGCCTGCGCACAGTGCGGACGGCAGCGTCTGCCATAGCAGAGTCTATCAAGTCGGAGCAGCGCGCTGCGAGGAGGAAGACGAGGAACAAACGGTCGTTCTTTCGGAGGCAGGCTGCCAAGAAGCCCCAACCAGCAGCCCCTGCAGGCGAAACTCCGAGTCCATCACACCATCGAATACCAGGCGCGCGACGGAATGTCTATGTGAATCACCCCCTCTCGGCCATGGAGGCGGATCACAATGGGGAGCCCAAGGCGCGCTACGTCAGGAATAAAGTGCGGACGACGAGTAAGTGCCGACTGAGCCGAGTTGTGCTGCATGCTCACTAGGAACAGAGTATACAATTATTTCGTTCATCCCCAAGAATCTGTACGAACAGTTCCGGCGTGTGGCCAATCTCTTCTTCCTGTCGCTCGTTATCCTCCAAATCTTCCCAATATTCGGTGCAGCAGCGGGCTCTATAGCCGTGTTACCCCTGGCATTCATCCTTACCGTCACTGCAATCAAGGATGGTGTGGAAGACTACCGACGTGGCACCCTCGACGAAGAAGTCAACACCTCAGCGGCGACAAAATTGGGAGGAGGATGGCGAAATGTCAATCAGCCGAAGGACCCCCGTCATTGGTTCGAGAAGCTGCTCGGACTCAACGCCCCTGGAAAGGTCACAAAAGGTGTTCAGAGGCTGCGGGACAAGGAGGCGAGCGAGGCGGGGAAGGACATCCGGGTGGTGCTGAGCAAGGGTGGAGACGACTCGTCAAGTGTGCTCACCCATGATATCAGCCAGAGCAGCCTTGACTTACCTCATGCTCGTGGCGCGGGGGGTAGAAGGCTCGAGGACATCCAGAGCATCGATTCTCACAGCTACCCGCCTACCACCCTCGCCGAATCGTCGAAAACGTCGCTCTCTGTCGAAGGCACCATGACGAAAGGGGCACAGGAGTGGGGTCAATTTGGGTCGCTGGCGCAGTATCAACAATCTGTCAACTCGCAGTCTACCCTCGGTGTCGTCGACTGGCGCAAGCGACCATCCGGCTCGGCGCGCTGGGAGCGTACGTTATGGAAGAAGCTCGAAGTGGGCGACATCGTTCTGCTCCGGGAAAACGACCAGGTTCCCGCCGACATCGTTGTTCTGTCAACGTCCGACTCGGATGGGATGTGTTACTTGGAGACGAAGAACTTGGACGGAGAGACGAACTTGAAGCCTCGCAGATCGATCAAAGCAACTACTAACATCTCGTCGGAAGAGGACATTGAGAAATCATCGTTCTACCTCGACTCGGAGCCGCCCCACCAGAACCTCTACCACTACCACGGCGTCTTGCGGTACAAGGACCCCGCGTCCGGCGAAGACAAGCAAGAACCTGTCTCCATCAACGAGCTCCTTCTACGTGGTTGTGCTATCCGTAACACGTCATGGATCGTCGGCTTGGTCGTCTTCACTGGCGCAGACACTAAGATCATGCTGAACGGAGGCGACACCCCTTCGAAGCGGAGCAAAATCGAAAAGGAGACCAACTTCAATGTCATCGTCAACTTCTGCGTCCTTACGCTCATGTGTCTCATCGCCGCCATATTCAGCGGGCTGGAGGATGCCAAGACCGGTACTAGCGCACAATTTTTCGAGGCGGGCTCGGACCCGACCAACTCCTACATCGTCAACGCAGTCATCACCTTCGTGTATGGTCTTTATTTCTATAGTCGCTGTTAACACCTAACGTTGTCTCCATTGCAGGTCGTGTCTCATCGCTTTCCAGAACATCGTCCCTATTTCCTTGTACATCTCCATCGAAATCGTCAAGACTATTCAAGCCTACTTTATCTCGCAAGACGTCGACATGTACTACCAGCCCTACGACACGCCTTGCGTCCCGAAGACGTGGAACATCTCCGATGACTTGGGCCAAATCGAATACGTTTTTTCCGATAAGACTGGTACACTTACTCAGAACGTCATGGAGTTCCAGAAATGTTCAATCAACGGCGTTGCCTACGGAGAAGGAATCACAGAGGCGCAGCGTGGTGCAGCCACCCGCGAGGGCAGAGCCGATGCACTCGATCCTAGCGAGATCAACGAAAAGCTGGTGAAGCTGAAGCACCAAATGATCACCACCATGGAACGGAACTTCAAGAATCGATATATGCAGGCCGACAAGCTCACTCTGGTATCGCCCAAGTTCGCGGAGGATCTGACAAATCGGTCGTCTGACCAACGCGCGCGCATCGTGGCGTTCTTCCGGGCGCTGGCTCTGTGTCATAGCGTCCTCGCCGACAAACCCGAGCCGCAGAAGGAACCGTACTTCGTCAACTACAAGGCCGAGTCCCCAGATGAAGCTGCGCTAGTCAGCGCCGCCCGCGATGCCGGTTTCCCGTTCGTCGGCAAGTCGAAGGATACTCTGGAGATTGAGGTCATGGGCCAGTCGGAGAAGTACACGTTCCTCAAGATGCTTGAGTTCAACAGTACACGGAAGCGCATGAGCGTCATCGTTCGTGCCCCTGACGGCAAGCTCATCCTCTACTGCAAGGGCGCCGACAGCGTCATTTATGAGCGGCTCGCGAAGGACCATGATCCAGTCTTGAAGGAGCAGACCAGCAAGGACATGGAAATGTTCGCGAACAATGGCCTCAGGACGCTGTGCATCTCGTATCGGTATCTTCAGGAGGACGAATACCTGACATGGTCGAGGACTTATGATGCCGCCACCAACGCCATCGAGAATCGCGAAGAGGAGATCGACAAGGCGAACGCCCTCATCGAACATTCGTTGCAGATCCTCGGAGCGACTGCCCTGGAAGATAAGCTGCAAGAGGGTGTTCCGGAGGCGATTGAGATGCTGCACAGAGCTGGTATCAAGTTATGGATTTTGACTGGTGCGTAATACTCTTCTCTTATCTCGATATATGCGCTAACCTTTCATGTGCAGGTGACAAGCTCCAGACGGCTATAGAAATCGGCTACAGCTGCAACCTCCTCAAGAACGACATGGACCTCATGATTCTCTCCGCCAGCTCCCCTGAACAGACCCGAGCGCAAATAGAGGCAGGCTTGAACAAGATCGCGTCGGTTCTTGGCCCTCCGTCATGGGATATTCGCAAACGAGGCTTCGTTCCAGGCTCACAGGCATCGTTCGCTGTTGTCATCGATGGCGAGACTCTTCGACACGCTCTTACACCTGAACTGAAGCCCCTGTTCCTGAACCTCGGTACTCAGTGCGAGACGGTGGTTTGCTGTCGTGTATCTCCTGCCCAAAAGGCCCTGACAGTCAACTTGGTACGTCGCCTCAGGTTGTCTCCTTTCGTGGCGTTGTGTTCATCTCAAAAAATCGCAGGTCAAGGAAGGGCGGAATGCCATGACACTCTCCATCGGTGACGGTGCCAATGACGTGGCGATGATTCAGGAAGCCAACATTGGGTGTGGTCTCTTCGGCTTGGAAGGCTCGCAAGCTGCCATGTCGGCCGACTATGCCTTTGGCCAGTTCCGGTTCCTGACGAAGCTTCTTTTGGTCCACGGTCGGTGGTCGTACCAGCGTGTGGCGGACATGCACAGCAACTTTTTTTACAAAGTGCGTCACTTTTCCCCGTTGCTTTTGGCCCGTACCGACGATGTTATGAATATGTAGAATGTTATCTGGACATTCGCTATGTTCTGGTATTTGCCATTCAACAGGTATGTTTAGTTTTCCTCGCCGCATAGAGACGACCGTTGCTGATCTTCTATTTAGTTTCGATGCAACATATCTGTACCAATACACATTCATCTTGCTCTACAACCTTGTATTCACCTCTCTTCCTGTTATTGTACTTGGAGGTTCGTCTCTTTCACTTCGTCTCGCCGACAAGCCCGGTAACATTTCTCTTCATAGCATTCGACCAAGACATCAACGCGAAAGCTGCTCTGGCTTTCCCGCAACTCTATGTTCGCGGTATTCGCGGTCTGGAGTACACGCGCACCAAGTTCTGGATGTACATGACCGACGGTCTCTATCAATCGGGTGTTGTTTTCTTCGTTCCCTATCTTGCTTGGTCTCTTGGGCTACCGATTTCTTGGACTGGGCGAGGCGTCGATTCTTTGGCGGACTTCGGTACGACTGTTGCTGTCGCTGCTATCGTGGCGGCTAACACTTATGTTGGATTGAACACACATTAGTGAGTATTTCGCAGCTGGGTCGTTTTTGGACGTGCCTAATGAGGACATAGCTGGACTGCCATGACGTGGATTGTCGTCCTCGGCTCCACAATAGTGATGATGTTGTGGATCGTGGTGTATTCATTCTTCATGAGCAACGACTTCGTGGATGAGGTTTCAATCCTCTTTGGGACGGTCACTTTCTGGACAACTGTGATTTTATCTGCTGTTATTTCTCTCGGTGCGCCCCTATGTTGTTTTATAGAGGATCTACTTTTAATCCCCGTTTCCAGCCCCTCGTTTCATTGTGAAGTATTGGAAGACTGTGTACACTCCTCTTGATAAGGACATCGTCCGCGAGATGTGGGTCAAGGGCGACCTCAAAGACCGGCTCGGCATCTCGCATAGAAAAGACAAGAAGAACAAGAAGATCTCGGACAGCAATCTCGAAGCCGCGCCGATGTTCCAGGACCAGCACAATCGATCGATGTCGGAGTTCTCCAATCCTCCGAACGGCTATGAACCTGCCATGGACAGAAGCCCAGCAATGGAAGACACGCCACGGGCCACCTATCTAGATACCCCGCCCATGAGCGAAGCTGTTGACCTCCCACCTCGCGAGGCTGTCATACAATACGCGACTGTTAGAAACGACGCTATGGATGGCACTCGCCTTTCTCCTTTCCCTCCTGATGGTCGACCAACACATGCCCCATCACCACAACCTTCTTATTACTCTGCGTCAGATCTACCTCCTGCCTCTCCGCTACCCTCGCCCAAGTTCAAGCTGTCTAATGGAGAAGTGACAAGTACTCCTCCAAGTCGGAGAACGAGTTACGCCCCGTCAAGAGCAACATCGACCGGGCGTGGGGTGGTGGGTCGTGGAACGGTCAACCCATACATGCCTTCCTCGCCAGTACCGTCACACCCAGGTCCAGATCGGCCGAATAGTTTGCTCGTCCCCCAGCCCCAGCCGTACCCGAGACCGCCAATCGACAATGCGTACGAGATGCGGGTAAGGAGCCCGCCTAACGAGGATGCGTATGCTGGCTATTATGGTCATGACCCTCGAGCGCCCAGTGCGGCTTCGCAGGCGTCTTACGCCACTGCTGTTGACGAGTTTTGGACGGCCGAGGACGATGGCGGGAACAGTCCACGTCATCCGACAGGGCACCATCCGCCACCACAGGGCGGCCTGCACCACCAGCCACAGCAGCAGCAGTATCTCGTCGATGACAGCGATCAGGAGACTGTTATGGACCCACGGCGCGTCAGCAATATGACAATGTCAACATGGGAAGGTGGCCGAGCTTTGTAGACTTAATTATTTGGTTTTTCTTCACTATCCTTTCCTTCCCCATGATCCAGTGCTGCTTGATGTGTATTCTTCTACGTACATTCTCCAATTCCAAACCAACCTGCCGCTTTTCTACCCTCACGCCGCTACTGTTTCATCTTTGGATGGTTTTTATTTCACAGTCACATCTGGATTGGACATTTACCACTTTTCTCGTAATTATGAAGTTTCGAACTGATATCATCGCTAGTATACCACGTTAATCCATGCAATGAAAGGCTTTACATGAAGCATTGTTGTAATCGGGTGGCATAAGAACGGATAATCTGAACTGACAAAATAAAGAAGGAAGAATTATTACTGGTGAGGCTCCAGTCTGGTTTGGTTTGATAAGGCGATCAGCATTTCTTTCCCTTCCTACTTACATCAAGTTCAAGGCCGTGCAAGGCCCCATCTATGCATCCACCCAACTTCCACTGTTTGCATGTTCGACCAGGGGCTCTACAACAGTAAGCATAGTGCTAACTGGCCGGAATCGTGGTTGGTTGGTTGTGAAATCACCGGTGTGGAATCTTGGCCTCTGTTAGTTCATCTGGACTGCATACAGACGGCCCAAGATCCGGCGACCTTGTAATGATTATTGGTGTGTTATTTCTGTACTGTTATTGGATTGGATGATTTGAATTGTACAAACTGATAATCGCGTGGATCGGGTAGATTCGGTTTGTTCAAGGTCAATTGACCTTTCTTGGAAGATTGTTGTAGCGCAATCACTCCTTTCTCCACACCACCACCATCATGCCGCCAGTGACGACTACCGACACCCAAGAGCAGCAGAGTTCGACCTCGGCCTCAACGTCGATTCTGAAAGAGCGGCGGTTCAAGCTGAGCAGGTGCGTCCTTGACTGCAAGGAGCTAGGAGACGAGTCTAACGATTGTATTCTTATAGAGCGTGTGATCGATGTCGGTGAGTCATTCACCGGTCAGACCAACGATCCAAGCTCATTGCGGCTCTAGGAGGAGGAGGATCAAGTGTGATGAGGGGCATCCGTGCCAGGCATGCCTGACGGCCAACTCCTCATGCACATTTGAGGAGCCGGGCAAGAGGACCCACCCTCACAAGTCAAAGTAAGCACCCACGAACTGTGCGTGCTGTTGTACTCATCGAGCCATTTTAGACGAACAGCGACCCTGGAGGATCGCATGCACCACCTCGAGACACTCATTCAGGCCATTCCACCCGCCGTCTTCGCAGCTGGAGGCATTGTTCCAACCGTTACCCCCGGCCATCCAGCCTCCGACGTCGCACCCAGCCCCGTCGTTCCTTTCATGTACCCAGACGGCATACCTTCAGGCGTACCACCGCCCTCGTTGCATGTCTTCCCTCTCACGAACCCATCCACTCATTTCACCAAGACCGATGAGCGACGGACAAGCCCGCAGCGGTCTTTCGGCTCGCTATTCCATGCGCAACCCACGAGCACCGACCAGCTCCTAGCTGAGGAGACATCCAGGATGTCATTGACAGCCTCGTACCTCTACTTTGATGACGAAGGCTATACGCGATGGCAAGGCGAAACCTCTGGACTCCCGGTGCTTGATCTGCTCGTTGAACGACATACCCCCACGGCGAACAGGGAAGCGAATTCAGAAGCGAATGCGGCCAAAATGGCTAGCGCAGCTAATGCGGAATGGTTCCCTAACCGCCAGCCCCATCGCACGGATGTGAACCCCCAAGCCTTATGGGGTCTTATCACCTCCTACATCGTTCCGGAACTCATGGACGGGTACGTACAACGGTATTTTCTCTCTCGGTCACTATTTTTACGTCTTATTTCAGTCTCGTCCAGTGTTATCTATCGACTTCCTATTACATCCTCCCTTTCCTCCATGTACCCACCTTCTTAGCAGTGAGTGCCATCTCTCTCTATCCGCCCCCTGAATGCCCCAATTCAACCATTTCCAGGACTATGGCAATCCCCAAAAATGGGCAGAACCTGGCTTTGCTGCATTCATTGTCGCTATCTGTTGTCTCGCTTCACGTCATATGGACGACCTTCGCGTACGAGCCGACCCCAATGACGGCATTTCTGCAGGCACTCAGTGGTTTGAACTCTTCGGCCGTCTGCGTACGCTGCCCATTGCGGACCGACCAACGCTTTACAACATTCAGGCAAATCTTATCGCCGCCGTCTACGCTGTCGGACTCGGCAAACTCTCAAAAGCCGCTGCATTGCTCGCCGAATCTGCTACAATGTCCATCGACGCTGGGCTCCATCGTTCTGCGGACAACTACGACCTCTTTGACCCTATCGAAGACGAAGTGCGGAAGCGAACGTTCTGGTGTGTGTACATCTGGGACAAGCAGCTTGGGGCGCACTTTGGACGGCCGTCGATGTTGAGGTTGAGGGATTGCGATGTCCCGGAACCTGCTCCTGTGGACGACGAGTACATCACTCGGGAAGCCATTGGCGTGCCTCCTCCAGGCACCTCATGCCGTCTGAGTGCTTTTATCGTGTCCCTCCGGATCATGGTCGTGCTCGAATCCGTCCTCGACGTCCCGCCTGCGCGCCAATCAGACGATTCCAACTCTTTCCTGCTCCGTGCGACAAATGTGCTTTCTGGCGTGAAGCGGTTCAACGAGATGCGTGAGGAGGAGGCACTGCTGGATGACATCCATCGAAACATCCCTGCGTTCTGGGCGCATACACCCGAGACGATCAACAGCGACGATACGATCCGCCTGACGCAAGCTGAAAGATTGCACTGCGCCGAGCAGTATGTCCGTCTGCTAATCTATCGGCACCGATTCTCGGAGCACGTTGCGGAAAGGACCAGCGGTCCGAACCCAGAGGAGCAGAGCGAGGCCGAGAAGGAAGCGTTAATTGCAGCTCACAACTCGGCACTCCAGGTCGTCTCTGCCCACGTTCACATTGCGAAGAAGGGTCTGATGACATATTGTGGGTGGCCGTCCTCTCCGTTCCTTTCATATGTTTTTAATTTTCACGATACCGGCTCTTTAATTTTAGATGGTGTACACGTTATTCACCAGCTGACGCAGGCAGGGAGAACGCTCGTCGCGGTCCTTTTGTGTTGCAAGACAGAAGCATTACAGCATTTGATTCCGGCGGGGTTAGACGCCTTACGATCGTGCATCGGTCTTCTCCGAAGGTTCAGCGGTCGTTATGTCTGCGGCCTGCGTTCAGGCGATCTCATGGAAGAGTTCTGTCGGCGTAAGTCCTCTTTCATTTTGGATAATTGAATCGGAAGCGGTTGTAGTAATGACTTTTTTTCTCGTGGTCGTTCTAGTTACAAATATCCCTCTGGAAACTACTCCTCGCCAGGAGGGACCCCCAAGTACCACACGCCCGCCATGGATACGCCCCGTCCGGAAGAAGGCGCCCTCGATCGCCCGCAGCAACCAGAGCGGGGATTCCCCCTCCCAACACAGCAGCCCCGAAGCCTTCTCCCCATCGGACTTTTTCGCGGAGCCTGTGAAGTCAAATCACCTACCCTCGCCAGCGCACTTCAGCGCTACTGCTGCAGGTAGTACGAGCGGCGCCAGCCCTGCGTTCATGGACACAGGCATGGACATGCACGACCCGGCACACATGTACCTGTCGCCGGAGATGATGGCGCTGTTCAACGTCGGCAATGATAGTGCGATGGACGTCCACAACTTGTTCTCGAGTGAGTTCATGCAGACGCCGACGGGACCGCAGCCGCCACAAACGCCGCACCAGCGGCACGCGAGCGAGGGTGCTGGAAATGCGGGGTCAGGGGGTGGGTCGTCGAATGCAGGGTTCACAAGCCCATCGTTTCTCAAGATGAATGGGCTAGTGACCTCGCCATAGCGACCTCGACTACAGCAAAAGCTCGCTCTTCGGTTATTCATCGAGGGTCTGGACGTGCATATGGACTCGTCGTAGGTGCTACGTCTTTTTCTCTTATTTTCTATCGTATAATACCTTCTCCACTTTATCAGCGTTGGGCTTTGGATGAGATGGATATGACTTCCCTTTTTTATCTCTCTTCCCTGCTTCTTGTTTATGTCGAATGCTCTGTAACTATATCAGCCGCTTTGAATAGGACACAAAATTGTAGCATGTTACATTTTTCCCGTTGACGTTGCCGACGCTGGCTCAATTGCTGCGACGATGCGCGAAGTTACGAGGAAGATTTGTGCTAGTGTGAAGTAGTCGGCAATTGCAACTCAGATGAACCTTTCGAGTATTAACCCTGCTCTCGTACCTCTTCCATCGCAAGCAAAACGAATTCTGATTCATCACCGGGTACAAGGTTTATCGTCGGGCCGCTCTCCGGACTCCCAACAACCGACGTGTGCCAGATATGGTAAGTGCGCCAACCAAAACTCGCCCACCTCTACGCCACACAAAAAACTGATGGAAATTGCTATGTATGTGGGCATCTTCATCAGTGTGTTAGTTCATCGATGTATTCACTCAAGCCCTATTGTTTCTTCGTCCACTGATCATTCTCATACTCGCTTTCATGACAGCTGTTTGATTTTGTCAATTTCAAGCGCTTTTGCAACCGTCCAAAGTTCCACAGCCCCCATCTGTCAAGAGCAATCGGGCGCATGCATCTAACCTAGTCTAATGACGAAAGAAACACTGGGCACGAAAGGACAGTCCTCGGTAGTTGCAATCTGGGCAATTCGGTGAAGAATCATAAGCTGCTAATGCTTCCTTATTTAAGTTGCTGCTTCCAATCCTCAGGAAAACGAGTCAGAGTCCCAAGATATATGTTTCGGTGACCACGATCGTGGGAGCTTATTTGCACAGAATCAACGATTGGCAGTTTGATGGGCTGACCTATTTCAGTCTCTCCCTTTGTCGTCAGCTTGGAACACCTCGAAATGAGGGAATCCTTTCAATCTCTTGCTGAGTCTGTTCAAATGTCTGCCTGAACGACTACATTCTCAGCCAGCTCGGGCTCTGCCGCATATCTACCCGCACCCTGGTGACCCATGCAACTGATTACGGAGCTTTTCATTTAGTAGCCTGAGCGACGCCTCTTATTGTTATCCGAGAACATTGACATCAGGTGCGTGTGTATCCTTTCTCTTTCGAGCACTGCCTAACAATAAGAAACTCGAGGCAGACGACATCTCCCGATAAGATCTTTGCTTCTTTCCTTTTGTTGCGGTTGACAAAGGAGTTGCGCAATGAGTACTTAACCCGAGTCGCCAACTGACCTCGAACCCCTTCACGCCCTTGTTCTTCATCACACTGCCGCTGGTCGACCCCTCCAAAATGACCGCTTGCCGCCGCCAGAACCCTTTGAGGCGATCAAAAATGTGCGAGCTCCCGGTAGAACTCTTGTCGGAGATCTTCGACCTATGCGTTCTGGCTACGATTGAGCCAGGGGTAAACTCCAACGACCCAAGCGCGCCGCTCAATATCAATACGGAGACTATTCGCGTTCCTCTCACTTTGTCGAGCGTGAACAGACGCTGGAGGCAGATAGCGTTGAGCCAAGCTAGTTTGTGGGCGAACATCTGCATCACGGAAGAGTTGATATCCCAGCGCCACCTCGACGGCAGACACATAACGACCTGTCTTGCGCGTTCTCGACACCACCCTCTAACTATTCTCATCGACAGTCGGGACCCGGATTGGGATTTCACAGAAGCAGAGTGTGTTATCCCCCTACTTTCCTGTTTCTTCGTATTCATCGTAGTAAACAGCGTCGGCATCGACGTTGAGACGACCTTGTGTAGCGTGTTATTCACGCCCACTCATATGAGCAAAGTAATCGCTCTTCTTCTACCCCAACTTCCTCGGTGGAGAGCTCTCACAATCCTTACCGACACATGGGCCCCAATGCACGCCGCTCTGACATCCATGAATCTATACATCATCCGCCTCGGTGCTCCGCAACTTGAGTCACTCATACTCATGCGGTGCAACGATTTTGTCAGCTTCGCCGACCGGTTCCAACCAGAGAACTTGAAGGATCCGGGGTTTCTCAGTGGAGGGAGGGAAGAGGCAGCTAACATGTTGCCCAGTCTGAAGCATCTTGCTCTCGCTGGCGTCCATGTCGACTGGGACGCTCTAGCAGCATCGTCAGCGGACCTCACGTACCTCCAACTGTCATCACACGCTGCCAACGTCCGACCGGCCGTCGAGCAATTCCACCGATTGCTCCAAGCCAACCCCAACCTCCGCGAGCTGTGCCTCAGCGGCTCTGGTCCTCAAGAGCGTGAAACTGATGTCCTCCATCGTGTCGTTCCGAGCTGCGAACAAGTCCACCTCCCAAGTCTCAAAGAGATCACGCTAGGATACCGGAAAGAACACGAGGGCGAAACCCTCTTCCGAATGCTCGACGCTCCGAACCTTCAGACTCTCACCCTCGAAGACGCCACCTATCCTGCCGACCCCGTCGATGTCAACGCCGGCAGCATGCTCGTCTACCTTGCGACGAGGGAGTCTCCAGATAGCACCAGCGTTTACAAGGCCGGCTATTCACCCCCAGCCGAGGTGCAGCCGCAACTAGTCTGCAGCCGCTGCAGCCTGGACAACGCGGAGCAACGCACAACACGCGCAGCCTTCCCCCTTCTCCAGCGCCTGACGATGAAGAACCTCAAAGCTCTCCACTACCCCTTCCGCACGTTCTTTAACGCACACGCACATCTACAGCACGTCGAGCTCGATGGAATGACGGTTCTACCCGTTTACGCCTTGATCCCAGGCGTCGGCCGTTCCGTGTCCTCGAACGAGTTGACCTGTCCGTGTCCTAGACTCCGCAGCCTCTGCCTCAAAAGCACGGAGCATATGGCTGTGCACGACCTCGACTTTGTCTTTCACCAGCTCGGCGATCTGCGCGAGGCCCGTGGGGCACTCCCGCTTGCAAAGGCGGAAATCCACGTTGATGGGGAGCTGCATGCGAAGAGTCTGAGGATGTCGGCGGAGTATGCATCGGCAAGGACGAAATTTGTGGTTGTGGATGGGAGCGCCGGGGGCGAGGAGGTCGATATGGAGGTGGTGACAACCGAGGAGAAGAGAGAGACGACTGTGTCGTACGGATATCACGGAAGGACGAACGAAAGTGGCCTTCCACGCACCCCAGTTCCCTACATGGTCCCACAACAACCTATTACCGCGCACTGAAACTCGAGGGCCGCTTTTTATTCTATCCTGCACTTTTCTCTTCTTATTTTGCTCTGAATCTTAATCAACTTCTGTGCTCTACACCCATCGATCTCATCACGGACACAATTTGTTGTACAATAAATGTATGCATGTACCTTTATTTAAGAGTAGAAATAACATTGGAAGTTACACATTACAAGCAGCTTGAAAGAACGCTGCAAGCTGAATATATTTTCTGCGTCTTCCTCGAGTCTGACTCGGCGCCCCGGACTGGGAGGCGCACTTACCATTTACGGAAATATGCAAGCGTGCCAAGCGTGAAGACGACAGCGGCCTTGCGAACCTCGCGACAAAGAAGTAACAAGAAATATCTGTACTAAAGCAAAGTGCAAAGTGAATTTTATAAGATAACGAGCCGTTCCCGCGCGCGAGTAGCTGGGGTTCAGCGTAGATTCGATGGAAACCGGACACAGGGTCTTCGGCAAGGACGTCCTGCCTTTGTTTGTGCACCTAAGCGAAAGGGGCTTGTGAGTTTTAAGTCAAATATTTATTTTTTTTACCTCGCTGGCTATGCGCCATGATAGCTATATTTTCTAATTGTCTCATTGCATAGTAGAATTTTTGTCGGTGCTATACATTGAGGTAGGTTGTTTGTTCGATTCCTTCCAAATTCGAAGCCGGGGCCTCTGCCGATTCCTCTAGAAATCATTGTCAGTGTGGGGTATGTGAATTTTCCTCCAGATTTTGTTGACCTCTTTCTTCTCCAGTTGCCACCAGGGGTCCCACCCATTCCACGATGAAGTAGGAGGAAGACTGATTGTTCCATACCAGAATGCGTCCACTACTCTCATCCATTGAGAAACTAAAACCCTGCCTTTCCTTGAATATCGACTCCTTACGAGTTGTCCACATAGTCCTCTTCTCATCGGGCCAACTAAATCGGATAGTCCCGGTCTCAGGGAATGTGACTAGTATCGCTTTATGAAAAGAGAAGGTCATAAAGTGAGGGTGCGATAGCCACTGGAACAAGGGCACAATGGAAGGAGGTTGCACTTCTTCGTCGATGGAGCCGGGGCAAGGGACAATCAAACCATGTAGACCATCCATGGTGTCCAGCACAATTCTAGTCATGTCGTGGGTGACCAATGGTCGGAGAATGTGGTTAAATGGAAGATGAATATGGTGGGAGCTCCACAAAGTCCGAACCCTCGAAAAATCTTGCTGAGAAGGGAGAAGGGACGATTCGGGTAGCATGTTGTAGTCCCAGAGCTCGAGTTTCTCTGAATGCGAAACGAGTATTTGCTTATTAGGTAGAAGGGCGAGAGACTATCAAAGCGAATGTCAGTCAACCATTATTCAAGAGACAAGACATTCTCCTTACTTGGCCACAAATCCCTGGGAGATATTTTCGTGGAAAGTCAATGTTTACACCACCAACAGCTGCCCACTCAACAATCACGGTGCATCGTAAATTGTCAAATGAATAAGCCAGATGTGAGCCGAGCAAGGAAAGCGAGCCTGGGTGGATGATCGTTTCCTCGGGAAAGGATGATAAGAGTCGAGCCGCCAGTTTAGTTTTCTGGGAAACGCTGTTCCATTCCGCAGAAACGCGCCACACTTGAATCAACCGCTTTTCAGAATGCGGGCCAGTGGTAATATTTGTAATCTTGGATGCTCGACGTCTTAGGAATAGGGCGACGTTGAAGGTGAATAGCTCGGCGGAGTAGTCCATGTCGACCGAGATGGAGAGAACATCAACCTCGGCGTCTTTCTCGAAGGGGGTGGGGATGAGAGAGAAAGGAGTGAGCTTCTTCCTGTCGAGGTCGTAGCAGTATACTCGCCCTCCACGCTTAGAGGCAGCGAGGATCCACCGCCCGCCCTCGATGAAATGGACGGCACTGACGGGGCCGATATGGCTCTTTATATTGATGGCTGGTCGACGAAGCGGAGATGCGTCGTCCGCATCCCATGCGAGCTCGGTTCTTTGCCACTTCAATACGGTTTTTTCAAGTTCCTTCGACGAGTATGTGTCGACAGGTTGGTACTGATGAAAAGGTCTTGGCACGACCGTGGTTTTATAGCGGGTGAAAACAGAGACCCAGACGGGCCGAGCGTGCGATATGTCGTCGAATAACCTACATACCTGGATACATATAATTAGTCATGATGAGAAAGCGCATACTTTCTTACACCTACTCGTCGCAGATTCAAGATCTCGCGCCATCCCAAAGTTCCAAAGATTCTGATAAGCAATTCCGGCGGTAAGAGAGTCAACAGGCTTCCCTAATCAAGTTCAGCTACTTCAAAAATCAAATACCATTTTCCCTTGTCATACCTGGCTGGAGTCATAGGACAGCATTTACGAAGTAGAGAGTTCGAAGCCAAGCTTACTCGATAGAATCGGAAACGACGAGGAACTCTTTCGGGAGTATCCGAATCGTCACACGGGGAAAAAGGACTTCGTCGGTTCGAGAGTGAGGATGGGGGCGAAAACAGAGCAGTATAAACCACTGGGATTTTCCTGGGGTATTGTAGACTACAATCTATCTACTTATACTACCTGTTTAATGAAGAGTCATAAAATAAGGAGTCAACGAAATAAAGATAGGTGACTAGACTAAATAAAGGCAGTCGGAGGCGAGGTAAGTAGTACGACTACGGAAAAGAGTCAAGGGAGAGCACAGGACTACTAATATGTGGAGAGTGACTAGCTATGAGTCGAAAAGCATAACGGAGCGGGAGTGGAGCAAATGGACGGAAACGAGGGGCAAAACGAGTCACGACGGAAGCGTGGGAAAGACGGGGGAGCGGAGCGTAGCCGGTTTCCTACACGGTCACAACTCACAACTAAATATTCTTTCTCACTCCTACCCTGACTCTCGTTCTCCATTCAAGTGATCGAATTGTATTCTGACACACACTCTCCGAGTGCTGATATTATGGCCTGGTTTCTGTCCCCAGTCGGTCTCTGCAAGATGGAGGAGTGTAATAGCGTGCATGAAGATGTTTCAACGGTGCCAGTCAGTGAACGGCAGTGAACGTCATCGCACCTTTCATCGCGCTCATACATGTGGCACAGGCGGTCATCAACCAAGAGTTTCTACGTGCTTCAAAGAAAAACGATGCGCCTCTTCAAGAAACCTTGCAGATGGCCCGGGAATGCAGGGAGGAGGCAAGAGCGAAGACGGCCGAGACTGCTGCTCAAATCAGGAGCTCCAGGCCCAGCAGAGAGCTCTAGCACAGGAGATTACCCACCATAAATCAGACTTCCTGGTTTGCGATCTAGTTTTGGCGCCTATCAGACGAGTTCCACTCGACATTCTTCGCGAAATTGCCCGCCACGCCCTCCCACAGCATCCCTATCCTAGCCTAACGGCGTCTACGAGGCGGATTTTGATTTTGATTTTGATTTTGAAGACGACCCATCAGCGGCTCGAACATTTCGCTGCTTTCTCAGCAACCTATCCGCCCAAGTTCACCATTTAGCCTTTCGTGCTTTCCAAGTGGGCGATCTTCTTTCGACCCTCATTAATGGAACTCTTTTCTGGCCAAATGTCAAAACGCTCGGGTTTATGGAAAACGGTCAGTTGGATTGGCCCGAAGGGCACGACCCACGACCACTTCTGTCGACATTCCAAACCGCACGGAGCCTTCGCCGAGTCTGGATGAACTACAAATTCGGACCCGGGACTAGCGCAGAGCGCCTCCTGCCTTGGGGCTCTTTGACGCACATCGTGCTTACAGGTTGGGTGTCGGTGGATATATGGTGGGATATTTTTAGATGGTGCTCATGCCTTCGAGTTGGAGAATTTGCCGTTAGCAATTCGAGTTCGGAGAACGCTCCAGAAGAGCAGGTGCGATTTGTCCAACCCACGCAGATTTGCAGACCATCGATCTTACAACAGGTTCCTACAACAAGTCAATGATCGGCATGCTCTTCCTATACACCTTCCCAAAGTTAACGAAACTCTCTTTCTTTTTGCATGAAAGATGGGATGCTCGGTCTCCTTGGGCTCCTGAAACCTGTGTCAAATCTTTCAAAATGCTCCGCTCGTTGGCTCTAGGATTCTGCTGGATCGGCGACAATACAGAATACACACTGGAAATGTGCACAAGCTAGTCCACCTTTCAGAAATGACTGTGCAGTTCGTTGATACGACCAACGGTGCAGACCACAACTGCGACCCGGCTGTATTCGTAGCACCGACGGTTACCGACTCAGTCGACTTCATTCTACCACGCTCCTTTCTCCGGTTCGCCCGATGGGAGTCTGTGACCGTATGCAACTGGTCGAATTTTCGGCAGACTACAGAGAGGAGGGTAGTCGCCAGTTGAGGAGTGCCCTTTCCATCGTTGGGGAGCAAAGAGTACTGTTGCGATGGCATGGAGGAAAAATATTTACCTCAACGTGCTCCCATCTTCGACAGTGTATTCACAAGGCTCCATCCTGGTTTATGAAAATATCGCACCGGTGCATTTCTTTTATTTCTCTTATTGTGACCCCTGCAGCCCAGTAAATCCGATTAGTCTTCGAAGCTTGAAGCTTGATTCGGAATACAGAAGCGACAGCGCGATAGTAATAATAGTAAGTCTCTTAACGATAGTAGAGCAGCTAGTTCCAACTAAAGATGATGACGGGTGTTTGACAGGCTTTGCACCATAGAAGGTGCCTACGAGTTTTAGCGGACGTAATACCCCACTTTTCTTTCAACCACCACCGCAAGATGCTCTCCCAAAAAATCAACCAGGACATTTTCTTGGAGGTTCTGAGCTACATATCGACGCAGGAAGAGGTTTTTCCCCCAAACAATGCGATCAACAAATCGACTTCGAATATTCTCCTCAGTCTTGCGTTAACATGCCGCGCATTCCTCGAGCCGTCGTTGGACAAGCTTTGGGTGCGTCTGGATGACTTGCACCCTTTATTCCGTCTCCTTCCAACCTTCCAACCGGGGATTGACGGGGTCTGGGTACGTGCTATTGTTCGATCTTTCTTGGTCTACACTGATACAGGATTACCTCTGCTCTATCTAGTTCCTCGAGAGCCCGATCCTTGACTTGCACTGGGAAACTCTACAGGAGTACGCTAAACGTATTCAAACTTTAGTCTACTTGGACGAGGGCGCTCCAATTGACCCGTCCGTCTTCTTCGCCGTCTCCCAGTATGCGGATCGTAAGGCCAATCAGCGGCTCCTACCGTCTCTCCGACAACTTTTCACCATCATGGTCCTGCTCGCCCGAGTTGCTCCTTTTCGCCAGCCCGACTCTGATCGAGTTTCACGCACAGCCGTTTACCGACAACCACGGCACATACCGCTCAATGTGGAGCTTCGTCGACGCCCTGGCAGAACAGGCGCCCGGCATGCACTCGGCTTTCCTCCATTTCGCCTTGCCAAGCAAAAGCTTCAACGCGGTCGCTAAAATGCGCAATTTGACCCAGCTCACCATCATGCAGAACGGCAGCACCCCGAGCCAAGTCAATGCAGCATCGTTCGTGGTACTTTCTTCGATGAAAGCACTCACCCATCTCCGTCTTGATGGCTTGGTGCTTTCAGACCACCTCATGCCTCTGACCAATCCGCGAGCTGTGTCGTTTAGCGCCCTGAAGACGCCGGAAATAAGCGCCAGCATGCCCGAAATCGTGCCTTTATTCCAGGCTGCGAAATTGCCCGCCCTACAAGTGCTCAAGATCAAGCTCGTCCCGCCCATCCTTGAGGAACCGCACCAAGATTGGTGGGGGTTCTGTCGTGAACTCAAGCTTAGTACCAAAAGTCAATTACCCGAACTCGTCATAAAGCCTGGCCACTTCCCTTTTGATTTCCGCCCACACCTCGAAGGACTCCCCATGGTCATTCCAGACATCCTGGCATTCAACTTTATCAAGCTCGACCTCCAAGAGTACAAGCTCTTCCGCTCGTTCTCGGACGACGATATCCGTGATTTTGCCAGAGCGTGGCCGAACATCGAGGAGCTACATCTGCCCACACAAATTCCATCCAAGCTCACATTTACCGCCTTCGTCGACATCGCGAAACAAATGCGAAACCTCAAGCAGCTTACCCTCAATTTCATACTCAGGAAGGATGATTCTCTCTCACTTGAGAGCGTCAACACCACTGGTTCAGGATTCCAGCATCCTCTCCATCATTTGAATGGTCTCAATTCAACCTTTGTCGCCGATAATACTGATGCATTGACTCTTGGCGCCTGTCTGCATGCACTGTTCCCCAATCTAACCCTATGGACTTAGGGTATGCGATCCAGGAAGCTTGTCGCGGTCAAAGAAAAGAAGATAAAAATTACTTTGAAGAAGCTGTAAAGTATATGCGGAGTGGATGTATGTATGTATGTAAAGAAACAATGTCCTCAGACATACGTAAGTAGTACGAGAGGCACGTTGCAAAGAATAGCAAGGAGGAGGTGGAGAATACGTTAAGAATTCCTTTTACATTGAGAGTGATACCGATTGTTGGCCTCGCATTTCGAATACTGCGAGTGTACATCCAGAGCTACAAAAAGAGGGAACAAGGAGAGGAAAGGTCGGTAGCGAGGGGGCTAGCAGCGAGAGCGATATTGATATGATATTGGGTCCTAGGACGATGCGACGACGATTTGTTGAGGACGATATGAGAGAAAAATGGAACTAAGGAGGGAGGACGACAAGAAAGGTGGATATATGGGTTGAAACCTGCGACCCATAGACAAAAGATGGTTTTCAACGCTTCCTTTTGCCGCCAACCGTCCCATCGACATCGATTAAGACGCCCTCGCCATCCGAAGTTATGATGCCCATATCCCCGCCATGCCCATGTGCGTCAACGAGCATAAATTCCTCTGGCTCGTCTGCTAGGTCGATGAGGGCCGATGCTCGCTCGCCACTGCCACCAGCCGCTGGCCGTCCCCTACGGGCGCCGTGACCTCTCGGTCCATACCCCGCACCCTCACCCTCGACCTCCGTCTCTGCGCCTGCCTCTGTGTGGCGGACTCCCAGCCCCGAGTTCGAGCGCGAGGCAGGGCTATCACCTTCCATCATCGAGGCATCTACACCTTGGTGGTGCTGCGGGGCGTGGCCTTCCGAGTCGGCTTCACCCTCGAAGTCCGCATCAATGCCGTTAGGCTCCTTGCCATCGCCAAGACCGGCCTCGAGTTCTTCGCCATCCGCATCTTCTTCGTATTCTACTTCGACCTCGACGTCTTCCTCCAGATCAGCGAAGGTCCGGCAAAGAGGGCAGGAGAAGGCGGGGTGATGGGCTTCGAGCAGGGGCCGAATGCATTTGTAGTGGAATGTGTGGGAGCAGGGGGCTATGAAGAGGGCTTGGCGGATCGTGACGCCGAACAGGCCTAAAAGAACAGGTAAAAGGGAAGATGAATGAGCATGGAAGGGTTTGGAATGGAGAAATGGGACGTACAGATGCAGCAGTCGGGTATATGCAACTTGTTGGATGCAGGTAGCTTCACTAATGCGGCCGGCTGCTTTCCGTTCGCCAATGGCAACGCCAACGACTTGAGATTCTTCAGTGCGTTCGTGCTATTGAGACGTAATCAATCAACGTCAAGCTCGCGCTACGTGGAGAGGCAGTGACACACTTGAATGCGTTGGCAGAGGCTTGCCACTCCCGTCCAATCTCAATCCTGATCTTCACGCTCTTGTAGATATCCTCTGCTCCTCCTTGATAGTCGACCCCAAGCTGCAGGATATCGCCATCCTTGATCTGGAAGGGCCTTGACTCAGTGTTCGCAGGGCTCAAACGAACATGGTTCAAAAAAGTCCCCGAGCTGCTCTTCGTGTCCTTCACAAAGAACCTCCCGCCACCCTCAACCCAGATCTCTGCATGCGCCCGCGAGACGACCTTGGACCTGAAAGCGAGCTTGTTGGAACCCAGGGCGTTGACGGCTGCGAGCCCTAGCCCTGACCGGTCGGTGAAACGCCCAATCCGTAGAGCCGGGTCGCCCTCTTTCAGGTCCCGCCCGATAGCGTCGAACCTAAGCGACCGTCGGGTGTCGAGGTGGGGAACGAGGCGGATGCGGTGGGGGACACCTGTGCTCGCTGACGGGGCTAGTCCTGTTGTGGTGGCACCATTGACGGTGGCAGTTGTGCTGAGTGGTGGCGCCTGTGAGAGCCGATTGTTGTTGTACGTCCCCAGCCCTAGCGCAGCTGCCGCCGTCGCTGAGGCTGTTATCACTGGAGGTGCTGCTGGCGTCGACGCAGCGACGTTGCCCGCGGATCGTCGTCGTCGCAGCATGGAGGTGATGCCCAAGCCCGAAGAGCCGGTGTTGTTGGCGTTGTTGTTGTTACTGCCTTGACCAGCCAGTGCTGCTATTGTCGCTGCGCCTGTCCTTCGTCTACTGCTGCTGCCGTTGGTGTTTGGAGATGGTGGTTGGGGGACAGTGGAGGGGGATATGTCTCTGTGAGGCTGATGGAGGTCGGTGTTGACCTGGATATGTGACTGTGAGGAATTCCGGGGCCTTCCTCGTAAGAAGGACCCTAAAATAGTAGTCCTGGATGGCGGCGATTCGCTGCTGACGTTGATGTTCCCCTCCATGCTCGTCGCCGTCGTCGGTCGCAGCGCTGAGGAGGGCGGTCGTGGTGAGGCGAGAGGCGGCTAAGATCAAGGTCCAAAGGCTCAAATTCCGCCAAGGACAATTCAGGTCCGTTCAGGGGGTTTCAAATCCGATCTTTACAGGGGTTTCTCTGCGCTGGTCGAGGTAAATGTCGTTGCCGTGAGCGGTGTCGTCGTCGGTGCGTTCAACTCGTTGCTCTCTCGTTTGCGGGGTAATCCAGGGCGTGATGATTATAGACTCATTCGCATCACCACGGTTTTACGCCCCTCTGATAGTCGAAACCAGCAGGTATGTCAATTTTGTCTTGGCCAATGCGGATTTTGAAGGCAACTGCTTTGGAAGTCGGTTGCGGACTCCTTGACACAGCTTCACGCCCAGTAGCATTCCTGTACGGACCGAGCATTCGCAGGGCTTTACATCTATCCGAGGATGCTCATTCTTCCTCCCAGGATGCAGGGGAGGTCGCTCGCATTTTGCATCCCACATCACCACAAGGCAAGTCATTAAATAATAATCTTGGTCGTTATCAGTAATTCCAGCGAGGTTGACACCTTCATCAAACTCTGATACCCTACGCTCACGGAGGGAGACTTTTCGGGTACTGCTGCACTGAAACTGTCGAAAAAGTATAGCGACAGATGGAGGACACCGCCTCATGGGTTTATCGCACCTCCATTTTACCGCTGGCTGCATTTGTCCTTTCAGACGAACAAATGAACGACCTTGGCCGATAGCTATCGCGGTCACGGGTACCCTACCCACGCACACTGCAAGCTGGCTAGTAGCTGAACACGTTTATTTCAGGCAAATACGTCCCACGAGTGGGAAGTACGCCCGAAAGTGGTGCGCGCGCCTCATAAATGTAGCCGAAGACATTTCGACTGTAGAGGTTTGGATGCGGGCTGTATATTTGATCAGGATGGCCAATCAATTAATCAGGACTCAATTTCATGTCCGTTCGCGACCGAAAAGGCAAGAAGGTACGCCACAATCCCTGTTCCCAATCGCGATCCTCTTATCTGATCCGGATTCTATATAAACCTCGTCAATTCGAAGCCTGTTTTTATCTGGGTACCGCCCACCGGCTATCCCAACCTCTGCTTCAAATCAAAACCCTCCCTTCCGTGCATATTTGCCCTATCATCTCGTGTTTCCCCTCGCAAGGTCTCATCAACTAGCAAGATAGCGAACATTCGAATTAGACGTGCTTCGCTGTCGAAGATCCTTTTATGAAGCAGCCAATGCCATGTCCATCGCTTCTGACCGCCCACGAGGAGGATGTTCGACCCACCCCCACGCTGCTGCTACCAACTCGGACAGTGCTAGAAGCTCCGATTACGGTACGCCGATTGCCTTGAGTTCTGGGGATGCCAATCGTGAAAAACGTGGCTCAAACTCGTGGCTCGATATCGCTGCCTGGCTCCAAACCTTCCCGCTCCTATTATTATATCCCGAGGGGTGGAAGCTAGCTCCCCCAACCTTGCTGGGCTCACTTCATGGAACCGCCTCGCCATACGCGTCCTTCGGCCGTTGCTGGCTTTCGGTTCTACTATATTGTCGCAGGACGCCCGTGCACCACGATCCGCTACCCCACTCCGCCCCAAAGGCGCGTTAACTGCGCAGAGACTCTCTCATCACCTAGGTGATGGTGTCTCTGTAACCAATGTCTCCTCCATCGACATATATTTGCACCGACATATCTACTCGGAATGGCTTGGATCCGAGTGTAACATTGCAAAAGCAAGTACTTGGGTTGGCAGAGGCGGTCCGGCCGCCCGTGCGTGCGTCTAAAAATAGACGCTCAACGCCCGACATCACATCGGACGTACGCCACTCGGCCATCTCTGTATATTCTTCAAAATGAGTTCAAGAGCTTTCTATCACCCTCTAGAACAAGTATAAAATTAATTCTAGCTGTAACGCTACGTGGAAGCTCTCGTGTCCTGGGTTCTCGAATGGTTAAACCGTAAAGGCTCGTGACCTACTCGAGGAAGAGTGGGGGTGTTCATAGACAATTCATCCTCGAACGGTCGGTAGTACGATTCGCGAAGGTTGAGGATGAGCCTGCACCCCAATATTCGTGGGGCGAAGGTCGCTATCCCTGCGTTAATGCGAGCGGCATTTGGCTGTCGAATATTGAATTGTAGATTAGATCGGAATTTGGGACGTGGAAAACGGTGCTAACCGAAAAGCGACTCCAGCCAAAAATGTTGATGAGAACCACCACCATTGCTCTGTTCGCGAATATCATGAGCGTATTTATTTGATGTCTCATCAAGATATTTTCACTTACAAGAAAGGGAACGAAATGCTATCCCGTAGCAGAATGTACGTCAACGAGTTCCTCTCCGACGTCAAGAGGGCATCGGACCGCTTCAGCGCTTCTCGATAGTACACAATGCCGGGCCACAGGGACAGGAAGAACATCAACGCCTCGAAGCAGAGGATCGGCGCCCATGACCAACCGTACCAGACAGGGTAGACGAGAAGGTTACATGAGAGATCTGCCGTCAAATGTTGGGAGCAATTATAGACTCGGAACGGAATCGCAGCAAGGCACCGACGCACCGATGACCTCGTCTTGTACCAGTCCTTTCATGATGGACGTGTTGATGATCTCGATGGCAAAGAACACTAATTGGACGGCGGTTATCAAGTTGTAGTGTTGGTACATTGCAGATATGCGGAAGACCATGATGCCTGGAATTTTTAGTGAGAGATGGATCCGGAGAGTCGATTGGAAGATGGATGTAGGTCCATACCTTGCATTGACCACACGACTAGCACGGAGCCCCACTCTTGCAAATTGTTCAGGACATTGCCTGGCAGAGGTTGAGAAATGACCATCCGCGAATCGACTGAGATATACCAGGACTTACACCGTGGAATAGACCGAGGCTGAACTGTGGTGGCTAGTGCGATAGCTAGATAGCCTGTATCGTCGAGGAACTAAATGCGAAGGGAGAACGAGGAAAACGCACCGACCGCGCTATATCTGGCGGCAGTTGAGACCAAACGTTGTTAGAGTCCTCATTTTAGGGGACGCACACGAGGATACCAGTGCCAATATATCGATTCTTACGGAATGGTTATTTCAGCCATGGGAAAGATGAAGGGACTCGGATACTCACTATTAGGAATAACGCCTGAGGAATTTTGATCCTTTCACGTCTCTGGTATGCCATGAGACTCAATCAGAGGCTTGAAGAGACGAAGAGTGGATACCCAGATACAATCCACCTGAAATGATGATACGGTTAGTTTCCGCGAGGCGCTGCGATCTTCCGACGAAATATCACCTCATCTTCCAATGTGATGGCTGCGAAAGTGAGATCCAAAATTAGTTCGTGTCGGTCCAGAATGCCCTGTCTCGCAGAAAACTCCTCACCATGGTCGTACAGAGTTGCAACCCCCAGAGCAGCTGGGAATACGATAGCATGAAGCTTAGGTCTACATCAGAGTGCCCTGTGTGAATGCATACCATAGACATAACCTCCAATCCGATCTGCCTGCAGAATACTGGGATTTCCAGATCCCATGGCCATTAAGGAAAGGGAAGTTCGACTTGCGACAGGTGTCCGGTAGGGAGCAAAAGAGGGCGAAAGCGCGAGCCACGGGCGAGTTAGCAATTGGGTGTCTTTTGTAGTATATCGTGCAACCGCAATGTGCGCATGGACAGATCGCTGACACCATCAGGAAATCAGGAAGTCGAGCTCGGTATGTTTAGACGCCTATTGATCGTGATCAAGGACTTGGGATGAGCTACAATCAACAAATCACAGGTGACCGTCACTTCGAATGTTACAGTTTGCGTCGGAGGACCAGAATGAAAATAGACCAGAACACCACATGAGATAGGACCCATGATACGAATGAAATGATGATTTTCCATTAGTCTTTTCCCACATCTTAGCCAGGTCTGAGACCTCCAGAGATCCTTCGTTGATAAAACCACTCGCGCATTTGTTATTCAAAGAACTAATCAAAGGAGCATATCGTAGGGTAGTGTCCTTGGATTGCCTTGTTCTGAGGGCAAAATATCCTCCAGCACGACTATTTCCAGGCAAGAACACGCTCCCAGCCCCAGATCTCGAGGACTGGCTGTGTGTAGGTATCCGGATTTTTTGTTCGACGTTGTCAAAAAGTAGAGGCAGAAGGAACAAAACGGAACTCGGGAGGCCTAATTTGACACAGGGGCGTGAGAATGTTTTTGGGCGCCTAGTGTTGGGCGCCGGCGAAAGGAGGCGAGAGATCGGTCCGACTCAAGTGAGTCCAGGCCAGTCGAGGACATCTATGGGCAAGCACAACGAACGAAAGGATAGTCGATTAATCATAGGCTCTAGGAAGGAAATTCTAATAATAGACGTAAAAGTCAGATTTATTCAGAACACGAGAAGGTATGCAGCGCCATACTGGACAAAAATACATACATATGTTTTTCTTTTATAAGTCCCTCCCAAATCTCGAAGAATTGGGCGGAATCCGTCCGATTCGGTCCCAATACGCAGCACCGATTAGACCCGTTTCGGTCGCCATCCAAAAAAAAAACCAAAACCCCTGCCGATTTGTGACACATCCTCCCGATTCTGACCGATTCTGACCGAAACTATAATTTTTTTCTAGATCATAAGGTCCCAAACGGTCGGATTCGGGACGAATCTGACCACACACGAGGGGAAAAAAATCACTAGATGTTTCTTAAAAAAAGAATTGAGGAGGAATCCGTACGAATCGTCCCGAATCGTCCTGCGCGGCCAGATTCCTCCCGTATCGGAACGGTGGGTCGTAAAAAAAGGGAGGGTCGATCTGGCCGAATCGAGCAGAGACGGTACGAAGACGTCGGTTTCAGTACGAAACGGGCAGATTCGGGCAGATTCGGTCTGGTTCCGGCCTAAATTAGGCTTTCTCATTAAAAAAACTTCAATCGTGTATTTTTGTCCAGAACAGACCGTCATAGTATGCAGCGCCATACTGGACAAAAATACGCAGGAGAAGCAACTGCCAGTGAGGGTGCCATCATTCACCTCTCCCCATTTAATTTCCCAGGATCATGTTTTGAATACGTCGACGGTAACATCCAGGCAGACGAGTCCATCTTTTGGATCGCGAACCTGGAAGGTGTACTCTCCTGGAGCAGAGTTGAACATTTCAGATGCTGTTCGGTTAATGCAACACAGATCGGGACGTATCAGGTGGGGCGTAGGAGGGGAATATCACATTTTGTCTATAATGATAGGTCCCGGGCTCAAGCGGGCAGGAGAGCGGGGTATCGAGGTTGTTCTCACTGGCAAAGTATGGAAGTCCAACATCGCAACGGGTGCTGGTACCTAGGCTCTAGCTTACCTTAATTTGCAGGGGTCAACAGAGAGCTTTGCGACTTCTTGACCCCATCGGTCCACGATGGAAGCCTCCGCGGACTGTCCAAGCTAGAGGTCCCTCGGTAAATAATCAATCAATAAGGGATTATGTGGGAGTCAGCATACCTGCAAAGTGCGCTCGAGAGTTGCAATGAAGTTCACAGTGACGGACGCCCCGCCCGGAATTGGGTCGCGCGAGATAGTGAAGGAATGGAACGTGACAGCGCTACCTTGAAGAATGGGCCGCCTGAAGTGAATATTAGTAGCGCCGGGGACTGGGAATACGAACCGCAATTATTCCACTTCAACTCCCTACTGGCAATGGCGGCGAAGCTGGGAACCGTCGAAAGTGCAAGGCCTCCGAGAAGGCGGGAAAAGTTGCGCATTCTCCAGATGAGTTGGGAACGGGGACTTAAAATGCACGCACAAGAGAAGTCGTTCCACTCAAAGGAGAAGACAACGTTGGATTATGCTGGTAGCAGCGCTTTAAGTACCAATGGAACGACCCTACAATCCACGCCCAGGCGAAATGGAACGAAGTTCTATCGCGCTGCAAGATAGGCAGTTAACTTTGGTCCTCTCAGTGAGTAGTGATGCAGAACTTTCATCGTGAATCTGCATCCTAAATTTAGGATGGAAGCACGTGTAGGAAGTGCGGGTTGCTCTGCTCCCCCAATTTCTCCTCAAGAAATGTACGTCAGAGCGAGTCTTGCGACGAGCGATAAGGAATCGAAGTGAATAAACGTGCGATGCAAGGTCATATAGAGTAGGAGTTTGGAACGATGGGTGGTCAAAGCAGTGTTGGCCGGTCGATGACTGATGGTCGAACGTTGACCGTTGACCACCTTGACGGTCAATTGACGGTCAACGACGGTCAATATTTGATGGACTTTCCCACTGCTTTGCCGAGGGTCGAAGCCTAATTTAGACAGCTCCCATCAGCGCATCAAACATCAAGTGCGCTATGCGTTCAGTTCTTTGTTCAGACAGATTGCTCTTTCGTGCGTACAGAATAGATATAATCCTCTAATTTTACCCCGGTGTGATACAGGCTTGCTCTTTTGTGTGAACAGAATAAATATAGTCCTTTGATTTCACTCCGCAGTGTGACACAGGCCCCATTTCTGGTAGATGACAAGGTTCACAACCTCAAGGATCCTTCCTTCTCCAGGTCCTTTTTCACTCTTTATCTTTCTCAGAAGTATAATTATTTCAGTATTGACAGATTAGCATGTGGAAGCTCGTTGTAAATTACACACTATCTACATATTTTTATTTCAAACCGATAACTGAGAGGCTTAAAAAGCTGGGAGAATCACTGACACAGACCAGGCAGCTTCGTCTTTGCGTTTCGCCTCCTACTCCTGCATTTGTCTCTTTCTGCTATGTCGAGGCCATCCGCCACACATAGTAATGCCCGACGGGGATGGTGGCGCGCCTACTTCATTGATTGTCCGTTGTCTCAGGCTGACCCAATTTTCCATTTGTTCGGCAAATCTGGCGCAAAATCGACAAAGTCCGGCAAAACGAAATGCTATTGCAAAGCCTGCTATGAAGTTGAAATCGAGCAGTGCTGCCAGGCAGAAGCAGAACAACTTCGTCTGGGATTTGTTGCAGCAGCCCGTATGAAGGATGAGCTCGGCAAGCAAATATGTGAGTCGCTCGCTTGCCTCGCTATTTGATTTTGCTTCGAAGCATTGGCAAGACCGCTTCCGCCGCCATGCAACTATTAACTACGACGAAGAACTTGCCCTTTACGAGTTTCTGGAGCTGGACGCAGATGGCGAGGAGGATCCTGAGCTTGATGGGGTCGCAGAGGAGGTTCTCGCAAACTAATTACATTCTTTATCGACGTATGTATCCTTGTACTCGCTATCTCTGTTCTTTGGAATGTCATGGTCAACGTTAGTGATGTCATCCCTTCTCGTTATGGCAATCGGTGCATTTTGACCGTCATTGACTTTGTTGACGGTTGCTTGACCGGCACACCACTGGGTCAAAGAAAATTCGTGCTTCTGCCATGCACTACCTTTTCCTCGAAGAAGATCATCAAGAATACGAAGTTGCATTATATAAACATATTAAAGGTACTTCGCCATCATGGATGCGCGCGGCAAGGAGGACAAGTAGAAGTACCGCGCGATGCCTGGGTATCTGTTCCATTATTCTCCAGCACAGATCGAGAGAAGTGCGTCCGAATAGCCCACACTCGAATCCTCAACGAAAAAAAATCTCCAGAATTTGTGACACTACTCAAGCGGTCTATGATCACCAGGAGGCAGCACCCATTGCGACTCCGACCACATTTATTGTTTCGAGCAAGTGATGCAGGGGAGGGACAGGTTGAAGAAATAGTTTGAGGGGTAAGCGACTTGAATGGAAGTACATTTTTATCTGCAAATTTGTTCTGAGTAGTCCCATCCCGTAAACGAGAACCATGGCCGCCAGCCATTGAGAATAAGGGCGCCGCTATTGGCCCTTCTCAGTCTGAAATCACGGTTGTCTCCTATCCTCATCGCCAGACCGGCATCCTCACACGACTTTAAAGCCTCTTTCAACAACCTGATAGCAGGAATGATCTTGCGCTCTCGCGAACGAAAGCTTTGTTCAATAATTACCTCGAGTTCTTTAAGAGTTTGCCAGTCCAAGGGGACGTCGAAACACCTCGAGCGCACCATCTCGACGAAGACCGCCCAATCAGTGACCTTCTTTTTAGCCGTTAGATGGAGAGTTGATAGCCTCGGAAGAACGGGATTCGCTTGATGGAATGACATGGCCTTGAACAGCGCCTGGTACACGTCGCTTGCGACGATGTCATTAATTTCAATCTTGCGCAAGTTGGTCCCCTCCGCGAGCATTTCGAGGACATACAGCGGGGCGGTCTCTTGCCAAACATCACTAAATGACAGGGTTTCAAGGGTTTTGAACGCAGGAATTTCATTGGCGGGCGGAGGATGGGATAAGTCCCATTCCATGGAGTCTTCGTCGCCGTCGTGCTCAAGACTAAGCACCCGGAGCTTCGGCAGATCGTATGCATCGACTAGTTCAATGATCGACGGAGAGCAGTAAAGGACACGTAGCCGAAGCTCCTCCAGATGAGTCAGGACGTGCTTGGGCTGCGAGATGGTAGGCATCCACGTGGCCGCGACATGGAAATATCCTCGCTGCATCTGGGGGCAGGATTCCATAATCTCAGCCCAATCGTCTACGCGGAGCCACTCTGTCAGGGCGACGGCCGTGAGCTGTGACCAAGGAAGAAGTTTTTGGGCTCCTCGCGTTTGTATAAAACCGCCTTCAATGGTAACCGAACGAAGTTTCGTGGCCGTTTTGAAGAGATCCATAGGCGGAACGACAACGTCGGAGTCAGGTTGCCTGTCGTCTAAGATCCACCCATAGTCGGAACCTACGCTGCTGAAGAGCTCCAACGTCTCTAAACGTTCAAATACCCATTCGGCCTTTTCGAAGCTGGGTAGGGCATCGGAGATATTATCAGCTGAGATCGCAAGATGTCGAATTAGGCCAATGGACGATCGAATGCCCTGGAGAAAGATTCGGTGTGCTTCCTTCGCCGTGTCCTCGTGGGGAGATGCGAAGTGGAAGTGGAGATACAACGAACATGGCTGTCCATTGGCGCGTGCGAACCATTCCACGACCCGTAGGGTGTACCTTTTGAACGAAAGGATGTCGAAGAGTGGAACATAGAGCGATGTCCATAACTCTGGAAGGGACAAGGCCGCCCTTCGCCATGCGGATGATACATGGCATAGAGAAAGGGGGCTTTTCTTGGTTGTAGCCGACGGGTTCCTGGGCACTGTAAGACGGGCTATTTCCCGGATTATGTCGAAAGGGACGCGTCGAATAGGTGCGAGCACGTCGTTGCAGGCTTTCAACCTCCGATGATGCGGCATGGCCTCCTCTTCGAGCTCGTTTTTCTGGGCTTCCAATGCTTTTATTTCAGAGTCAATCACTGCAATTCTCGCATCAAATTGGGGGACGATGGCAGCAGGCTCCTCTCTGAACGTTCTGGCGCTGCTCATCGCTGTCATGGACGGAGGTTCGTTGTTCCTACTGGCGCATTTAATCTCTTCTGGATACGCCTAAGTACGAGTATAAATGCGTCATGATTACTATAAACATGAGAAAGATGATTCTCACTTCATCAAACCCAGGCCTCAAGTCCGCGCATGATCCTTTCTTCGTCGTCATCGCTGTCCATCCTAGAATTTTGAGAGTTGTTCAGAGGTCAAAGTTACTTTTCCAACAATAGTTTGCTCTGCCAGTCTGGTCATAAATAGTGCCCAGAAACACCAAAATGAAATTTCGTACCGCCTCCAAGTATTTCCCCAGGATTTGTCTTTCTTGCGGACCAGTGATGTTATGGTTCAACTTCGGCACTGTGACAGAGTCATGGTACACCGTTACTAGGTCACGTACTCGGCCTGTCCAGAAACCCTCATGTCGCCTTTCTTTCCAAAACTTTCAGACTTCACCTGAAAGAGCTTCCGCATAATGTTACCTCATACCTTTCTTGGACTACTATGAGGAGTCCAGGGATTCGACCAGATTCCTCCGAATTAGGCCAGGCGAAACAGTGATGGATCAGTGGACTGTGGAACGCATGAGAAACATGGCTTTTTATACAATCTCCAGCGGCTCCCATGGATCGAACGGCCCGTACCTTTGAATTCCGGAATGTGCTCGGTGTTAATGCGGCCTTGTAAGTATATAAGCCTGGTCAGTTCGCCACGAGCCTTCTTCTCTATCCCACTTCTACCTTCTTGCCAGCGGTCTACACTATCAAACAACAAATATGGGTTGGTTCGACAGCTATTCTTACGAAGCATCCGCCTACGAAGAAGTATGTTGCTTCTCTCCTTACCTTCCCCAGTCGCTCATCACCACTGATCAGGTCGTAAACGCCCCTCATAAAGCCAAGCTATCGCATGAGCTCATCGCTGCCGCTGCATCGTATGAGGTACAATATTCCTGTTTTTCTTTCTCTCCTTCTGATACTTATCTTGTACCAGGCTGCTAAGTCCTACGAACAGCATGTCGCCAGAAATGGTCGACCCCAAAACCATGCCGAAGCCAAGGAGATCCTGTTGAGTATTGCTTTGAGATGGTCTTCGCATACCCATGTTAAACGTCTCCACCAGCGCCGGCCTGTCTGGTGCATTTATCGACCACATGGTGGAAACGAAAGGCGTCAGTTGAACTTATTGATTGACGATATGATTAGCTCCTGATTCAGGTCTCTGCTAGTTAGATTTTGTCGATCGCGAGAGAGCGAAGCACCATGGTATGTCCTTGCTTAATCCCCTCTACTTCATTCCCTCTAAGCAGATCTACTTGAAGCCCATAAACACCTCCACGAGGCGTCGGTACAGGACTATTCAGCATGCGTTTCGGATTAGGGGGGTAGATACATGTACAAGTAATCCGCAAATCCAGAGTCATGTCGTAAATGTCGAGAATCGCTACGGATTATGACTGAGTCCGGTCAACGCGTATGCCGCTCAGCTCTATGGCGAGCACCCATACGAAGGAGGTACGTGCGGGGAGAAGCAGCGTCGAGAGTTTCCATTTTAGTGAGTTTTGCACAATCCTAGAAGCTCTGTACGTAGAACGAGTAAAAGTCCTGTCTAATCGATTATCTATCTAAATCTGTCTATTGTAGTATGAATGACCAACTTTCCCTTGAGGTCGATCAAGAATGTATAGTTGAATAGATTTCGGAGGTGGCCACGATTTCGCGAACACAGAGCTCGAGATCATTTTACAGCGGATTCAGTCAAATTTAAATTTGTACAAAGCTGAAATAAGCGCCGGCATGAGGAGGCGAACACTACATTTACAGGTACAAGCGTTCAAAATAAATATAGGCTTAGTCGAATTCACCTTCCTCTACTGTTTTGATGGGCAAAGAATATGGGGACGGCTGGCCGTTCATCAAATTCATCGCCAAAGGCGCCGTAATATGCCTCTCGCAGATTGAGAAGCAGTCGGCATCCGAGGATGCGGGCTATAAATATGGAGAGAATGACGCTAGCCTGTATCGCCGTAGCCTGAGGACCAGTCGCCTTAGTTGAAGTAGAAGATCACGGATTCGGGACGCACCGGGATGAATCTAAAGGCGATGAAGTTGATTGTGCAAAGTGACAAAGCCCTGGAATTAGACGTCGCAGTCAGTGTTTGCACGCTTCGGTATTTGGTGGCGGAGACTTACAAGAAGGGGAACGTGATACTGTCCCGGAACAGGACGTAAATTATTGGACGTTGTCTAGCTGAGATGACCGAGTTCTTGATTCCGCGGAAGCCCCCCGAGTACTCGATGGCTTTCCGGAGGGCGAGGCTGAACATCAAACATTCGAAGAAAAATACTGGTATCCAGTAATACCAGTACAGGCCCGAGGCTTGATCCAACCCGCACACTGGGATAAACGACGGAATAGGGCCTGTGTGCATGAGCGTGTAAATCGTCAGGCCGCTGGGACCGAGAATCGCTTAAAGAGATTTCGGGACCTACTGGGTAAAGTGTTTGAGAATGCGATGGAGAGAATGACGATAATTGTGATGATTTCGGTGGCGATACCAGCGCAAAGTGTTGCTATTATAGCCCTCTTGTGGTGGTACATGCTCGATATTCGGAATGCCATGATTCCTGGACACCATCGTTAGTTAGAGCGTTGAACATGACCTCCTATAGACCTTACCTTGCATTGACCATAAGACAGTAGATCCTGCCCATCCTACGAACTTCATTGGCTCTCTACCTGTTTGGTGGAAGACGGGTCTGAATGTCAGTTTTTCCCTGAGACTTCGTTGAAAGATGACGTACAGCTGTTACAGAGTTCAGGTAACTGTCAAAATAAACGACGTAGAACCCACCGCTAGTTTATAAGGACCGTCATGTCAGACACGGGTGCTCTTGTTCGAGATATTCGTAGACTTACGCGATTGGGGCCAGTGTCCGTATTGTACAACAGTGCTAAGTCCCTTCGTCAACAGGCTCTCGTTCGAGATCCAGGCAACTTACAAACAGCGGTGTACAATAGAGCGACTTCTCCCATATATCGGTTCTGCAGGAGACGAGAGTTAACAAGAAGCGCGAAAGCACTGGGTCACGCACAATCAAGAAAAGAACCCGGACGAGGGTGATCTTTGAACGTCGCAACTTTGTTTAGAATAATTCAGTGTGCTGCAAGAAGTGCGAAAATAAGACACGCGCACCCATATGTGGTCGATCTGGAAAACAGTAGAGAAATTCAGTCATCCAACTCTCGAGATATCAAACTTCCAACACAGACTTCGGCATCCAACGTGATGACTACATCCAACCCATAAGCCCAGGGGCCAAGTAGAACAAAGAAGGGAGGTACTCACTGTGATCATACAGCGCCGCCATGGAGAACGCAACTACGTTCACATCCAACGGCCGTTATTCACCTGTCAATTTATTCGCATAGATAACGCACCGGTGGCATAAACGACCTTCCTTTCCTCAATGAGGAAGTCGATAATTAAGTCCAGCACGGTCTTCGTCGACATGGCGAGAAAAAGGACTGTACAAGTCCTGAATGTCGGGTTGCAGTCGAAAGTCGACGATCGACTTTCCTGCGACGCAGGGAGAATCCAAAGGGAAAGAGTGGGTCCTAGGGTCCGAAACAAACGACCCTAGGGATCACCACGTTTATGTAGATGGTCGATCCCTCATCATGCCTCGGTATCTGATAAGTTCGACCATGCGCATCATCGGTGTCACATGTGAAACCAGGAACTTCTCCGAAAGCCATGTTGACGTGGGAGAGAAAATAATGGAAAGCGTACGACCTCGTACACCCAAGCTTGATGGCTCGAGGTCGAGCCAGTTTAGATCAAAAAGAAGCTTCGACTTTTCAGGTTTCGCGACTTGTGATCAAGGGCGCATTGCTGCGACAATGATTGACGAGTCGATGTCAATATTCCGTCGAGCCCGAGCGCCACAGAGATGTCGCGACCTTCGAGGGGAGGCTTGCAGGAATGAGACGAGGGAGGGGAAAGTGAAAGTACTCGCCTCAGAAATTTGGAAGTTTACAGATCGATTCAAAGAGGACGTCTTGAGTGGTGACGGCGGTAAAGATCGGAAAGCGCCGGGATATGCAGTCGGACCGGCTATATGCTGGCCAAGTGTTTCTCGGCTAGACGGAGCGGCGGCACTGGGGCAGTCTCGGCCGACAAGACGAGAAATGAAGGGTTCAATTGAGAGGTAGCAGCACAAGTAAGTCCTATTTTACAAGACTAAGATGACGATCCTGAAAAAAGGACCTTACTGGGTCAGATGAGAGGTTGGACGGTTGTCAAGAAAAATCACATACCCAGATCTCCCCGGCCCGACTAAGGACGTTGGAACGGGCGACGGAAGTTACAAGGCGCTTTATCTACCAGACCATTGGTGCTGTTATTCCAGTGAATGGAAAAGCCCTGCTGTTCAATGGATGCGAGGTCTTCCTTGAAGAGCTGCTCGTCAGACTCTGAGTAGCCGAGGGCGATTTCCAGCTCTTCCAGACGACTGCAATTGGGTGGAAGGAACTGGGTGCGGGACAGCAGCATTGCTTGAAAAACAGGGACGTAGTCCCGAATGTAGTCACCGTTGAATGACAGACGGAGTATGGTTAGCCTGGGGAGGATGACATTGGTGTTGGTGGCAGTCATCGCGTCGAAGACCTTTGGGTTCCTGTAATTATCTGACTCCGAATCGATGTTGACAATGTAGATGGATTGCACGACGAGCTCAGACAGGCTGACCATCTCAGATAAGATGCCAACCATGTAATCCGCATCGTAACAGAGCCAACCATCTTCAAGAGTTAATATGCGAAGGGAATCAAAGGAATTAACGCAGCTTGAACGAGGCCAGTTCATGACACGAGCCTGAGATCCTTCATCGCTACGGTGGATGCAGAGGCTCTTCAGTTTCCGGAATGTAAAGGGTACCGTCATCCCGATGGCGCTCTCGTCATAACAATATAAGACAAGATCAAGGACTTCCAGGTCAGGATGAGTGTATTTCTGCTCCATGTTTTCTGGCTGAGGTTCCGGGGCATCCCACAAATAGAAATTGTCCACGAAGAATTGTCCGGCTTGAAGGCACGAGCACCATCGAAAGATATCCCACCAGTACTCAAGACGCACCCAATTTTCAAGGACAATGTGTGTCAAGGAGTCCCACGGGAGAAAACGGTATGCGTGATGCTCAGATGTGAATCTGTAGCTAATGGAAACTTGCTTCAGGTTGTCTGCTGCGTCGAAATTGAACATTACTATATCTGGTGGCAGCTCTCCTTCGTCATCTGCATGCCAAGACCTATGTTCAATGAGGTCGAGATATTGGAGATTTGGCCAGTGCCAGGTGGTACTGGTATTAAAATGACGAAGGAGATCAGCTAAGTTCCAAGCACCAAGCCCTAGATGGTGGATTTTGGGAGATAGATGATTGAGAAATCGGCGAAAAACATCTGGTTTTGAAGGAGTATCCCCTTCCCAATCGACGAAGAGCGACAGCGGACGAGCTCTTGCCCGCGAAAACCACTCTTTTGCTGCACATTCAACTTGCTCAAGAGAACTGCGGTCCGTTTTCTTGATGTCCAGGAAAAGCTTGTCCCACAGTATTGCGGATGATAGACTGGCTGTTCGCCATGCCGAAGAGATGTGCGATAGAGAAAGAGGAGGTTGTCTTGGGTAAAGAGAGGGACGCAATGGGAGGCATGGCGGGCAATCTCACGAAGGATGTCGAGTGGGACTTGTCGGATTGGTGCTAACAGTCTATCGCAGACCAAAATGTCTCCTTCGAGGCGTGCGATGCCAGCTGCTACAGCTCTTTGCTGCAGCCGAAGTTCCTTGATTTGAGCGGCAATTGCGACGGCCTTCGCGTTCATTTGTGGTAGAGCAGCTACACTGTGCTCGCGGCGATCCTTGGCTGCCTTCAAGATACCTTCATGAGGAGTATCATTGCCTTTAGAAGCATGCAGCAGCGCTGCGGTTATAGAAGTCTGGTTTTGCTTCGGCATTTCAATGAGAGGATTATTGGATGTATCTGGTATGAAGACTCACCGAGACATCCTCTATTTCGCGCCTCGTGCCTCGTTCCATAAGGACACCAGCGATAATTGAGATAGTAACTGGGTGGGCTAACGAGTCCGACGTGAAACGTTTGAACGTTTGAACCAAGTTTGAACCTCGTGTACTAGGTTCGGTCCAAGCCGCGTTCCTCTGCCGGTCCTTGTTTGCTGCGCAAATAGCTCCACTTTTAGTAATATAGCCCAGAGAAAAACTGAAGCGCGTTGAACCATCATAGGCAACGGGCTCCTTTTCCTAATTGACCCTTTCAGAGAGGGAGGACCTAATAGCCGTGGTCGAAGATGTTGGGGCAGCCGGACTGGTCCACACCAACATAACTGCATTCAATCTTCTCTACTTCAGAGGCACCAAGATGTCGTCCACGAGTGGCGACTCCGGTCGCTTTCGATTAGTGGACTCCATGGAACATGGAGACAATCGCATCAAGCATTTCCCCACAGGCGTGAGCATAATAGATATCGGGACTCGAGGGGTATTGTCAAGATACTGGTATTGGAGGATCACGTTAAACGACCCCTTAGTCACGCCAACGAGGGTTCCATCCAAGTGAAACGCAAGGCGGTCGACATGAATAAACGCCGTTGTGATGATCTCCAATCATAATCGATAGACCCGCCTCCTGGCAACCTTTCAGAGCCTCCTTTAATTTGGCGAGTGCAGGAATGACTTTGCACGATCGTTTAGTCCACGCCTGCTCGATGACGACCGCGACTACCTTCAGAGGGCTGCAACCGACAGGAGTATTGAAGGACCTGGACGCTACCATGTCGATAAAGGCTGTCCAGTCTTTGACCTTCTTATCAGCCTTGACGAAGAGGCGTGAGAGGTTCGGCAGGATGGGTGTTGGCTCGTCGAATAACATCCTTTCGAACACCGCCTGGTAGGCAGTGCCGGGCATGACGTCTGTGAGCTCAAGCTCACGTAGGTTCGTCATCTCGGTGATCAACTCAAGAACGTACATGGGATGCGTCTTGCTCCAGAAGTCGTTGAAGTAAAAATTATGGATTGTTTTCAGTGCAGGGATCTGATTTGCGGGAAGCGGATCCGGGATGTCGTCGGCGAAGCCCATAGTCAAGTGGCACACATCGATGACGCGGAGGTTGGGTAGGTCGAATATGCTGATAAGGTCGAACATGGACACTTCGAAATGCATCCCGTGGAGCCGTAGTTCTTCGAGGTGAGCTAATACCGGCCTGGTGCCCTCATCGACCCATTCCGCTCCCACTTCAAACTGCCCGAGCCGCAGCTGCGGGCACGATTTCATAATCTTGACCCAATCGGCAACACGGAGCCACTCTGTCATCCTGACCGTCGTTAGCTGTGCCCACGGGATAAGCTCTGGTGCGCCGAGGGTGAAATAGAAGTCATTTTCCACGGTCAGAGAGCGAAGGTTTGTGGCTGTCTTGAAAAGTGTCATGGCAGGAAAGGGGACTTGCGGCCCGTCCATTGTATCCTCCATCATCCACTCCATGGACTCACTGTCATGACCATGAAGTTCGAGGCTCTCCAGGCCGTCAAGGGGCCAGTGGGCGTTCTCAAAGCAAGGAAGCGCATCTTTCAGGGACTTGGACACGATCCGAAGATGGCGAATTTGGGGCACAGAGGGGCGAAGTTTGTGGAGAAATCGGCCATAGGCGTGTTTTGCGCTGCCTACATGGGGGCGCTGGAAGGAAAAGCAGAGGTATAATGAAACCGGACGTCCTCTCGCGCGTTCGAACCACTCTACGACACGTTGATGATAGCGTCGAGTAGAAAGGAGGTCTTCAACCACGAGGTAGAGGGTCGTCCAGAGCTCTGGAAGGGAAAGAGCTGCTTTTCGCCACGCGGAAGATACTTGGCATAGAGACAGAGGGGCATTCTTGACGTTGGCTGCTGGCTGGTAGGGCAGCGTAAGACGTGCAATTTCGCGTATGATGTCGAATGGTACGCGTCGTATTGGGGCCAGGAGGGTATTGCATGCCTCCAGCTTTCGACGATGTGGCTCTGCCTCCAATTGGAGCACACTTTTTTGCTTCTCGAGTTCGTGGATTTCGGCATCAAGAGTTGCAAGTTTCGCATAGAACTGAGGAACGGCGGTAGCAGGCTCGTCTCTAAGAGCCAGGGCACTCCTAACGGTAGCTTTCGGCGGGGCATGATTGTTCCGAATCGCTAACCTGATTTCGTCTGGCAATCCCTAAATACAAGGGAGCCTCAGAGGTCATGCAAGCAGAAGAGAAATCCAGATGCTCACCTCTTCAGGATGAGTCCATTTGAAATTTACGAGCCAAGATTCACCATCCGAGTCCGAGTCACTCTCCATCCAAACAACTGACACCCAGAGATATAAACCTCTGGATTCGAGGCTTATAGAACGTCGTGGATGCTGGCAAAGGACCAAGTGTCACGGTGTCGTGACATATGTACTGTTTCTCGTTTCCTCTCATCACGAATTTCTTCTCAATTTTTGTCCTCAAGAGCCAAGGCGCTTGCTGGTGGATAAGTTCGTGTTTTCCTTGTACAAGAAGTTGACGAATACTCTAAGTGAGATCTTGTTGCATGGGATGACACCTTTAACTAAACGACATCGATCGACAGCCCCGATTTTAACAAGAGCCAAGAGTCATGGACAGCGATGAAGGGGAGCCATATGTGCCACAATTTGACATTGAGGAAGATCCATACGCTGTAAGCAGTTCATAATTGACGGTTTCATTGCTCACTAAGTCGCAGGGGTACCCTCCAGAAGTTATGTCTGGGATGAAGATCAACGACCTTCCGTCGGAAGCCACACTTTGCGCAGCCCTCGCGTTCCGAGAAGAGCCGTCTATAACCGTTCCTGAGTTCGACGCGAGAATAGCAACTCTCGAGGCCCGCATGAAGGAGTTGGAGACTCAGAAGAAAGCATTGGAAGAGGAGGCGGAACCATACCGCCGGAAGCTGAAAGCATGCGACGCCGTTCTGGCACCCATTCGACGCGTCCCTTTCGACATATTGCGCGAAATAGTGCGTCTTACTCTGCCACGCTGGCCGTCAGCGTCAACGAAACAAGGACCACTGGCTCTCTGTCGAGTCTCTTCTGCTTTCCGGAGAGCTACGCTGTCGCTCCCAGAGCTGTGGACTACGCTGCACATGGTGCTGGAAGAGGTCCTCTCTTTCCACCGTTACATAACACGCGTCGAAAAGTGGTTCAAACGTGCACGAGGAAAGCCCTGTTCGCTATATACCCACTTCCACTTCCCGCCCCAGCACGTCAAAATAGCCAAGAACGCATACGCAATCTTCCTGAATGGCGTTCGGTCGTCGGTAGCATGTATTCGACATCTTGGGATCTCAGCAAAATTCGTCGCCGACGCTCTCGTATGTTTCGAAAAGGCAGGGTGGATGCTCCCGAATCTGGAGACACTCGAGCTTCGCAGTGGCGAAATGTCGGACGCTGAATGGGCAATGGACGAACGTCCGCCCGATCCCACTGTCGTCATTCCATCGATGGAGCTCTTCAAGACGGCCAATAGTCTTCATTCTGTGACCATCGATGGCGACTTTGTGCGAACGCTCGGCGGGCGAGGTCTCCTTCCATGGGCACAGATGACAACGATCATCTTGACGGAGTGGCTCCGACCCGATGATTGGGCCGAAATCATGTCTTCGTGCCCGCAGATGCAAATTGGACGCTTTCGAATCGTGGCTAATTGGATACCCGAGAGCGGACCCCCAAAACGAACACTTGCGCATCTCGAAGAGCTCCGACTCTGTATAATGTACTCTTCGGCGTCGATCATCGACCTGGTGGACGTCTTTCATCTGCCGAAGCTCCGAATACTTGACCTCCAGCACGATATCGACTACGGCAATGAGGTGTCTGAACCACTACCAGCGAAGGACGTTCCTGCGTTCAAGACTGTTGAAACACTATACTTTGCCGACGTATGGCAAGAAACCACCCCACTCTACGTCCTCGAAATGCTCACGGAGATGACCAACCTGCGCGAAGTCGAGCTCACTGACATCGTTTCGAGCGAGACGTATGACGCACTATTCAAGGCCATGTCATTCAACCAGCCAATCCCAATTCTTCCCAAACTCTCGAGTTTCTCTGTAACTGCCACCAAGAAAGTCACCGACTGGGCAATGTTCGTCGAGATGGTCCATTCAAGGTGCTTCAACATCGTCCCCGACTTGCAGCCCTTAAAGGAACTCAAGATCGTCATCCGCCGCCGCCGAGTACTATATTCACGAGAACGCAGGCCCCTTCCCGCCATTGGAGACCTGAAGGCAGCTCTCCAGGCATGCGAAGATACCGGCCTGGCACTGAAGGTGGCAGATGATTATGACAAGACTTGGCTCTGTCAAGGTCAGCCTGGAGTGAATCTCTTTCATTCCTGGTCACCGTGGAACGCGATATATCTCAGAGAGTTCGCAGTGGAGTCGGCGTCCTAGGAGGTCAAAAGTTTATAGCATCCTGATACCAGACTCTCAAACCAAGCTTTGATATTCCTGCGGTGCATGATCTAGAATAATGTGTTAACTTTCTCAAGTAGCTACTTAGAATATATTCATTTTTATGTACCCGTACTCTTGTTCTCAAGGAGAGGAATGATCACACTCGAAGGTATCGCGGTCAGAACTTCGACTGTCATGGCCAGGGATTCTGATTCGAAACAATGTAAGAGGTTAATCGACACGCCCTAATCTTGAATGTCCTCGGTCTCCTGGAGCTGGCATTGCGGAATTGACTTCATAAAAGGTGAGAACGGAAGTTTCCACATTCACCTTCTGCGTGACCACACGATTGCTCTACCATATTCAACCTTGACCGGTTGACCGGTCCTCTTGCCTCTTGGATAGAAATCTAGCCCCCGATTTCAACTAAAGGCCCATATACCCATTTCTCTGCCTTCCCATTCCCCTTTGTTGGCGCAGTGGAAGAGAGAACTTGATATTTAGGCCTCCTACAGAGGTCCTTATATACTGTACACACTTTGTATCTAGTAGGTTCTACAACTATCTACTAAATACTATACCTATACGAAGCTGTGCTATGATGACTAATCTGCATTCCAGTATGTACGGGCGCCTACTCAAAGATCCGGGATAATGCCGGATTGCCCGATTCCAACACCCTTGAATAGCATATGAGCCAAAACACGAACTAGGACTATCCAGAGAAAGTTCGCGGTGGCATCCAATCTCGAAATATGGGCTTTGGCACACCAACCCAATCCCATGAGTCGTCTGAGGCCAGACTCAGTCGAACGGAGAACCCAGAAGCCGTCGACACGAGCGATTCCACTCCTGCCTTGAGCTCTCCTATCCTGCTCCGCGGCGCATCAGGCCAACAATCAGCGATGATATCGACATCTTGAAGGCCGTCGGGTCCACATCGTGTCTTGAGCATCTCGAGCAGAAGCTGGACGTTGACGGCCTCGCTGGGGTCGTCTAACGGGCGATGGGCAAAGATACGTAGCGTCCTGAGACGGGGCGCGAGACCTTCGCTCAAGGCCTTGATGATGACATCCTCCTGTGCGCAGACACCCTCCAACTGAAGCTCCTGGAGCTCCACGGTCTCGCGTAGGATCTCGACGACGTACTCCGGGTGCGAGTATCACCCGTGGTCGATCATCAGGGTCTCGATGTGCCGCAAACAGTCGATGCTTGACGGTGGCGGGGTCGTCGTTCGCTGCGTGATCTTCGTGACCAAGCGCGAGGACGCGCAGCCGCGGAAGGTCAACGAGCTTGAGCACATCAAGAATAGAGAAGTCCATACCGTAGCTATAGGCTAGACGCAACTTCAGACACTCGAGATACGTGTGAGTGCTACGTGGTAGCCCCAGCGGGAAAGGAATGTCCTCGTCGACGAGGAATTCGCCCTCTTCCATCTGCGTGCAGAGTGTCATGACTGAAAGCCAGTCTTCGATAAGGAGAATCTCGGTCAGGAAGAGATGGGTGAGTTGAGCCCACGGCACGAAGCTTTCTGCGCCTCTGAGCATGATGAAATCATTCTGGATCATCACGGAGCGCAAGTTGGGTGTCCCTTTGGATAACATTGGGATATGGGGAATGAGACGTTCACCGCTTGCATAATCTTTGGAGCTGCACGGCCTTTGGTTGAAGAGCTCGAGGGTTTCTAGGGCGCGCAAGTCCCAAGCCACGTTGGCGAAATGGTGCAGAACAGCTGTTACCCGGCGTGAGCCGATCCCTAAATGCTTGACTTGAGGCATGAGCGGCGCCCACCGCTCTAGCATGGACGGAATCGAGTTGGTCACGTCTAATATCGTGTCGTCGGGGGTAAAATATATGTAGAACGAGATTGAACACGCTTTAGCATGTCCGAACCACTTAAGAACGCGTTTTTCGTAGACTTTGAGGGCATGGAGGTCCCTGATATTGAGGAACAGCGTGCTCCAAAGCGCCGGCGTTGATAGACCAGCGGCTCGCCATGCTGCAGATACTTGACATAGGGAGAAAGGTGCTTGGTTTCTTGTCGGAAATGGATGCTCGGGGAGGCTGTAGAGAGCGATTTCGCGGAAGATATCGTACGGCAGCCGTCGCATAGCTTATGCTGCCTGAATCCTGATAAACAGCTGGATATTTTCAGCAATAGACTTCCAGGTCAGCAACGATTCTCTTACCCGGACAAGGCTGTTTGTAATTGTAGATTTACCAACGCGTTTACCCGACGAAACGACAGGTCGCTGGAGAAGGCAAGAGGATAAGCTGCAAGAATAGCTGATGCGTAGAAGTATGTTAATTACCTGGGATAAAGATGAATGGTTATCCAAACGTTGAGGTAAGAGGTGAAGGGCTGACAATGACAGAGATCATCAATCAACGGCAACAGACGGCAACGACGCGTCCAATGGAAAGAATCACGTGGTACGCGTTTAGGGGCTTCTGGTCCGAAATGTATTCGTGCACGTCAACTCTTGAAAGTTCAAGATGGATGAGACCATCCGGTTTATATAACGACGAGGAATTACACGACAAACAATGTGTTTACAAGAGGTACTCGTAGCCAAGCTCTGCCGTGTAGTCGACTGTTGCTGAAGGAAATAAACGCCGAGGCTTGCCTCCAAACCTCAGCAAATTGAGAACCATCATCGAAATGAAGCAGAACTATCTTTGGGGCGAGTCTAATCTGGCAGGGTGTAGCTTCGTAAAACTCCTGAAGGGAGGGGAAGATCGCGATCGTGGATGCGGACTGGGTCCAGGAGAGTATGCTAAACCAAGGTGTCGGGGCTGGGCAAAATTCTCGAAGCATTAATGTGGCTATTAATATGCCTGTAGTGGCATATTGTCACCCACCTGCATTTCGTGAAATTTGTGCCCAAGGATCTAGAGGACAAAGCCAGCCAAGGACAGCGCGCTGCAGACCAGGCGCTTTCTCAATCAGCAAGTCGGTCAAATCGATTGGAATACCCAATCGTCCTAGTGATCATCGGGCCTACATCCACTAGTGGGAATATTAATGGCGAAGACCTTTGGACCCGACTGGAGCCAACAGAAGGCGGGCAAGCCTAAAGGCCTAAAGAAGCACCTCGTAGCTACTATATATTGGTAGAGCTGTATAATAGCTATTTGGTAGGCAGCGATGAACTGGTTGTTCCTATCATGGGACCGTGCCAGTATAATACACTTCCTTCCTTCCTGATAGACATGATCGACGGATTGAAAGAACGCCTCCAACGTCGCTCCCAGGTTTGAAAGCCGGATAAAGCATGGGCAGGGCATCTAATTCGTCTGGCCTTTCCTCGATTTTTTAAGAGAAGGCACGAGGAACGCCCGGCATATTAACGCCAAACGGAAAGGCTCGTTGAGACGTGTTTCGGCCCCTGAGTGGAGGAGTAGAAGAGAAACGAAGACGATATCTTCGTTTCATTTGGAAAGAGACATTTGTAGCACGAAATGAGCAGACCACGAACAAATAGGCAGACTCAAAATATGAGCGGAATCAGACGAATAACGTCAGCAGAGTTAACGAGCGATTTCGAACAGACGTCCTCTGATAGGTCACCGGTCACTTGCATAAAGCTGCCAAGATTTTTGAGAGGCGCCAGTTCTCTCCGAATCTGAGGTCTGCGGAATATTTAATCGCTGTTCTTCAAAAGAAGATTACTAGCAGAGGAAGTGATGAAAACAAGTGTAAGGGAACCTCCCTTGAGAAAAGCTACTTATTCCGAGTGTGCTCCTTTACCTTGTTTTCTAAGTTCTTCCAGAAATCCCATCAGGTTTGTCTGAGGCTTCTCGACCATCATGTCATGGCATGTCTAAAAGTGTGGATTACAGAGGGAAGAGATGTGATTGGCTGGTGGCCGGGTATTCTCCAGGCCATTCCGATATCACGCGACTGCATCGTCGAAACCGGAAGGCGGCTCCTCCGTCGTTGTCTCATTTCTTCACCTCGTCCACCACCACCGACGACGACGACGACGATGCAGTCTGTCATCTCCGCAGCTCGCTCATCCACCAAGCGCTCCTTCTCTACTTCAGCGAGGAGATGGCAGGCCGTACCCCAGCAGAAGCCTGTTCTCATCAAGGAGTTCAAGATCTACCGCTGGGTGCGTACACGAGCTCTGTCAAGCGTTCTTGAGGGCTAACGCGACGAAACCAGAACCCAGACGAGCCAGAAAAGAAGCCAGAACTCCAGTCGTACAAGATTGATCTCAACCAGACGGGGCCTATGGTGCGTTTGTTTCCCCACATTGCACCGCCGGCATAGTCTCAAGAAGCTGCTCTAGGTCCTCGACGCCCTCATCAAGATCAAGAACGAGATGGACCCGACACTCACCTTCCGCCGGTCCTGTCGCGAGGGTATCTGTGGTTCCTGTGCCATGAACATCGACGGCCAGAACACTCTCGCCTGCCTTTGCCGAATCGACCGCAACGAGAGCAAGAACACCAAGATCTACCCTCTTCCTCACAGTGAGCCGTGTGGGTGTTGTTAGGGAACTCCAGCTTATCTCTGGTTACAGTGTACATCGTCAAGGACCTCGTGCCCGATATGACCCAGTTCTACAAGCAGTACAAGTCCATTCAGCCATGGCTGCAGAACGATAACCCGCCAGAGAAGGGTACGTGTCTTCACAGTTATTCTGCAGGTTTGGATGCAGCTGGCTATGGTGGTTGCTGTACTATGCTCCCCCTTCTCACGCGCACGAAAGCACCTCAACGACCCCTGCTCAGCAGGCTTCCTAATGCCAACCACCGGAACCAGTCGCGCCATGCCAGCTCGTACAGCTTTTCCGTCTTTCTAACCCGCTTTCCCACCAGGCGAGTTCCTTCAATCACCCGAAGACCGTAAGAAGCTCGACGGGATGTACGAATGCATTCTCTGTGCGTGCTGCTCGACTTCCTGCCCCTCTTATTGGTGGAACCAAGACGAGTACCTCGGCCCCGCGACGCTGATGCAGGCCTACAGGTGGATCGCCGATTCACGAGTACGTTCCCGTTTTCTGCGCTTTGGGAGATACTGCGGCGCGAAATTCGGTACTGACGAGACTTGATAGGACTCCCATGGTGCTGAGAGGAAGGAACGTCTGCAGAACGAGATGAGCTTGTACAGATGTCATACTATCTTCAACTGTGCGTGTTTCTCTACTATGTTGCCCTCTGCGTCTGCTCACGAAGTCTCATCTCTTGTCTCTTATGTCTCTTCCGTGTCTTCCCTGAACGCCTTCAACACGTCCCGTTTCGTCCCGAACGCTTCTTGACACGACCCTGCCGATGTTGCCGCTAAATCCTAATCCCTAAATCCGCATATACTCGCAATTGGACCCTTCTCATTCGTCATTCGCGCCTCCATGCACCCCTAACCGACCTCACATCCACGCCCCCCCCACCTTTCACTCCTTCAACCTTGGAATTCGACGCACAGGCTCACGCACTTGCCCCAAGGGTCTCAACCCCGCCGCCGCCATCGCCAAGATCAAGCTCGAGCTCGCTGCCGATTAGATTTTCACGTGAAAGTGACCCGCCCTCGCTCACTCGTTCTGGACTCGTTCATCGTGGACCGTGGACTCGGAGGAAGCTCACGTACGTGCTTCATGCAGGCTTGAATTGTGGGCATGAGGAGAGGGTGGGAAGGGGTGAAGGCGAGGTTGACGCATAGACAGACGCTCGGATGTGGATGTGGATGTGGATAGAAGTGCTAGTGAGGCATTGGTGATTCTGTTGTCGTCTTCATCGTCGGTAATTATTCAGCGTATGCCGTAGGATGTACAAAAGTAATGCGAGTGAGATTCATTTTTCTCCTTGATATCAAGTACTAAGGTGCTTCATATAAATCTTGACAGGTGACTTTCGAGTCCCAACGAAATGTTCTTGCTTTAAGCTACGCATCTGGAAGTGCGGGTAAAGAACGTGTGGTAGATAATGTCCAGAAAGTCGAGTATAGTAAGGAGGTCCGAGGGGGCAGTACCGGAGACTAAACCGAAAATCACTCTATCCGCAACCCTCCCTCTAAAAGTCACCCCAATGCGCGATCCATTTCGGAACCCTCAAGAACCCTGCCATCTTCCCCCAGAGACCGCGTTCCGACGATCTTGCCTTCGGCGGTTCAGGGAAGTGCATTGGGATGGACCGGGCGGGACAGGCTGCCGCGATGTACAAGGATTGGAAGCGGTATGCGAAGACGAGGGCGAAGAGGGCGTGCATTGCGGGGGTGAGTTGTTTGGTGTTTCTGAGACCGAAAAGAGTGACAAGAGTTGGTGAAAGGAGTGTGGAGGTGCTATGGGCCAGTTTTTGTCGTTTAGCATCCTTATATTCGAATACGCTGTTCATGGTGTACCTACCTCGTTGAGAGACCGTGGTCGAGAGAGAGAGAAGATATTCGAATGCTTGAGTCTTTCAGTATACGCTGGAGAGGTTTTTATATGAGGCGTTCGGAGCACGGCTGCGTGGAAGACTGGGCGCCTTTAAGATCGTCCTCCGCGCGGGACCCATGTCTTACATCCCCTAGCCTAGTACAATTCCTTGGATCGTTGAAGCATCGAGGCTCTGCAGGATCGGACCTTTTTTTCTTGATTATAATTATCAACGGGGATCAGAGATGCTGCAGGCTGGAGGAATGTCCTCTGACGACCCACGCTTTCTGACAGCTTCGATCTTTGAGCAATTTCTTTTCCTATATACGGAAATGGCTTTACCAGTTTGGGTCGAGTGATCGCTGGCTTCCCTCGGGCGAGAGGTGCCGGTGAACGTTAACAGGGCCGTCCGACTTCAATCGTAATACAGTAAGCTGAAGTACTATGAGTGTTTTATCCAGAAATGTCATTTTCGATACCGTCGATTTATCACTACGGGTGTGCATAGTGAACAAGACACATGTTGCTTCGATTAACGAGGACAACCGGGGGCCATAAATTATCTGAACGGAGATAAAACTGAGCTAAGACAAATGAAGCTTTGAAGTGCATGAGGAACGCAGAAAAAAAAGGCGGGTCCCCGCAGCCCCTAAACACGACGCGCGTCGTATGTTGTGTGCACGTGATGTCCGCGTATCACCACCGGGCCTGAATTTTGAAAGTCATTCTCCTTCAATCAGCCAACTTCCAGCATACTGTGTTAGTAGCTCGAGCTCACAGCGATTGGAACTCCTAGGCAACTGCCATACCCTCATGTCGACTCCATTTCTGATTGCTTTTCTCTTGATTCTTGCAGCTATAGTTTCAGGCTGAAAATCAACGAGTCGCGAGTCCCAAAATGTAGAATTCTTTCTCTGTCACTTGGGCTGTTATTCACTTTTTAGCGCCATAATCCCACCTCATCACGACAAACCTTAAAGGCTGTCCCTCAAGTAGCGGAAGCAATGCGACGCGTACCCTTTGACATTCTTTGCGACATCGCACTCTACGCCCTCCCAAACCACCCACGACCCTTTCAAAATGCGGCGCCTCTCTCCTTTTGTCAAGTCTCATCAGATTGGAGGATGGCGGCCCTGTCCACCCCCAAGCTTTGGAGCACTCTTTTCCTAGAAGTTCGGGACATCGAAGAACTCAAGATATACGAAAAACGCGTCATAGAGTGGTTCAGACGCGCCAAGTCGCGTCCACTGTCGTTCTACATCTATTTCGAATCTTCAGACGACATAATCGACGCAAAAGACTCCGTTCCACTCATGTTGGAGTCCTGGTCGTGCCTTATGCCTCAAGTCAGGCAGTTAGGAATCGGTGCAGACTGGACGGTCGACATTCTGCACCATTTTTGCAACTTATCATGGGAGTTACCCACCCTTGAATACCTGGACTTTTTCAATAGCGCGGTGTACGGGTACAACGAGCCAGGACTGTACAGTGACGCCACGATACCTTTCGTCGCCGCCCTCCGCCACCGAACTCCAAAACTACTCTCCGTTGCGGTCAACGACGTGTTCATCACGGTTGCAGGTGGCGAGAAGCTCCTTCCTTGGTCTCAGCTAACTCAAGTTGTCCTCACTGAGACCATTCCCATTGAGGATTGGCTCTGGATCCTGGACTCTGTGCACAGATGCAAGTCGGCGAATTCCTTGTCGGCGACGGGTTACCAGAAGCGCCAGTCCCCCGGCTCGTGCATACGCAGCTGACGGATCTCAAGTTGCGGTTACGCCTTGCGTCGAGCTTTTCGATCCTCGACATCCTCAACCTCGTTGAGATGCCTCATCTGCGCAGCCTCGCGCTCGGACACCGGAGCGACCCAGCGGCAAGCGACCCTCCTCCTCCTCCGCCGTCGTCAATCAGCTGTTTGAAGCACGTCCAGAGCCTCAGCATTGACCACGGCTGGTCTGCGAACCCTGAATACGTCGCCGACATCCTGCATGCAACTATGAAGCTGCGCAATCTCCAGCTCGAGCATTTCTCTGCTCTGGAGGACGTCATTCTCAAGGCGATGTGCGAGCCTATCCTGCCGCATCTCAAGACGCTCCGCATTTCTGCCACCAATATCACATACTACTCTCCAGATGCCTTCGACCCCCAACTTTTCGCTGACATGCTTAGGTCGAGATGCGGTCAAGATACCCTTCATGATGTGAGGGTCTTCATTCATCACTGGCCAGAGGGAGAGGGAAGCAAACTTGCTCGACTGAGGGCTGCATTGGAGATTTTGGCTTTGCCAGCAGGTGTTTCTGTCAAAATCGTTCGAGGACGGGACGAGACATGGGAGAGTGTCGTTCAGACAAGGTCGCCTATTTTTAAAGAGTGGCATCCATTGACTCGCAGGTTCTAAGCCAATCGCCCTACGAAACGCCCACCGTATTTTTACACTTTAACCAAGTAATTGACGGCGTTCGCAGAGTGTTCGAAGCACCGCTCGCTAAACATTTTCGGTCTAAATCCGATCCTAATTGTCACGTCGCCGATATGCTTAGCATCGCCCTTCTTTTCCTCTTCCGCGGCGCCTTCAGACTTCGCCTGATTCGCTGTGTACAAGCAGTAAGTCTGGCGTTGATAACACATGGTCATGATTAAATAAATAATTAGAGAGGCATACGTATGGGGTTTTGATGTACTTTCAATACTCAAATATTCAGGGTCGATGCGTGCCAAACAACTTGGGCAAGCATCTTTCACCTCAACGTTCACCACGTCCCCATCCAACCACACTTTCCCGCCTGCTTTCCCCCCATGCATCTCGCCCTCCAGAATGAAGACATTCTCCATGAGATATTTTGGCACCTTTCGGCTGCCCCTGGTTACTATTTCCCCCCTTTGACGGTCGTTGGGCGGGTCGAAACAAGAGCCCTTTTGAGCGCGGCCCTCACCTGTCGTCTATTCACTGAGCCGGCGTTAGACAAACTATGGTGGGAGATCGATACGATACTTGCCATACTGGGGTGTTTATCCAGCTTCGCCATGGACAATGAGGATGGTTCAGAAAGTCAAACCTGGGTGAGTCCTAAACTGATCTCATGAATGGAACCGGTTTTTAGGTTTTTTCTCAGTATCTCAATGGGCCAATTACAAGCTCTGACTGGACCATCGTTGATAAGTATGCAAGGCGTGTCCGATCGTTCCAGTACAACGAAGAAGTGAACGTCGATCCATCAGTATACGTCCAGATGCTACGGTCGCGTCCTCACAACCCTCTTTTTCCCCAGCTGCGAAACCTCCATAGTTTAGTTGGACCAGGAGCTGGACTTCTGCTCTGCCAAAGTCCTTCCTTGCGACGAGTCAGTATCGACGCGATCACCGAGGATAGCGAATACGACTTCTACCCAGCGATCTGGAACCTCATTGACGAGCTGCCCGAATCAGCACCATTGTTGGAGCAGCTATCCCTCGAGGCTGCTCTCCAGCCATCAGCCTACAGCCGGCTTGATAGATTTCAAAATATGCGAAGTATCCACATTCGCTACCAGCCCTATGGCCAAGACGAGGAAACACCGACGGATTTCGCCCTGTTGACCCCCCTCTCTTCACTGCCACATCTCACTCGCCTCTCATTGGTCCACGGTTCGCCCGCCTCACCAATCGTGCAAAAAATACCTCCAACTATTGCTGATTTCTCAGCTTTAACTCAGCTGCACTTTCGAGCCGCTTGGGATCAAATTTTGACGATGCTCGAAGTCGTACGATTTGACCGACTGTCTTTCTTTTCCTTGCATGTCATCCGGCCTCCTGCCTGGACAGAAGATACAACAAACGATCAGTGGGCTGTTGACGGATGGAAGAAGATATTCTACTTTTTACACACAAAGACGGGGGGTTTGCTCAAGGAGTTACAGCTCAGACTGGTTCGTGGCTGGGACGATGAATTTAGGCCTATGCCACCGGGGGTTCAAACCCCGCTCTACATCGAAGACGCACGCATCCTCAGGAATTTGACGATCGTGAACATCATGTTCCCCCTCGTTCATTCGCTAACGAACCACGACGTCGCCTTGCTGACCGAGGCGTGGCCTTTCCTCGAGTCTTTGCATCTCATGACAGAGAAGCGTGGTACGGCCAATTTTGCCGCGTTCGTTAAGATCGCTACAGGACTCCCTCGACTGAAGAAGCTCGGCCTATGCATCAGGGCCGACGACGGTCTCCCGAATCGCCATCAAGTGCCGATCCTTTCTCATCCTCTCCAGGAATTCGACGTCATGGGTTCATCCATCGATGATCCTTCCAAATTGGCGTGTCTCCTCGATCGGCTGTTCCCCAATCTCTTCACGGTGCGTTCGGGATATAAACCGAGGGATAAGGAGAAGTGGGGAGAAGTGCAGCGGACCCTGCAGACATTTCATGTTGTTAGAGAACACGAGCGTATGCGAGGCAGAACAATAGATGTCATTACAACTAGCAATAAGATGGTAACTGATTGAATAAACACTTCTTGGTGTCTTTCCATCCTCTGTGTAAAATACTGCGAGACCATCTTCTGCTGTATACCTGCTTTTTGCTGGATCGGTAAAGAACCTGTTTTTTCTATAATCAATTTGAATATTTGGAAAGACGTCACGATTAGATTAGATAACAATTGCACCCAGGATTTTCCACAAGCCTTTTGCTGCTTGCCTCACCCCACCATCATCCATGCATGTCGCCCTACAGCATCGAGATATCCTCCATGAAATCTTCTTTCATCTTTCCCCTGAGAGCTCAGAATGCTTTCCCGACACATCTCAATCAGAGGAAGAATCAACCACCCTCTTGCACGCGGCACTGACCTGTCGCTCATTCCATGAGCCCGCATTGGATAAATTGTGGTGGCATATCGATCTCATAGGCAATTTATTGCGACTCATTCCTACATTCACTTGCGCCACGGATGACGATGACGGTTTCATCTATGTGCACCCGTCTACTTCCTCATGTGCTTTTGCCCACTAACACAATTCCTCCCAGTATTTGTCAGGACCTATCAAGAATTCAGACTGGGATGTCATCGACAAGTACGCAAAACGTGTACGGTCGTTGTATTTTATCGATTCCGAAGGAGTGGACGCTTCAGTTTATCTCCACCTGATGCGCTCTCGCCCAAACGTCCCCCTTTTCCCCTACCTTCAAGACCTTTGCGCGAATTTGGAATCGGGAACCGCTCTGATGCTCCTACACACTCCATCTCTCCGTAGAATTTTCCTGGGGTTACAAGGGCCTCCTGGAGAGCGTTGCTTTCCCGCCATTTGGAACTTCGTGGATGAATTGCCCGAATCGGCTCCTCGATTGGAGCGGCTTGACCTGGGCCTTTTCTCCCTTAGGCTTCCAGATCACACCCACCGTTCCCTACGCCGATGTCAAAACTTGCGGTCTTTGCATGTTTTTTACGGGCCACACGCCGTTGATGCAGCCTCGCCGACGGATCCAAGCACTCTCGGAGTTCTTTCAGAGTTAGATCATCTTAATCACCTGCATTTCTCCCTCGGAAGCGCGACATCCCCAGTCGTCCACAAACGCCCTCTATCCACGGCATTCAGATTCCTATCTCTTACAAGACTGACGGTATCTGCCGCTTGGAGCCAGGTAGTCCCTTTGATGTCCGCTGCATCATTTATCAAGCTGGCGTCGCTGGACGTCGAGGTGCTGGAGCCTTATCCATGGCAGACCTCGCCAGATCCCCCGCCGGTGCACTGGGGGACAGACGCCTGGACGTCATTCATAGAACTTTTACGAAACAATATCAATCATACAATCGAAGAACTCAGCGTGCGGACTCATACCCGAGTTCGCGATCAGCCTGATCAGACGGGCTTGCAACGCCCAAAACTTGGAGACCTCTCTTTCCTCCCCAACCTGACGAAACTCCACATCGCCTGCCCATTCCTTCCGACTCTCATAAACGAGGACATTTTTTGCCTTTCGGAGGCCTGTCCCCGTCTGCAGCACCTCCACCTCCAAACACAATTCCTCGGCAGCATCGACTTCCGAGCCCTCATGATCATCGCCGATGCGCTCCCCGACTTGCGCTCGCTCGGCCTGTCCATCCACGCGGAGACGATTCCACATCACACCGAAATTCCTGTCAAGTCCCATCGGCTCGAGATTTTTGACCCGTTAACGTCTTCGATCAAGCATCCCGCCAACTTTGCACACAGTTTCGACAGGATTTTCCCGCATATTGAGGACCTCTTGCTGACAGGAAGGGCGAAGGACCTGTGGTCGCAGATCGATTCACTTCTTAGAAAATTCCAGATTGCACGGCAGGATGAAGTTCTGCGAGTCCGGGATGCGAATCCTAATCCTCATCCAACGGGCATGGCTGTAGATGAGTAAAAATGCTTGGAGGAACTTTATTTTACAGGACAAGATTACGCAAGCAGCACGCTATGAGCAACAAAAACAAAGAAATATTCTTTCTACCATCTCTCATAGCGATAATGATTAGAACCCTCAAAAAAGGTATGCGTTGATTGCTGAGTCCAGAGAAAGGAGTCCGGGATTCCATTTGTCCCATTACCATTGAAGACCTTGAACGACAATCCGGCAACTTGGCATGATTCCATTTGCCTGCTTAGTCTGACCATGATTGTGTCTTCACCCTCTTTCCACTTGTGGTAGGAGTAAACGAGAACCTCCTCCAAAGGCGTGAAACCTGCAGGCAGGTTGAAGCACCTCGATTCGATCATGCTGGCCAGGGTGTCTGGGTCGAATGCTTTGCGGTCGTTGTGAGCTTCGAGACGGAGGGTGGAAAGTTGTGGAACAAGGGACGAAGCAGACAGGGTCATGCTTTCGAAGACCGTGTCCATGTATGCTTCGACGTCGTACAGCTCGAGAACGCGTAGCTTAGGCGTCTCGCGCAGAATTTCAATTATATACGAGGGATTTTCGCGGTAACCATAATTTAGAGTTAAGGAATGGAGATGGCGGAAGGAGTGGAAGGCGGTGGGTGGTAGAGGGTAAGGGCCAGCGCGGCAACCGTCGTGTTCGAGGCGAAGGGTGCGGAGGTTGGGGTATTCGAACTCGTTGATGATGTCGACGATGGAATATTCATCATAGATGAGGTCAACGGTGAACTCTCTGAGATTTTCATGAACTGGCAGGGGGAAGCGGCGTCTATGCCTCTCCGGGTGCGGTCGTAAATGAAGAACCTCCAAGAGGGGAGAAAGCTTCATGATTTCGATCCAAGTAAAGATCGGGAGGGATTCGGTGACATGAAGATCAGTCAATCGCGACCATGGGAGAACATCCATCGCGCCGATGACAGTGCGGAATACATTGCTGCTCGCCACGGAGCGAAGCTTCGGAGCTTGTTGGAAAATCGAAGTGGACATAATAGCCACATCTTCGTTTTCCGAATCTTCGTTAAAGCCATAGTCTCCAGGATTGCTGATCTCCAGGACTTCGAGATTGTCAAGCTTCCAGTGACTTGTTCCCGGCCCACGCGTCGTCGCCTATTCCAAGGTGCCGAACCTGCGCCATCGGAGCTGCGATGTCCTGCAGGAGGTCCGCGTAAAACGGACGGTCGCCGGAAAACTGCTGAGACTCCGAGAAGAGGAAGAAGGTCAGCGGACGGCTTTGGGCACGTCCAAACCATTCGAGGACGCGTGTCCTATACTGTTCGCGGTGAGTTCTTGGGCGCTTCACCAGCAAGACCAATGTTTCCCATAGCTCCGGCAGTGACAATGCGACAGTTCTCCAGGTCGAGCACGTCTGGCACAAGGATAAAGGGCATTCCTGCACGCGGCCACGCGGTCGAGGGTGAAGCGCATAGAGGGCGATTTCGCGAAAAATCTCGACTGGAAGGTGTTGAATTGGCGATAGAGTGGTAGGGCGAGCTTCAGGCGTAGGAGAGGAGGGAGTGCTCGAGGTTGCCAATACAGCTTCATGCTTCTCCTTCATTTGTTGAACATGGACAATGATTTCTCGTTGGGCCATGATTTTGGAGTCGCGCTGAATAGCAAAATTCGGCGGCTCGGAACGAGAAAAAAGCGCATATATGCGCGCTCTTTAACACAGAGTGAGATAAAGGGCACCTGTGACCGTAAAAAATCAAAAAATAAATAAATAAATAAAAAAACAGCTGCGGGGAAAATGAGTTCAAGTTCAAGTTGGAAGTTAACGTTTGCCTCACTCAGTAGGCCAGGCGAGCGTTTCCGTCACTGATATCCTTCGCTCTTCCACTTCGCAGAGCTTCTGGCTCGGGGGGATTCTATTCGCGAACCCCCTTGGTTTGCGAACCCCTCCGGGAGATCAAAGTTTAACGGCACTTCCGGCCGACCAGCCGCAACAGGCAGGAGCCGTGACTGGCCGGATTAGGGTGCCGGAGTAGCGCCTGCCATGACATCATACGTTTGCCTGCGCCTGCATGTACTTAGGACTCACCTGAGGAAACCTGGCGCTCGACGAACGAGCCAACAATGTCAACATCGCCCATCCGTGACCCGCATTCTCAGCACTCGCGCAGGTCATCTAAATCTGCATTCTTTTGTATTCGGTGCCTGACTAATCTCTCGACTTCAGCCTAGCAGACCATGACTGCCAGTGAGGCATGCTGCTATTATCCACGCACCATGTTGAAAGGCACGAGGACGAATGAAAAAGATAATCTTCGGATATGTTGTGGGGGTTCCGGGTGGGTCCTTCCTCTTCAGCGTCAATAGAAGATCCCGAGCAGTGAGAAACACTCTTCCTCGCTCATACATTTCTGAAGGGAGGTCACGAAATTGAGCTGCACCCTCGTGTACCCTTCTTTAAGTGCGCAAAAACCTTCAACTAAATCATGATTTCCACGTTTCAACTCTGTTATCGTTGCTGATATCACCGCTTCCTCCGAGGCTCTGCGCTCGTTGCCTCCTGCCCTCTGGTATGGTCAGATATGTCACCCATTCTTTCTGACCTATCCTCTCCACAGATTATTTTTATTCTCTGTGATGAGCACCTGGCATTGACCATATTGTTCCTCATGCACTTGAGTCATGAGCCTTGTTCCTGCTGTTGGAACTCTGCATTGCATAATGCGGTGTCGAGCGCCGCATCGCAGGAGCAGTGCGTTGTCGCTGCGAGAACGTAGGCAAGTAATATTTTGCATCTTATTCTTTCCGGGCGCTACGGGCAAGCGCCACAAGTAATTACATTTTATCTACGTTGTAGGTAAGCAGTGGATAATGGAATTGAACCCTCGCGCGATTGCGAGGGTCCCTGTTCTCACTCGAGTAGACGACGCGGACACGTTTATTTAAACACCTGCTCCGTGGCCAGGGAAGCAATCACCATTTACTACGTTGATTCCAATTTCCAGCGCTGCTGCCGAGGCTGAGCCAACTTATCAATCTTTAAGAAATGTCTATGGGATGGCAAAGGTAGGGCCACACCAGCATGGGTAGCTTTACCAATACGAGAGCCCTAATTACCACCCTAGAATACAACTAAATAACGACTACTTATTCTGTTGCTGCTGCGCTGCATGACAGTGTGGTGCTTGTGGGCAAGCCCCTATCCGGACCAAATGTCACAGCTGTGACAATATTTGTCATCCCGTAATCTCTCCGAAAGGCGTCCGGGATCTGGGGGTTCATGAGGGGTTCGCACAAATATGGGGTTCGTGAATAGAATTCCCCTCTGGCTCGAGATCGTTCAGCCTAATGGACCGGCTGTGATAGTGATAGTTAGAGAGAGAAAGACGCTGGTCACGATTGTGACCGAGGACCGGTGACCTCGGGTCGCCGCATTTAGCAACTTCATCATCGGCTTCAACAGGTGAGTGACGACGTTCTGCGCAGCCCCAACTCTTAAACTCTATCCTCAACATTGCCGGCGCTGCACTCAGCGCGCATCTAGCACAAATGGCGCCTTCAGGAGCGGGATCGAGGCTCCCAACCGTGCTGTTGGTCTTCGCAGGACTGTCTGCACTCATCGCTGTTCTGGTCTCATTCTGGTCGATTCTTCTACAGCTACGCAACTATCGAAAGCCTGCCCTGCAACGGTAAGCTTTGAGACATTGAAATGAATACCAAAAGCTGACTTTGTGTGTAGAATGGTCGTTCGAATCATGATTATGGTGCCGCTATATGCTGTAGCCTCTCTGATATCTTTGTTCTCCTTGGAGGCGGCGTTCGTTATTGATGCTATAAGGGATATATACGAGGTAAGCACCATCTTCGTAGAATTGGGGTGGGAGCTCAGAGGGACAATGGCCGGGAGTTGTAGCGGGAAAGAAGAGAGGAGGTTCTGAGACGGCAACCACCCCCATTCACGCTCTTCAATTCAAACAACTGACTCGTTCGCTAGGCCTTTGTGATCTATTGTTTCTTCGTCCTCCTACTCTCTTATCTCGGCGGAGAGCGCTCTCTGCTTATCCTACTCCATGGACGACCTCCCAAGGAACCAGTCTTCCCTCTCAATCTTTTCAAACGCGAAATCGATGTCAGCGACCCCTACACGTTTTTATTCCTAAAGCGAGGCATTCTACGTGTGTGGCTTGATTCTATTCATCTCTACTCTCTAACCCCTTCACAGAATATGTCCAAGTGAAGCCGGTCCTTGCTGCAGCCACCCTCATCCTCAAAGCAACCGGCAAGTACAATGAAGGCGACTTCCGAGCGAACTCCGGCTATCTCTACGTCAGCATCGTCTACAACATAAGCATCTGTCTGAGCTTGTACTGTCTGGCAATGTTCTGGATCTGCGTGAACGACGATCTCAAACCTTTCCGGTGAGCCCGCCTCGCTTCGTTCTTTTTTCAGACCTAACCACGCATGTAGCCCGGTCCCTAAGTTCCTATGCGTCAAGGGCATCCTATTCTTCTCGTTCTGGCAGTCTATCGCCATCTCCGTCCTCGTAGCTGCAGGCGTCATTACCAAACTCGGCCCATACACCGACCCAGAGCACGTCTCCGTCGGCCTGAATGATCTCCTCATCTGCATGGAAATGCCCCTCTTCGCTTTCGCCCACATGTATGCCTTCTCGTACACGGATTTCATCGATTACCACCATACCTTTGTAGCTCGCATGCCCATGTGGTATGCCTTCCGCGACGCGTTCGGCCCCAAGGACGTCATCGAAGACTCGAAAGTTACTCTCCGCGGCGAGGGCATGGACTACCGCGAATTCGAGCCTGCTGAAGGCTTCATGCATCAGGGTGTTGGAAGAGATAACCGTATCCGCGCAGGGCTGCGGTATAGCAAGGGCGGGCAGAAGAAATACTGGCTGCCGAAGGCCACTGACGACAGCAGGCTGCCAGGGCGAGCCGAACGAGCCGTGAATAAGGCCGTCACGAAGATCGCGGGCGAAGAACAGGGAGAAAGCGTCCATGCACCACTGCTGGCACATCAGGCGGACGATGTGGTGCACCTCGCGCCAGACTTGCAGGACGCGCCGGACGACACGCTCTGGGACAGCACGGTAGACGCCGAGGAAGGGTACGAGCTCCCGTTCGGCGACATCGACGAGGCGGACGAAGAGCTCTTCGAGTACAGCAAGAGCTATTTGTTCGGCGATTACAACTACCCGTGTATCGACGTCAGCTCGGAGTCGGCGCGGATTCTGATCTGGGACGAGGAGGAACGAGTACTAAGAGACGAGCGCGGGGCCTGGTTCTCCCCGATCAGAGGCGCGAAAGGGCAGGCTGCACTTCAGAAGCGCGATCGGCCAGCATGGGAAGGATATGGTGCCGTAGGTACGAGCGATTCGCGGCCCAGAATGTCGCAAAGGTTCGACGACGACAGACGCGGATACCTCATCGACCACGATGCGGACCGGGTGGCACGGGCTTCAGCAGAGCCCAAAGATGTCGTGATGAAGTGGACGAAAGCACGCACCACCGCGGCGCCCCGCATTCGTGTCCAGCCCTCGGCACGGCTAACACCGTCGCCCACGCCATCAGGATCTGGCAGTAGGAGAGACAGCGGCAGTGGGAATGGAGGCAGCCCTGGCACTCGAATACGATCCCCTCCATCTCTATCGCGAAACAACTCTCGGGCGAGTGCGTCGCCTGTCCTCCCACCCGACGCCGTGGATCTGGTCGTGGAGGATAAGCAAGCAGCCGAGGAAGACCAGGAGTACACCCGGCGGAAGGGTGAGCCGTCTACGCGTGGCTCGGGCCTGCGAAAAGTCTATCGGCGGGGATTCGTCGTTGACGGTGGGGATGGGCAATACGGGGAAGGTGAAGTCGAGGTCGAAGAACCTGGAGGGGCAAGCAACCGGAGGGTTGAGGAGATTGCCGAACGGATTGAAGAGGCTAAGGAGCCGAAGAAGGCTGGCCAGGAGGCCGAATGGACACAGGAGACAGAGGGCGTCGTGGCACGAAGTGGGACGCCTCCACTACACGCCCGCGTGCAAGCCTATCACTATGATGATGTTCTTGGGAATGATAACCCCTGGGCATGATTTATTTCACGCTTTGTATGTCGTTCTGTTTTCTGTTTTCTTGCTTCGGGCACCCTTCATTTCTGCAAAATATTTCTGAACAATCTGGCATGCATGTATCTGTTCACTTCCGTAGGTTATCATTACAGTATCTTCTACACTCTGCACCGCTCTCTACGTCACGGAAACCATATACGACTGTACGATTCACGACAAGTTCGTATTACAGGCTAAATCATACTCTCGAGGGAAGTCGTTGACCAGAGCGTAGATTTCTTTCGTCACCCATTCCTCCAGCTCGAGCGGTGTGGCGTAGACGCCAAGCTTCGAGTCCGCTGACACGGTCCAACGTACTGTAGCAGTCGCACCCGACGCCAAGAATAGCTCAGTTCCTCGCAAGATTTTAGCCATCCACGATTGTTGCCGTCGCCTTCAAGCAAGGGAGGAATTTAGCATTGAGGTTCAAACGTTCAAACCTTGGGTCTGAGGGTATCCCTTGTCTCACGTTGTTGCTTGTTCCATTTCCTTCCTGTCTGTCCTCCAAGGCCATCATCAGCCATCGATCGACTTATCTCATGAAAATCCTAATAGAAAGAGGAAAAATAGACCTTTTCCTGGTCGGAGGGTGATTTTTAGACACGTGCGGAGGGTACAAAGTCAAAGGACAGGATCATTGAGAAAGCCGGGTATATATAATGTAATGTGAGATGGAGAGAGAACGGAGGGAGAAGGCAGATTAGAGAACAGAGAACACAGGGCGTGATTCAGAGAACGAAAAAAAGTCAGAGAATGGAGAACGAGTTTCCGAATAAAGATAAACGAGAACGAGGGAAAGCCCTTCCCGTTATTCTTTTCCTTGCCGGAATGTTCAAGCCATGGATGATCAAGCCTTAAGACCTCAGTTTTGCATCAAAATACAGAGCGTAAAGATGGAGGCAGCTTGTAGGTTTAGGTCAAACAGGGTAGACCCACAGCTACAACGTCCGCCCGACCGCCGCCACACTAAACCTGCCTCTCGTCATCTCATAATCGTTCAAGATTCCCCGCCGTCGTGCCCTTCGTTTCGAGGTGTGATTCAAGGGTTAAAGTTGGAGTGAGCATTGAAAGACGAGGTAAGCTGTGTGCTTCCGCATGTGCATTCGTGCGTCGATGTACTGATTCCAAGTCTTCGTGTACGCAGCACCCGGCACCGATGTCAAGAACATGTATCGACGTCGCACACCCACGACGCCGGCAGACGCTTGTTGACACAGAGGACCGTCATCTTGTTGGTTGACGAAATGCTGAAACTTCGAAACGTCGGTCGAGACGGCAGGAACCACATATATCAGCATCGTTCAAAGGGTACGAGAAGAGAAAGTATGCACCTCTCAATATTTCCTCGTTATTGGCTACTAACCACGTCCTCCTAGTGCCAGTGCCGACAGTAGAGACGTCGGAGAGTTACTGCACGTTGGTGGTAAATCTTTCCTTCGGCTCGGGGTCAACCTTGAGCTGACTTCGTGTTTAGCTCCGTCGGCAGGCCAGTTCGAGTCTAACACACGCAAAACGAGGTGGACGACGTCAAGGGATGCTTCGTCGGTGTCGAGACGTGTTAGATCGAGGTGGAATGGGAGGAAAGAATGGGAGACGGGGTTACGAAGCGACGTCTGGGATAAGTTGTAGAACGCTTCTCCTCGTCATGTTGCGCTAGTATCCATGTCTTATACGAGCGTACCCGGTAACCCCACGCAGCAACTTCCATTGGCATCCACCCTCGGAAGCTGGTTTATTCAACGTTCTGCGAGCTGGGCTGCTGATGCCTGCGTTGTCCTACTTGTGCAATGCTTGTTGTGGGTGCGTTGGGTATCGAACTGTGTTGCTGATGCCGACGTTCCACCTGACATCCATCATGGGCGGTGTAGAGCGGGTCGGAGACAAAGAGCAGCGCGACGAAGGTGGTCATCGGTCAGTGTTTTTGGGAACGGTAAGTAGACTTGCATTTCCTTCAAGTTGCGATGCTGCTGATAGCATCTGTCCCAAGCCTTCACGTTCTCGTAGACGGGCTCTCGTAGCAGTGAACAAGAGGAGACGGGGCTAATATCGAATGGATGAACGGACATCAGAATAGCCGACGGAAGAGTGAATCGGCATACGTACTTCGTGTATGTCCTGTCCCAACCGCTGATTCTGATTCTCTGCCGCCGCCATCGGGCCTCAGGGATACCGGTGAGTTCTCGTTGTTGGAAGGCGATGGCGCAGTGTTGATGTTCGCATTGGCGGTCTCGTAGCCGGAGAGACAACGCAGAGGTTCTCGTTCGTCTGTTGAACGTCGGGGGCAGGTAGCAGACATCCGGGGTATGTCGGGTCTTCGTCTTCCGGTCTCCGCGTCGTCGTAAACGCCTTCGTATGCTCGTCGTAGGCAGGTGAGACCTGGAGTGAGGCTTGAAGGGAAGAAGAATAAACCCGTGTCAGTCCAATTGCAGTGCGATTGGCAAGTGCTTACCTTAGTCCTCTTCACCCATAGTGACGGCCGTTCGCGGTGGCAGCCTTCGTATCGCCGTTGTCGTGTTGGACGAGGTCTTCGTAGTTCTAATCACGAGCGCTCTTGACACCCACGACGGTAAGAGGATGTGACTTGAAGCTCGAGGGACAGACTTGATTTGACGGTCGCCCTGGTGGTCGACGGGTATTGTTGGCTTTTCTGTTCAGACTGGTAGTGTTCTTGACAGTAAATGCAATTGAACCGGCAGTTTGCTCGCCTCCGGACCCAATGTTCCGCTAAGCGAGCCTAGCCGAGGGCAGGTGATGGGACATTGACAGTGATGTTCCCATCAGCCAAATTCGGACTTTGACGAATCTTCGAGCTCGTCGTCGTCGTCGTCGTCGTCGGCGAGCATTCCCGTTGCTCGCCCGGCATATTTTCTCGGTTTGTATCTCTAGATTATATGTTTTTGGATGTATTAGCATAGTTTTCGTAAAAAATTGGTTCCCACAGCGAGCCCCATGATAAGAATTACCTTCGGCGCTCGTCTCTTGATGGTGTAACTCATTCATTAGTGTGAAATGCGAGTGAAAAATACTTGTTCTCTAGTTTGTTGCTGCCATTCACATCTAGATTAAAGTGAGTAGACAGTATTTGCGTGACAATACCTTCATATCGCGCAAGTTCGAGAATGTAATCCTTCTACCCCTAGTTTCATAGGGGCTAATTAACTAAATCAAGGGATCATGCGCCTCACACAATGCTGCCACTTCCAATAATTGACACAGATCTGTTAAATAACTTTCATAGTTGTGTTGTAGACATTTCCTATTGATGATCCGATGCTGTACCCCCCTAAACGCATCCACCAGTGGACCATATGGACTTGCTCGCAAGCGAGACCTCAGTTATCAGGAGCGTACCGGAGACCAAAACAAATGCAACGCGACGCATTGACGGAATTCAACTCTTCTTTGATCGTGTCTGACAGCTCTATGCCATGTCCTTGGTTCAGGATCCCCCAATCAAGCAACTATGCACAAAGTGTCATTCCTTCCAACCTCTTGACAACTTCAAGAAGTCTCGGGATGGATTCAATAAAACGTGTATCACATGTGGGGCAAAGCATTCGGAGAGATATAGGAAGCAGAAAAAGCGCATTGCAGATGAGGACAAGGAGAATGAAGGGGGTGGAAACTCGGAAGGGGGAGATCTTGAGCAAGGTGAGGAAGAAAGCGACGAGGTGTTGTGTCGAGAGCTAGGACATGTCAGCCTCGAAGAGTTTCTTGACCAGATTCTAGAGGCGTTGTCCTTGCACTCCTTTGCCGCTGTCATCAACATCGATGAAGGGATCTCTGGGACACATAGGGAGAAAGCAGACAAGATTTTGGAGAAAATATGGGATGCTATGGACTACCGTTTTGTGTACGTTGTTTTCTTCCTCCAAACATGTATCACTGACCGTGGATTCCAGCTATAATCATCAATATGTTCATAAGCAAACACCATCTAGTCGTATCAGCTACCACTACGCACAGAACTCATGCTGTCAGAACGATCCAAAGAAGGAAAGAGGGGAGAATGTCAAAGAAAGAGACAAGGGGAGCATGCCCACCTTTGCCTGTGATGGCTGGTTCCATGTCACGATCTACGATGACAAAGACATCGCTTTAATTAAGTATAAACATATGGGCGATCACATACCTTATTGCAACATCGACCTACCGGCTTCAGTTCTCAAGCTTATCAACAAAAATCCGGAGCTGAATGCGACCCAAGTACGTGATCTGGTGGTTTAGCAGTGCGAAACTAATGCGACATTGTATTCAATAAAGCTCTGGAATATTATTCTTAAGGATTTTCCTCGCCCAAACTTCACGCAAAAGCAAGTATATCATGCCTGGCGCAAAGGCGATAATGCAAAGTACAGATTCAACAACAATCATCTCAAGTCTGCGGAACTCCTGCTTGAAGACGCAAAGAAAATGAAGGGACTCTATCGAATCGAACCAATTTCTCTGCCTAAATGCGACAGTTTTCAGGTTATTGCTTTCTCTTTACCGGAGCTTCTCACTCAATGGGGAGGGAAGATCAAAGAGACCGTGCTGGATTCTGCATGTAAGTCCAATAATTCCCTCTGAACCGTTTTTGCCTCATCTCATATTCAGGAAACACCAACTCCTCTCGCTTTGAGGTCTATGCGCTTTTGGGAGAGGTTTACAGATCGGGATGTCCAGTTGGATATCTTCTCATTCAACGCGATAAGGATGTTGAGGAAGGGGTACAGCAAGAATATATTGAAGAACTACTCAATCACTTCAAGAAGAAATGGAAAATTAGGCCCCTCTTTACGATCACAGACAAGAATATTGCAGAGATTAAGGCATTCCTGCGCAAGTTCCCCGATGCCAAACACCAGCTATGCTTCTGGCATTGTCTTCGAGCCATCAAAACTCGACTCTTGACCCTCCACCACTGCCCGAAATTCTATGATGTCAAAGAAGCGAGAAAGGAGTTCCTGTTCATTGATAAGTCGTTTGTACCCCTTGCACAGGCTGAGAAGATCCTGCCAGTACAGTGGAACAAGTTTGATATTTGAACCAATCGGCTAATATCCTCAATTTCAGAATCCAGCTCAGCAGATAGCCTCAAAGCAGATCCCTCGAGTGTCCATTCGCATGGGCAGCGTCCTCATGAACACAGCACCTATTCCGGCTCCCCCTGCTACCGCTCCTTCTGCTCCTGTACCTGAGGCATCTTCAGGCACTCGTCAAGTTCTCTTTCGCTTTGATGGAGCTGACATCCAAAGTGTTGACATTCCAAGTAACATATTCGATCAAGTTGACGCAATTAACGACTGCAGCAGGATCGTGAAGATGCTTATGATTACGAATTCGAGGAAGGAGAGACAACGTCTCCTGACCGAGCTTATGTGTTCTGCCCGGCCGAGCATCGCAAGCAGCTCCTACACCTGTTTACCCAACACTTCTGTCAACATCCTGCATTTCTTGAGCGTACTGAAGGGACATGGGACGCCTCTACGATCTGAAATAATGCCGTCTTTGCTATGTACACCTTCTGCTATCAGCATGGTCTCACCGAGGTTTGGGGATATTTCTGGGCATGTTGGTACTGCCCGGATATGTGGAAGCTTTGGGTGCGTTTGACGTCTCAGTATATCTTGCGACTTCGAACAACAATGTCTGTTGAGAATTTCTGGAAGCAGCTCAAGCACAACTTTATTCCAACCACGACTCATCCTCGCCTTGACCACCTTGTCTGGATTTTGATCTATCGAGTTACCCCAGCATACATCGCCCGAATGGACACTCTTAACGACAACTACTGACTTGGACGATTGCAACCACTGTCAACCTATCAGGAATACTTCAAGCGAGAGTGGAAGAAGCTTGCCAATCGCTGGATCAACGATTCGAGGCAGCAACCGTACACCATCAACGTTGCAAAGTGGCTTTGCAACTGTGGCCAGCAAAAATATCATTGCCACCATCTTTGCAAGCATCTTGTGCAAGCTGTAGAGACTCCTAGCCCTCGGTTCTGGCAGGAGATCTACTGCCATCGAGTTGTCCCCATCTATCGCCATCCAGCGCTTGTCAAAAAGGGGGATCAACCCGGCGCTTACGATGACCCTGATGGTTCGATCACTGATGGGGATGATCACGAATGGAATGGGGATTGTACTGTTCTTGAAGATGGGTTGTGACGCACCTTACAGCCCACGCAAGGAGGTAAAGGTAAACGCCGTCTTGACAGCAATGATCATGCGGTTCGGCCTCGGCCTCCAAAAAGGATGCGCACTGTCAACATGCCATCGGAGCCCACGGAGATCATTGATCTGACTGTCAGTTCGCCAATTCCAATCCCTCACTCTCCACACAATTCTCTTTTCTCTTCTCCAAATTCACTGCTACTTTTCCCATCATCACTGACTCCAATCAATGCTGATCACATCTCCGGTGACAAAGGGAGTGATTTTGAAGAAGAGGTATGATATTTCGACTCATTGACATGCCAATTTAGAAATAACACCTCTGTACAGATGGACAAGTGCACGGAGACCTTGAGGAAATGGGCTAATGCCTGCGAAGCCGCTTCTGCCATATTCTGCTCGCAGGCAGAGAGGTCTGACAACCAAATCTGGAAGCGGGGTGTTGTCGGAGAGAAGGTTGGTGAGCGAATTACTCAATTTGTGTCAGATGTCAAGAGGTTCGAGAACGGAAAGAGTGATACCACCTGGGCACTAGGTCGACCTATTGCTGAGAAGCGAAGGAATAAGCACACAATGGGTTATCAACCCTCATAGTACATGTTGTAGAATTGTTATATCTCATATTGTAGTTTAAATTACAGGGTAAGGACATCGGAATACTCATAGGGGCTTTACAACTTATGCTCGAGATGAGCGCCGAAGGTAATTCTTATCATGGGGCTCACTGTGGGAACCAATTTTTTTTTACGAAAACTATGCTAATACATCCAAAAACATATAATCTAGAGATACAAACCGAGAAAATATGCCGGGCAAGCAACGGGAATGCTCGCCGACGACGATGATGACGACAAGTTCGAAGATTCGTCAAAGTCCGAATTTGGCTGATGGGAACATCACTGTCAATGTCCCATCACCTGCCCTCGGCTAGGCTCGCTTAGCGGAACATTGGGTCCGGAGGCGAGCAAACTGCCGGTTCAATTGCATTTACTGTTCTTGACTAACGATTGCGGGCATTTGTGTTTGAGAATTATCGGACTTTGTGCTTGTTCAGTCAACACCCGAACCCGTCAGGCGTCAGTACTTCAGTACCACGCCCAGCAGGCTCGAGTGCTGGACAGTTGTATGACTCAGGAGCATAGTGACGATGACCAACGTCTGTGTAGGTTAGCGTTGAGCAATGGGAATGAAATTGGCTGCCTACGTGTTGCGATTCTGAATGACGCATTACATAATACATTATGGGTCACATGCTGCTATGTTCAAATCCCGCCTGCCAAACTCGAAGAGTCAATCTGTCTTTCTTGGATGCCACCACTATGCCCCAAATCACCTATCTTTTGGTTCAGGAACAAACATCAACAGCTTACAGGATCCATGGCTTGGGAATCAGCGAAGACTTCCCCAACACTAGCAAAATTCAGGTGCTCCTTGATGACGCTGCGGAGGCTGGCTGTGCCCTCATGGGCTTGGATTCGGCTCAAGGAGTTACACTCATCGCCTACAAGGCATGTAAACTCGCACTTCCAATGCCTTCCACTGCTCACTATTACTATTCAGCTGCTCAATCCCATAGCTGATTTTCGGGGCTGGTCGCTTGGCGATATTGAGAGCAAGCTCGGGGAGATAAATGAGGATTTTCTCCGAAACAAGGCTGCTCAATGCCCTCACCATGGCGAGTTATCGCTCCTCGAGGCGGATGACAATCAGGGGAAAGTTCTCGTTGTGTTCAGTACGTCTTTGCCTTGATCGACGAATTTATGCTCGAGTCTTACTTTCCAGAGATGCGAGTTAAACCCATGCACCGTCTGTCGGAAGAAAACACTTTTTCCCATCTCAAGCGTGCGAAGCTTGCTACAACCGCTCCGTCAACCATAGCAAATCCATCGACATATGAAAGTATGCAAAGAAAGAGCAATGAGAAGATTCTCAATGACCGCCCTGAGCCTGATGACGAAATTCCTCCTATTCCACTTCTGTACAATGGTTTTGGCCATTTCTTGGATATCCTGGATGGCGATGCAGACATTCTGGGTCTAGATAAAGTGGACAGTTCAAAATTACGGCTGGAGGTCAATGAGTTTGCGTGCAATATGTGTTACTTCTATGCCATGGAGGATGACCGGAGGGACAAAGCTCTACCTGCCCTCGACAAAATTTTCGCAGCCCGCAGTGGTGTCAAGATCCCTACGATTCACGCAGCTGCCATTGGTTCTGTGAGGTCGGATGGGGATAGTGTCGGAAAGCACGGAGGAGTGGTACTGACCACCAAATTCAAAAACCGGGTTGCAAGGATTACTGCAATTCCTGAAGTAGAGCTCGTGGGGTACGTTGCACGGTCGCACGTGAAGGGAATGGAGGAGATGCGAGAACTGTTTGAACGATGGCGGGTACCCTGTCTTGGTCTGACTGTTGTTGGTGGGTGTGCACGTCTGATATTTTCGTGTTGAGCCGACCCATGTCCAGGTTCCGATGTTAAGTTTTATGCCGTTATCGTGCTTGACTCCCGCTATCGGCTTGTTAGTCTCACACCAGCCCTATCGTGCATTCGATCCGCCTTGGATGGCTGCGATCGTACGGCCCTTTATACTGCCTTCACCACGGCATCTGTCTTGCAAGCTCACATTGTACAGGATATTGACAGATACCTCGCTGCGCTGCCTCCCAAGATCCCAGACGGTGCCCACCGTTGCCCTGCAATCTCCAAATTGCGGAGATATGGCAGCTTGTCCGATGACTACCTCACGTTTGGGATCCAAAAACTTCATCCCTGCAAACAGAGCCAGCACCTGCTCTACATCGCTGAGACGGAAGACCCCGACTACCAAACCGTCCTCATAAAATTCGTGCAAGGGTACTTGGCCGAGTTGCATGCGTTTTGTGCTGACTCCAACCATGCACCACACATCCTCGCTTTTGAAAAGCTTCCAGGCGGGTGGCTGGCAGTTGCGATGGAATACATCTCGAGCGGTGTCACAATAACGACAGCCGCCTTGTCCTGGCTCGCCTCATGCAGAGAACGCTGGGCATCACAACTGTGGAAGCTTGTTAAATCCTTTCACGATAGCGGCTTCGTCCATGGAGACCTGCGTGTCCCAAATATCATCTGTGACGACAAGGACAGGGTGCTGCTAATTGACTTTGATTGGAGTGGCAAGGAGGGGCAAGTGTCTTACCCGACTCCCAACCTCAACAAAGAGCTACTTGCAGGACGAACACTAGGCGACCTGAAAATTACGAAAGGTGACGATGAGCGTGTCTTACAGAGGACACTAGATAAGCTTAAAATGTAGTTAATGTAGTTATTTGTTGGCTTTTGTGTACACGTTTATTACTCTGATTGAAAAGGGTATGCCTCTTTTCACTCGCCCAAGTGATCCACCTCGATGATGACTCTTGTATTCAATTTGGTAAGTTTTGAGACAGGAATAACAAATCAATCTTTCACATAAACCCTTTCTTCCTTGAGGGTCGTTTCTTCAGAGGTGTAGTATACGTCATGTCAAACTCTTATACATAGGCTGGTTGAGCGTGGCAAAAACATTTGTTTGCCTTGATCAGGCTCAATTTCCCAAGATGGATGTCATTGATCCAACCTGGGACGGATAAGCATCATGGTTATTACCCAAAGGACCTAGAAGCAGAGCAAACAAATTACAGTTTAATTACTCCTCATAGTCCATTAACCAGTCATCCACTGAGATGTCATCAAAGCTATGCTCAATCTGCAGTGCCCTTCAGCAATGACATCAGTGAAATCTCACCGGGAGGATAACCCAGTACGAGTACCCACAATAGGGTGTGAGTGAACACAATTGGGACGATGTCTCGACAATATTGTGGCCTATATCACAGCCCCATACATCCTAATGTGAGCAACCCTTGGAATAGACAATTATGGTCAACGTTCATGAGATGCCGGCAATCTGATAGAGGGATCACAATGTGCAACAATCTCGCTGATGAATGCTGATACTCGACCATTTTTGCCAACACTCGGAATGTCACATCATACTTTCCGTGCATCATGAGATCACTAAAAGCTTGTTATGATATTGTCATTGGGTAGCAATTTCGTAGGTCCATCACCAGCTTAACACCAGATGGAATCACCATCGAAATTACTTAGCTCACAGTTATTCACAATGACAACGAACAAAGGGAAATAAAATGCAATTAAGAGATTACGGGTTTGAAGCTACTAAATGAAGCTACTAAACGACACATGTACCAATGTTGACCCTACATTCCGAGTTCCTCAAGGGCCTTCATGGAGTTCACTCTGACATCACATTCAGTCGAAGGGACAACATGAGGGAAAACTTGCCTATATTATGGTTAGCGACGGCGTGAAGGAGGAAGAACACTGGGACTCACTTATTCCACCACAAAAGAAGGTCTTCAACCTTCTTACAGTGTTCTCTATTCCCTTGGAAATCCTCCAGGTAGTTGATAATGAACTTGTAGAAGCTTTGAAAATTGAATCCGCTATGTTTGATGGTCCACTTTGGAGCACTGGACAAGGCCAAAACAAGCTGGACAATATGTTTAGCGGCACAAACAGACCAGAAACATGAGATTAAGTATGGACCTGGGTCGCAGCATAAGCTAGCGAGCGCAGGGTGACTGCCTTTATGTTGAGAATGCTAGCAATGCTCTTGTTACCACCAGGCCCTTTACTGTTTCGTGAGTGTTGCACAGTTTTGTTGGCTTGGGGAATTTCGTTGCTGCTAGAAGCAGTTAGATCAACCAATTGGGAAGATGTTGGGGCAGTGAAAATGAACTTGAAAACCTAGAGGATCGTGGTGATCAGCAATGGTGTACACCAGAAGGCATATGCAACCCATCTTACCTTGACCAACAGTGGGCTTCTGAGAAATCCTCGCAACTCCTCATCCAACCCTTTCGTGTTATGAAACAGACACAGGAGAAGGAAATTGTCATTGTAGTTGTAGCCAGGTGCCGCAGCACGAAGTTTAGCTCGGACCCTAGCACAGAGTTGTCAGAACGTGTTGCTGAGAAGATTGACGACGTACTCTTCATCGTCCCAGTTGTACTTGATGGGACACAGCAACTTTCCAGTCACATGGTGAGAAATACTGCGAGGGACATCTCTTGAACGACTCACAGGGTCCAAGAGAGGGCGCGTTTCGGGGAGAGCCGTGTTGAACCAGTGGGTGACCTGGTGCATCAGCTTGCTGACATCATCACCACGGGTGTCCAAAGCACCGTCTCAGAGCTACAAGTCTAATTGTCAGTAGGGGGTCATGCCAATAAAACACACTTACCTCTGCATAGAGGCTCTTGAGGGCAGCTGGACTGGACTTGTCAACAGTCTTTTTGAAGTTGGGAACAAGGCGAGCGATCTCCTTGAACACCATGTGACTGTGTGCATGTAAGTCATGTGACATGCCAAGTGAAATCAACAAACTTACTCACGCTTCAACTTCTCCACTGCCTCGTTGTTCATGCCCGCAAACTTGGACTCCTCAAGCTCGTCAAGCAATAGAAGTTCGTGCTTGTCATAGTGTTGGACTATCTCGTCAACTTCTAAAAAGAGGGATGCAAGTTTTGGAATTCCACGGCCTAGCTGTTTCACAGAGGCCTCTGGCCTACACATCCAAGGTGAGTAGAGATATGGTAAGTTTGGATTATAGAATGTTGATGTTGAGATAACGACTCACTCTTCTCTCTTCCTCTTCTGCTCACTTTTCTTGAGCTTCTGCTCCATGTCTAGACACCGCCGCTTCCAGTAGATGTCCACACTGGGAGGTTCATTGGGAGGTTCTGATGAAGGGGAGCGTGAGCGCGATGGCATGCTGAATTGGTCAGGATGGATAAGAGTTATGGGATGGATGGTGGTTCGAAATAACCTGAAGAGTTCCTTTCATCCAAGCCATGCATCCTATATATATTGTGAGTATTAATTCCAAATATGTTCATGCACAGAGGGATTGACAACGATCATGACCAGATACTAGTCCTCAGTCATCTAGCTCCTGAAATCCATCCCTTTTATCTCCTGCATCACTTGGATGGCCACTATCCAGTGGTTATGGCCCACACTACTCAGTCAATAAGCACTCAAATTATTTGGTTGTTCCTTGCCGTCTTCCTCCTCTTGATGTTCATCTGTGAAGGATGCCCAAAGAATTTCAGTACCAGTGCAAAGCAAGGGCTTACTCTCCACCAGAAGACATGTGAGCACTACAGGAAGATGGTGCTACATGCTGTCAATGCCCAGAAGTCAGTTCGAGACAAGCAGAAGGCTGCGCAGGCAGTTAAGTTGAAGGAAAGGAAGGAGCGCATGAAAGCCACAATGGAAATGGTACGTGACCCTCATTTATGGGATGGAATGACCGCTAACCATGATACTAGTCAGGTTCCTTGACCAGTAATCACATCCAAGACCATCCAGTCAGAGAGCCAATGGATGTCGACATTGAATACCAAGATCAAGAGCTCGATGCCTTTCCTATCAATACTACAACAACACTTCATGATAATTCATTGATAGTGGATGACAACTGCGAGCTTGTCATTGAGGCTCCAAGGTCACCCCAAGCTGCACCCAGTGCACCCAGTCCAACACCCCCAATCACCGCTTCTGGATGCCCTCGCCAAAATTATCGCTGCCCAGCCTGATACCAGGATACTCTCCCTGAACCAGCACCCATTCTTGCTCCTCCAGTGACAACACAGGAGACACCTATCTCTGCACCCCTTCTTCCCCGTGTTCAGCAGATCTTCCATGATACGATTGAAACCATCGCCAATGCATTCGGACTCAGATGACAATATCCACGCCGACCCTCATATGATCCAGACAGCGTTGTGCATGAGGACTTGCTTGCTCAGGGATTACCAGCAATCTCCCCTCCAGCAACTCATATTCCGACAGTGGATATAGACGAGGATTCTGTGGACCGCCTCATGGACTGGCAGAATTCGGGCAGCAAGCTCAAGTCGAATGCTGAACTCAAGCGGTTGGTGGATGAGGTTCTTCTCCACCCCCGCTTTAGTGTTGATCATTTCCAGAATTTTGACCCAGCTAGAGTCAATCGTAAATGAGATGCTGCCAACGCTAAATCCCCTCACCTTGACGGTTTTCAGGAGGCATGCGTATCCATTGAGGTCCCATCTGGTGACAAGAATACCCCTGCCAGCTTCTTTGATGTTCCGGGACTCCATTATCGCAAGCTGACATCCATCATCAGGGCCACTTTTGCCTCTCCGCTGGCATCAAAATTCCATCTTTCGCCTTTCAAGCTCTTTCACATGTTGCCACTGTCTGGAGAGCAGCAGCACATTTTCTCAGAGGTCTACAACTCAGATGCTTTCATTGAAGAAAACGAGAGAGTCCAACAGGCCCTGGTCCCACCTGATGAACCAGACTGCAAGTGAGAGAAGGTTGTTGCTGCTCTCATGTTCTGGTCTGACTTGACTCATCTTGCCGACTTTGGGACCACAAAGTTATGGCCAATCTACATGTTCTTTGGCAACCTATCAAAGTATGTGCATGCTCAACCAAATTCCGGAGCGTGTCAGCATGTGGCCTACATACCGTCCCTTTCTGACTCATTACAACAAAAGTTGGCTGACTTTCATGTGAAGTGGGGCACCCAGAAGAAAGATATCAAGGCTCACTGTCAGCGCGAGTTGATGCATGCAGTATGGAAGTTCCTGCTTGATGACAAGTTCCTGCACGCCTTTTGTTATGGGATGGTCATCAAATGCGCAGACGGAATAGAGTGGCGAGTGTATCCACGAATTTTCACGTACTCAGCTGATTACCCTGAGAAGTATGTTCCTGTAACAACCTCTGTTCTCTTACCCACTCATCATTCTTTCAGAGTTCTTCTTGCAACCATTCATGATAAGGGCCTTTCTCCATGCCCACAATGCCTGACGCCCAAAACCCGCATCAACCAAATGGGCCTCCAACAAGACTCGAACTTCCAAGTACAGCATCCATGGACATATCTGGGGGATTTTGTTTGCCGTGCTCGGGAATGGATCTACAAGATGGCTCGTCCAATTGGTGGGACCTGGGTTGAGGATTTGTTAAAACCAACCTCCTCAGTTCCAACAGTGGTAAGTTATTCCTTTTTACTTATATTCCAATATCTCGAGACTGATACCAATTCTAGAATGCTTTTGTTGATCATCTGGGACATTCATTTCAGCTGAATGAACTCTTTGTCGTCAATCTTATGCATGAGGTGGAATTGGGAGTATGGAAGACCCTTTTCACACATCTTATCCGTATTCTTTATGCCACTGCCCCAGATGGACATTTGGTTGCTGAGTTAGATAAGTGGTGTGGCCCTTTCAACATTATCATATGCAGCTGAGGTGTGCTGATGGGCGCTGCACAGTTTCTGAGAGATGCCTACTTTTGGCACTGACAGCACTATTTGTCGTTTTTCGTCGAACACGTCTGAGATGAAAAAGCTTGCCACACGTGATTTCAAAGATTTTCTCCAGGTTAGTCTGCATGGCTTGATAATCAATGTCTCTGATCTGATGTTTCTGCAGTGTAGCATCCCCGCCTTTGAAGGTCTTCTCGATGAACCACACAACTCTCGCCTCATGAAGCTTCTTTACCGCACTGCAGAATGGCATGGGTTTGCTAAATTCTGCCTGCACACAGAAACTACCCTTGCCCACCTTGAGGCCATTACCTGCGAGCTGGGCAAGCTCATGCGTGAATTCTGGGATGCAACAAAAGGGGATTTTGCAACCTATGAGCTTCCGCATGAAACTGCTGCAAGAAAGAGGCACGAGCAACAACAAAACCCCATGTCTACTGCCACAGGACAAGGTCGGAAAGAGAAGCTATTGAATCTTTTCACATACAAGTGGCATGCCCTCAGTGATTATGTGAGGACTATTCGACTTTTTGGCGGGACGGATGGGTTTTCAACACAAGTTGTGAGTCCCTAGCAACTGATCTCAGCCACTTCTACTTACACATTTCTTCATTTTACAGGGCGAGCTCGCTCATTGAGTAGTCAAACGACTATACAAGCTTACGAACAAGCGCAAGGCAGAACAACAGATTGCAAAACATGTCTGCCAGCTAGAGCATGCCCGAGCAGCTCATCAGCGTGATGCAGCTTGCAGACATGCAGTACCACAGTCCCAGAGACATGAACAAGCTTCCGAGGAGACCAATGTTGGTGACCCAGACCTGTGCTATCACATTTTGCCCTCCCAAGCCAATAAAATTGACCTTCTGAAGACACTTGTAACAAAGAGCAACGATCCTGTGTACCGGGTAGGTGTTCTTGCAATCCCAGTCCCACATCGGATGTTGACAACTTTCTGTAGAACTTCCTTCCCAAGCTCCAGGACCACCTCCTTGCTTGTCTCATGGGGCGTGAATTTGACAGAGATGACCAAACCCACACATTCTCTCACGAAGAGAGGAATTTGGTTCATTTCCTTGGTGGCAAGATCTACTCGGTACAGACATGCCGCCTCTACTACACTTCATATGACCTCCAGCGCCAGTCTGACACCATCAACCCAACGTCCCACCCCAACATCTTCATCTGAGCACCCCCAGATGACGACGACAAAGACGACAATGACAATGACAATGAGCAATACTGGTATGGCCGTGTTCTGGGGATTTTTCATGCCAAGGTACATACCACCCACCCACAAGTTCCAGGCGGCTCTCAAATTCGTCGGATGGATTTCCTGTGGGTCAGGTGGTTTGGCGATGAGTGCAATTACCACTACGGGTCGAAGCAGGCACGTCTCCCCTTGGTAGGATTTGTGCCATCAACCATTGATGGTGCGTTTGGCTTCTTGGACCCAACTCATGTCATTCGTGGCTGCCACCTTATCCCTGCATATGCTCATGGTCGCTCTCAAGATTTATTACCTGTGCGAACAAGTGATGCCCGCTGTCTAATGCCAGATGAGGAGGATGATTGGACCAATTTCTACGTCAATCTGTATGTTTGTCCCTTTGTTCTGTTGTTTCCAAATGCTCACCAACTCTTTTAAAAGGTTTGTCGACCGAGACATGATCATGCGGCACTTTGGAGGAGGCGTTGGTCATTCAATCAATGCACTACCTGAGAAGACATCACTCCAAGGAACTACAGACGAGAATAGAGAGGACAGTTCTGACTCCAAGGACGATGATCAAGATATGATGACCAGACAGGTTGCTGAACACATTGCAGATATGCCGCTGACGCATAGTAGGGCTCCTGTGGAGAATGAGGAGGAAGAAGATGCAGTGGTACAGCAGGAGGATGAGGATGAAGAGGAGGAAAGAGAGGATGAGGATGAAGAAGAGGACAAGGACAAGGACAAGGACAATGGGTACGCATCTCTGTAATTGGCGCTCTCTTTGACACTGTCAGGTTTGGCCACATTCGGTGTTCTTATATCATCAGCACACTAAAATATTCTCGATGCTTCATATCCTCACCATGATCATAGTGAAGGTTCATGAACTGAAAGTAAGATTCTCCAGTCTTCACAAGCAGGAGACCATTTTGCCCCTGGTTCACGAAGACATGACAAGATTTTATTGTGATGACAAGGTCCCTACACTATCATACATGGATTGTGAACTATTAGGCAGGTTGCAGGCACATCATGCATGCATCGCAAGGTCATATGATGGCTCAGCATTCTTGCAGGTAATTGTGACTGCCACAATGCTATTCCAGGCGCTGGAGATTTCACTGATGGAGCTCAGCTGTTCCAGAACAGGAATTGACACTGGCATGACATTGCTCACACTCAAGAACTTGTCAGCAATGCACCCACACCACTGATAAGGATGAATTCTCCAAGATGTTGAGAATGACAGTGACATCCCTCAGGGGTTCAGATGTTGGTAGACTGTCTAAGGTCCAGGTCAGGGCCAGCCCTCACCTATTTTGCCAGCCCTGACCCTGGCCCTCAGGGCTGGGGCCAATTTTCTCTGGCCCTGGCCATAAAGGGGTTGGGCCAGGGCTGACCCCAGGCTGGCCCTAAAAAAAGGCTCTATTTTTTAATTTGTTTTCACAATTAAATAAGAATATTTACTTTATACATACTATACAGAGGGTATTCTACGAGGCGATGGTGAGACAGGTGAGACGAGGGCAATGGCGGCGACAAGGTAACGGCAAGACAAGGGCAGGTGCGAGCAGCAAGGCAACGGTGAGACAACGGCTGGGCAAAGTGATGGCAAGACAAGGGCAGGGGCAAGGTGACGGCAAGATGAGGGTGGGGGTGCGAGCAGCAAGGCGACAGCAACACAATGGCAAAGGTGACACAATAATGGGGGTGAGGTGAGGGCGAGTGACAGCAAGCAAGGGTGGGGGTGGGGGCAATGGCAATGGCAATGGCAATGGTGTGAGCAGTGAGGTGACAGCAACACAAGGGCAGGGGGACGAGACAAGGGTGAGTGACGGTGAGTGGGGGGTGCAAGCAGGAAGGCAATGGCAAGGGTGCGAGACAGGGGCAAGTGAGGGCAAGGGCAAGGTGATGGCAAGGGTGTGAGACGAGGGCATAGTGTTGCCGCGACTCGGCTAGTCACAAGTCGACTTGCCGAAGCCGCCAGTAGCCGCGGCTTCGACCAAAAATGTTGAGCCGAGCTGATAAAATCGGCTCAGCTCGGTTTACCCACTGGTTTGAAGTCAGCTAAGCCGGTCATTCCAAGACATATAAGCTTAAAAATCAAAATTAATACAGAAATTAAAATAGAATATTATTGTCCATCTGTACAAATGCCAACTATGTGTCGTCATCGTTGTATTGACCAAGAGCTGCGAGTAGGGTGTCTATATTACTGTTCCACTCAGAGGCCACTTGTCCTAATAAGTCCGTTTCGTCATCGGCAGGCACCAGCATATCTATTTCTGGTGTTTCTAAGCCTTCCATGAAGTTGAGCCGTTTCATCTTCAGCAAGAACTTGAGCATTTGCAGTGCTTCCATTAAGGTTGCATGCATTCGATTTCATTGCTTCGTATCTGTCTCCGCACTTGATGAAAAAACACGCTCACAAGGTACTGCCAAGGCTTGGATGGGAAGGTAGTCGAGCGCTATTGCGAAAAGAGTCAGGAAACTTGATTCATGGATCTGAAAAGCATGATATCAGCAGAAAGTCTGGATCAATACATTTGGAATACTTACTTCCCAGAACTTCAGAATGTCTGTCCCTTTCTCAGAAAGCGGCACTGTAAAGTAGGCCGTGAACTCCTCGTCGATACTCTGGTTGTGGCATGCATTGTTGTCCGTGAAATCCATCAGGTCATCGAGCCCGTAGCGTTCAGCCAGCTCGTCAAGACCAAATCCTTGCCGTGTTGTCACAGGACTTCGACAAGCTGGCATTTCGGGATTGGCATGAGCATGATATTCCACCATCTGCGAATTGTGGGTGAAAATAAGAAAGCTATTTACAAGGGTCCAGGCAGCTCACCAAGTCCTTGATGGTTTGGTTGGCCTCATCGATGAATTCTTCATCCCAATTTTTTCAAATCCATGATAGATGGATGGAGGGATTGAGGACTAGTTAATGGGATGAAGTTAATTAGGGTAACAATAACAAAGCATTCTATGTACCCATTGCAATCATGTATGCCTTTGTCAAGTCCATTTTATTGTAATACTTGACCGCCCATTCAATGCCAACCTTTGTATATGGCTCCAAGTGCGGAAACTTCTCGCCGAGCCTCTCCCATGCAGTCATGAACATCTCAAATGCAGGAATTGCATTCGCGAGAATGGGTGTTCGCTCGCCGCACATAAGGGTCTGAACTCAATGAGGAATCTGGTCATACATTTAGTATTTTGTTAGAGCCTGAAAGTAAGACTGACGCTCAAAATCATCTCAAAGTTTTCAAGGACTTTCCACTCGCGGTCAGTCATGCAGAACTTTGTTAGCTCCCTGTTCGGGGGCAACAACAGGAAATAATTGCAAGCCTGTCATAGCATCAGTAAAATACTGCAACAAAGGGAGTAGAAACTTACTTGTCGCATCTCCCGGAATCAGCAGATCATCTTGTAGAGAGAGTCCCATCGATGTTGAACGTCATGAAGAAGTTCAAGATTCTCAAGCTTGATGATCTTGTTGGGGTCATTGGCTGCCTTGAACCACTCCTTCTCGTTACCGTCGCGAATAATATCCTGGAACATTTTGCGCCGTTTACCAGAGGCACAGATTGCACAAACAGCACCATGGCATAGTGCGATAGGATCCTGAGCACAAGCCTTGTCAAAGGTTTGTTGACATGGATCCGCAGGAGGGAGGGCTGCTGCAAATTCGGCTTCATCGCTAGTGAGAGCTAGATCAGTAAAGCTCTCAATTACATGTGTTACACATATGTTGATAACATGGGGGAAACACATGATGTGTCTATCCTTTGCATTGAAGGGAATATCCCTTGCTTCAAGAAGGACTTGGAGTTCTTCCAAGAACTTTGCATTCACGGAGGCATTGTCAAGTGTCCAGTGGCCAACCTAACAGTGTGATTAAAATGAAGAATTGCCTCAGAAGGTATCAAGAAAAACCTTGACAGTAACGCCTGCTCAATCGAGAAGGTGAAGGACGATTCTTGCAAGCCATTCCACATGGTAACTACCTCGAATATGGTGAAAAGCCACAAGCGCACAATTGAACTGCAGGCCACCCATTGGAGTGCGTGAGATCCAATGGGCGGTCATGGCAAGGTGTGGATAACAAGACTGATTTGACCAAATGTCTGCCATGAACGACACCTTTCCTAGTGCAATCTGATAACAGTTGTAAGCTAAACGGTATTTCAGAGAGCCCAGAAAGCGCACTGCGAGATCTTGTTTGAGAACCCTGAAGTAAACTTCCCATGCTTTGA